AAGTGGCATGTAGGGGGTTAATCGTTCATGAATATGGAGGGTATAAGGAAGGCCCTGACGCCCAGGGAATTTCATTTCTTTTTTTCCTACACGTCTTTTTAAATGTCTGTGAACAAATCTTTTTTAAATATTCAATTCCATGGGAGTGGAGACCTTCCTTATAGCCTTCATATTTACGTTGGAAAGTTTGAAGCGATTCGGTACACCCAGTTCGGAGAAAGGTTTTAGAAATAATTCGACATTTTTATATATATATATATATATACCTTTCGTAACACCTTAACAACCCATAGCTAACATTGCATTACAATTCATCGCTGAAACCTACTAAGCCTGGTTAGTAACTATTTTGTGGCGGATTACGAAAGAGGGTGGAATAGCAGGCGCGTTTCATTTTTTATTAATTCGATTTTACGGCCGCTAAAGTTTCACCGAGCGATTAAAAAGAAAAGAATTCCTAATTACCCGGTCAATAGCTTAGTTTACGGCTCTTTTGCCGAGGAATTTGCATTTCGCACACCTCGGGGATAGATGTAAGCACTAAAGGTTGCAAAATTCCCCCGCTCGATTCTCTCCGTACTATGTATTCTCTGGAACCCGTGCTCGCTCCAATTCTGCAGCAGATCGATGCAGCTCTCGATAGTTTGAACAAAAAGGAAAAAGAAGACGAAAAAGGGTGAAAACAATGCGGCAGATTTATGATTACCGATTTCTTTGTCGAGTACCTCCGCTTTCGCCGCGTTATCCGAGGTTCTGTAAAAGCATCGATCGACGAGTCCGCACGGATTCGTATCACGTGTCGGGTATCTTTTTTAACTCCCAATAGCCGGTCCAATCGATCGATGGAACGTGTTCGGAACGTGACAAATCATTCGGCGGATCGGCCCGTCATGGTTTTATCATCGCTCCCATGAGCCCGAGATGCAGACGGGACCTTTGCGCGAGTAATCCGATTTATTATCGCTCACTGTAAGTCGCAAAAGTAGACTCTCTGCTCCATCTGCATCTTGCTGATAAATGATCCGGACGATAAGATTTCCTCCCAAGTGTACTCGAACCGAGTCTGATATCCTGCAGTGCGGGAAAGGAAAAAAAATCACTTTCTCTAGAAAGGAGTTTCTTGCGACAAGCTTTTACTACCCGTTATCGGCGTAATTGATCGGTCGATTGGAATTCGTTAGAACTTTAAACGACATTCAATTTCCATAAGCTCAGCCTTACCAAGCTCTTATTATTCGTTACTGTTCGATTACCTGCATACACGCTTAGAGTGGAAATTCGATTCGCTCGGAAGAAAAAGTGTAAGATTTCGTAAAAAGTGCACCTCACATTTTACGCACAGAACTTAGATCTCATCTACGTCAAACTCGTCGAATATGAATTTTGAATTTACAATCTCGGTGGATATGAAGGCTGTAAAGAAGATCCTGATACCCGTGAGATTTCAATTTTTTTCAACTTTGTTTATAGACATTTTCTAAATTTTAGGTAGGAAATGTAAACATTATTGGTGTCGGGACCTTCCTCATAAACTGCCATATTTACATCGTAATACCCATATAAACCATATTTACGTGATAAAGTTTTGAAACCATTCGGTACACGAAAGTTTCACGAAAGATTGACCATTCGGACGGGACTTTCATATCACCTTAAGGCTGGTCTTAAAATCGAATTGACGGTCTCCGAGGATTCTTCGATTTCCTCTATTTTGGGGGACCTTTTATACATTCTCCTATTTCTTTACGACCTCGGGCTTGACCGGTAACAATGTGTCCATCCCCTATACTCGGTGGTCCCCTAAGCTCGCGTCCCTCGGGAGCGGCTCGGAGTCGGTTCTGCAGCCTGCAGCGCCGTAAAAAACGAGGAAAAGGGAAAACGGAGAAACAGAAGCAGAGGAGGGAGCGTTACGGCTAAATTTACGGCGTTAGCGGGACGTCGGCGTAAGTGAAACGGCGAATGCAAAGACACAATTCAGATGGTTATACGGTGTCTTAGGAAGACGCGTGTGCGTGGACGGGGAACGCCGGATTTATGTGTGAGTGGTTCTCATAAAAGAGGGCACTTTTCATTCTCAGTCCTATATCTCGGTTTCTGCAGAGTGAGCCATTTAACAAGGAACAGTCTGCGCGTCTCTGTCGCTTTTGAAGTCCCGACAAAAACGGCCCCTTCCTCTCGGGGTACACGGCTATTTAATTATGATTTTTCATTAAGTTGCGTTAATTCTATGCCGTGGCTGTAAAGGATGAACGTAAAGAGCGAAACGCCGGCTTAAGTGAGGAAAATAAGACGCCCCGTAAACTGTTCCTATATATATATATATATATATATTGTCGCGAAAATAATCCAACAATCCGCCGGAATTTATCCTAACGAAATGACGACACGAGTCGCTATCAGCTGCTCGAGCTTTACAAGGTAAGCTCGCCTCGTCGCCATTGCTGCAATATTGTGACACGCCGGTGATTGATACCTCCCATTAACTCGAACCGATAAACCTTTGTCACGTATTGGTGCGATCTATCTACACGTTGACACTGTAAGACGCAAAGGTAGAGATATAGAAAGCGCCTGTAAAGATGGAATTAGGCGCGTACCCAATTCGCGATTAAAGCCGAATTGGCCATTAAGGCGATATGAAAGTGGCAAGGTCTCGTTTATGAAACTTTTCTCCGAGCTTGGCGTACCTAATCGGTTTCAATTTTTGTCAAAATTTCTTTCAATATATCTTGGAAATCTTTTATGCAAAATGATATTTTATGTATGTCAGACTGTCCCTGTAGCCTGGATATTCATGAAGTTCCAAACGATTCGGTGTCCTCGGTTCGGGGAAAAGCTTCATGAACAATTGATGAGGTGCCACTTTCACATCCCCATAAACAGAAATTCATTTTAACTCGACGCCGGCATATAAATATGTAGAAAAAAATAAATGTCTCTCTTGAAAATATTAAATCACATTTCCTTTCTATCCGGGAATTATTAATCGTAACTTCCTACGTGAGAATATGGTAAAGTGCTAAATTCCATCCGCAATGCGCAGATTTATGAATTATGACTTATTTGCTTTCTTGAAGGATGATTCATAAATGACTTAAAGCTACATTAATAAATACTTTCTCCTTGTCGAGGCCCATGAGATCGTTACAGGCAGACTTAACTTTCCTACGTCCATAAAACAATATTTCAATAACAATAAATCGAACCTAGGCCTCTGCGGGGGTCAGCCTGCATCGATCACACATTCCACCTCGACATTTTTCCGCGATCTAATTCGGAAATGAAGGACCTGTTTCGGACAGGTTGCAGTTGAAATTAATGGAGTTCAGCCCGGGAGGTTCGATTTGCCGATCGAACGTCTCGAATGGAGATATTAGCGACTCGATAGGAATGTCGGAGTGATATCGGCTGTACTTTGAGAACCATATCGGCAACCATCGTAATCCCCTCGAAAGAAAGTGACACATGGTTCGCAATAAGACATCATATTCTATATAAAAAAAAAAAAATCACACCGCCTTCAAGGAGACTAATAAAACACGCAACGAAGACGTTCCAAAAATCTCCACATTTTTTTCCATTAATTCTCTGAGATACAAAATTGACTTATACATCATTTATACCAACGTATTACGCTGAGAATAGAGAAATTCATTTAACCGAAGGAATATATTAACAATTTAAAGTATATTTATTTCACTCAAATCAATTGTCATCGTTCCGAAGGAGCTTTGCGTGCTATTTATTCGAGTTCACGTAAGTCAAATCATTGTTCTTTGGATTAAAAAAATATTTCTCCGTTTCAATGACGTTTTTTCCTCAGTCTACGATGTATTGTTTATGACGGCATGCAACTATTCAAGGTGCACCTAATGCACATTGTGCAATCAGTCGGCGAGTCGATAATTGCAGATACGAGGCACCTAAGTCGAAGCCATTGGCTCGATCGGAAAGCCCACGAGGAGAACACTCCGGCGGGGTAATTCGAGAGCCTTTGTTTCTCTTTTTGGCATTCGATGCCTCTCGAAGTTTCATTAATCGGCTGCGAGTGCGTATTCCCTCCTCGGTAGGGGAGCTGCATCTCACTCGACCTCGAGGAGGCAACTCTGCCGTGGAAAAGCGATAAATCGCCGCGATCTGCGGGAAATAAAGCGAAACAATGCAAGAAGATCGCAACGACGTACATACACGGGCCGCAATTATTATCGCAAGCGTTACGTCAAATCTCTCGTCACGCGAGAAACGTGACACGATGATTTCTTCTCCGTATCTCTCTTCCTCGAATGCACGTTTCCTCGACTGCAAGCCTCGTGGGAAAGCAGCGCCCAGAAGGAAAATAATTGCCAAATTATGAATTACTTAAGGTGTCATAAAAAGATCCATTCTATATACACATCATAAAGTGAAAATATTGATAAAACTTTCCTTCAAACTGGGTGCACCGAATCATTCGAAATTTCACCACGTGATTATGAAGGCTCTAAGGAAGAACGCGGTGCTCGTAAAATGTCATTATTAAACGGAAATATGTATTCTCGGTTATGTAGTAAATATGTAGTCTGGGATAATGGAAAAAAAAATTTTCAGTCAAAATGAAATTTCATGTGCACCATGGATTGCATAGGTAGAATAGAAATAAACAATGCCCAAAGCGAGTACCGAACGCATGAAGGTAATTCACGAAGTAACTAAGGACAATTAATCGTATCTCATAATTCCTATTATCTTGCAAGCAGAAATTCCACCTCCATTCGCACCGATATTTTTATCGCCATATTTCAGTTTGTAACTTGCCAATTATGAATGACTAGTAAGAGCCGGAAGGTCCCTTTGAAAGTCATCCAGCAATGACGTAGCATTTCCCATACCTCATGATGACAAGGCAAGAAAATATTGCAAAGTGAACTGCTCGCACGGAAAGGAAGACATTTTTATTTTTAACAACGGACAATTAGCAAATAAATTTCTTACAACGGCAACAAAAAATATTTTTCTTTATTCTTCTCAATATAACAAGTATTCCCAGTTGTTGCGGCAAGTGAAATTTCTTGTGATGACCGTGAATTCTTTTTCCGGGTGAAAAAGTCAGATGTCCGATTTCGTAGAAGGGAAAGTACCGCTCGGGTTAACCTGAAATTCCGAGAGTATAGTAAAGTAACCGAGAGGACGTAATTACTCATACCCATACACGGGTAAGCCCAATTATCAGGCCAAGGAAATATAATTTTAAGGTCAATGCTCCCACTTTTGGTAAACTGTAGGAGGGGGTCCCTCATTTTCCCAGTCGTCAAGGTGCTGCCAAACGGAGAGAGTGATTTCGACCTTGAAGAACCTCGGAGAAATCCTCGCAAGAAAGGTGAGCAACTGACCCAACCGCCTCTCGCTACCTCAAAGTCCTAATTGTAGAAATTCCGAGAAATTTCCCTGCGGCGTCCCAAAAATTAGCAGGGCCTGCTAGAGTTTAAAAGCTCTCGGTAACATAAAATTGGAGAAGGTAATCGTGAAAAATACCGTAAGTTACCGCGAACATCGAGAACTCATAAGAACGAGCGTACAACGGAAATTCCCCCCACTCCGGTGTTTCTCTGCAGCGAATTAGAAACTCTCATTCGCTCCGTCGCAAGAATGTATATTCTGATAATTGTCATTTTTTGAAAAAAAAAAAAAAAGAAAGAAAAAAGCCTTGGAGAAATTACCGATAAGTCGCCGGAAATTTCTCATCGTTCCTGACGTCACTTACCGCGTTTAGAGCTCTAGGACCTGCCGAAGTTTCGAGAACGATAGCCCCCTGAAACGTGTGCAACTTTTTATTATTCCAAGAACAACGGATACCCACACTTACCGTTACGTCACGTTAGCTATGGACATTTCTCACGAGTCACGTTCCTGCTCCTGCGAATAGCTAACCAGTCCAAGATATCGAGGATCGTCAATTCGCGCCAAGTGGTCATTCGCCGTTTGAAGAGAAAAGAAAAAAAACGTTGCATAGTCGCGAAAGAAGGACGCGAAGACCTGCGTCACTCGAGGCATGAGAGAAGGAGACCGCAAGCGGTCCGGGAGGGAGCCGCACCGGTACGCACGCACACGTGTGCGTGCATACGGTTCGGCCCCGCAGAGGGCTGCCAATTTATATACGTGCTGCACCCGGCGGTCGAGCCACTGCGAATATGTCCGTAAGACCGGCTGCAACGTGAGACTCTCCGCGAAGCGCGCTACGCGGTTCTATTTCGCGCCCGTAGTCGCCAGTGGACATCCGAGCGACGCGGAGCTGCGCGCTGGGGACCTGGACCGCCTGAGCCAATCAGCGCTCGGCGTTGCCCGCATCGACCAGTTTGAAGCGCTCGCGCCACCGGATCTGCCAATCACGTGGGCCCGCATTGGCCAATCGGAAGCGCCCGCGCCGCCCGCATCGACCAATCAGAAGCCCCCGCGCTACCCGCATTAGCCAATCGGAAGCTCCCGGGCCACCCGCATCAGCCAATCACGAGTCGCCTCGGACGCGGCCCAAACGAGTTCGCAGGTGCGTACTTCGACCCGGGAATGTGGCTCCTCGACTCCTCCCGCTCGCTGAACCCTTTGTACTTAGTAATTGGCACTCGATACCCGTCAATCGATACGAGTACTCGATACGTCTCTCCGTCAATACTCTGATGACGAAACATTGTACGGATTGGTATATATTTCCCACTTTTTCACCCAGCGACTTTATCTGCCGGTGGTAACGGTGCGGACGATAGCTCCGGGTCTTTAACTACCCCTGGAAAATTCGCGATCTGTGGAGTTGATATGTGATGAAATTCTCCGTGTAAAAAGTGTGTTGATGCTGGGTTTCGATGGCCTCGTCGATTTTCGAGGTAAAACAGTGGAGCCAGCTGCGTCAGTACGTCGAATTAATGGACTTTGCGTAGCTGTGCTCATGTTGTCCGTGAACATATATTCCATTTCGTGTTTTCATTTCGCAAGGAAATGTCGTAAATATTAGCCATGCGTAACGTTCCCCGACCTTCTGGTATATATAGGACGAGGACCTAAAGGCGTCAAGCAGGAATTTAAATGCCGCTTCTTATACATAATGTGACATTTTCACTGCCTTGTCTATAATGCGCGCGATGGTAAGGCTGGTCATGGTTGTTTGGATAGTGACAACGTGCTCATAATTGCACAATTTTAGGAGAGAAAAATTCCTCCTGTGAAGACTTTCTGTTTAAATGTTCCTCCCATACTCACGCATTTCGCATGTCATTAGACTTCTGCGAATATTCTCTCGCCAAGTTTTACCTGCATTTGAAATGTTGCTAGGAAAGTGATAAAATACTCATAAGTGCACACTCAGTGGGACTAAAAATTCTTTCTGTTTAAATGTTTCTCTCATGTTTATACATTTCGCATGTCATTAGACTTCTGCGAATATTTTCTCTCCAAGTTTTATCTCCACTTGAATCGAGTCGCGGGCAAAGGTAATCTCCTATTGGCAAAAAAAATATTAATCGGTTATCATTCGTTTTATCATCGCTTACCTTTCACACTAGCGACTTCACGTCTTCGAGACATGGCAGTAAACTTTATCTACTCCTACAATAGAGACGGTTATCACCTTATCAGGATATTGTCTTACGTGTCATTGTTGACTCTTAAATATATCAAGATAGTTCGGGATCACCTTTACCTTTAATTAAGATGCGACCAGACGCTGAGAATAAACGATCACGTGGGAATAAAATCTAGATCGCGTGAAGGCTAGATAAGGCGACTTGTCAATTTTGAAACTGTGTTTCCAGGCACGTGTCTTATTCATATCTGCATTATCAGCAGTTTAACGCGAATGCAACGTCGCGGCTGACGATTCTATTCCCTTATCCGCGACCACTCAACATTTTCCTCCTTTAGAATTAATGTCTGAACACCGCTCTCACACAATGCCCAAACAATGACGCAACTCTAAAATTTATACGTATCTCACGTTTCCGAGATATTCGCAATACGCTATCGCTTCTAAAATCTATTTTAAAATCGCTGACTTAACTTCCGCACGAATTTCGTCATTAAAATTATTATTTCGTGAATGACACACCTATAATGTGTCATTTGGCCTTGTACACTATAATGAGGTTCTCTATCAGTGATAAGCAAAATCGGTCTTGTACTTCCGCCAAGCACATTACATATCCCTGAAGCAACACAATGTATACCAAAATAATTAAAAAAAATACATTGACATTTTTTCCTCAGCGTATCAGCATTGCAGTTATATGTTATTAACACAATACATAATATAACACCGATATGTTATATATATATATATGTTAAATTATTCGTTTTATAACAGTGTGATACAATTAGGAAATAGTAATACAAGGTTTACGTACATGTTTATTGCATTACAAGTAAGAAGGCATACGTAACGGTTATATCATTGTTACATGGTTATTTGCATTTTTGGAACCAAGACCGAGTTTGCTCATCGATGGTCCCTGAGCAGTATAAAACCGAGTAAATTGGCCGGTCAAGTTATCAGAAAAGACTGCAACGACCCAAGGACGAATCCGACGGCCGTTCGTCCTTATTCCGATCAGCTGACTATTTCCTCGAGAGCGGCGAAGTAGCTGCACTTTGCGAGCGAACGACGTCCATTCTTTGCGCTCACGTAAAACATGTTTTCGCCGGAGCTTTTCGTCCCCGGGTATCCCACTTGCCGGCACGATTACGCCTGCACTTCCGGTCGGGAAATGATTTTGACCTTCTTTCGTATTCATGGAAGAAAGGGGCAAGGGGCGCGCGTTTTGGCTCCTTGCGAAGCTTCGTCCGCAGTTTCGATCCTCCGCATTTCACAGGAGTCTGATGGCCTCGCCCTCGAGAGTCCCAAGGAGACCCGAAATTCCTGGAACATAAAGCCCAACTTTAGGATCGCCATTTGTAACCCCGTCGCAATCTTCGATTCTTCAAGTGAAACTCCTCGTGCCTCGGTGATAAAATCCCCGTGCCAAGAAATGGAAGCGTAACGAAAAGTGGAACGCTTTATTTTCTCTTTTTTATATTATTATTATTTCCTTTTTTTGACAGTAACCAGGACATTCGGTAGAGTTCCGCACCCAATATACGCACTTGCATACGTGTGTATACGTATGCGCGAAGATGTGTATGCGTGAAACGCCACAGAGTTCTTAACACCAAGTTTGGGCGTGTTAAGGTGATATGAAAGTGTGATTTTTTTTTTCGAAAAATGAAATTTCCCCAGCAGCGCGTTCTTCCTTAGAGCCTCCATAATCACGTGTTAAAGTTTCAGATAATTTGGTGCACCCAGTTTGGAGGAAAAGTTCTATGAATACTTCGACCTTCTGATTATGTATGTATCACACTTTCATATCGCCTTAAATTCGTAGGGATTAATGTTCCTGCACTTCACCATTTGTTTATTCATTTTTGTGAAACAGTACCGAGACAATATGCATAATCCCTTTTATTAAATTCAGTGCATGACTTCCTAAATTAATTATTGACATTAAGGGCCTTAACTATCGTTACCTATTATATAATCTATAAAAGTCTTGCTTGAAAAGAATAAGTCCCACTTCCGAAGCGCTTGGCGGGTATTCAGCCATTCTTACTTCCTGAATTTCTGGGAGGACGTTATGCAGTCCCGGAGTCTTAATGGTTTCCGTCTCTGATGCATTACACGGAGTAGTTCCGGACTTGTCCCCGTTTTCGCCTCCCTGTATTTACGGGGATCCTTGATTCCGCCTGCCCACTGGCTCCTACCAATTTCCCCTGTCTCCAGCTCCTTCCGCATCCAGGCCCCTTTGTTTCCCCCATCTCGAGCCCCAAAGAGACTCGACGTCTCAACCCGTCCTTCGATGCAGCCTCCACTAAGGTCAGCTTTGAAGTCGATACCGGTCCCTCTGGAGAGTCTTGAATCTCTACGAGTGTTCTACGGCACTTAGAAACGCGATACTCCTCTCCCGCACCGTAAATCAGTCCCTACGTAAAGCTCCAACTCTCCGGCCACCTTAAGGAGCTTTCGGGAAAGCCCAAACCGAAACGACGCTTCGACGGCGAAGCATCTCGGGCCTGGAAATCGCCTTGCCATCGGCCGGACCTGATACATCCCTATGCGCATAAATAAATACATAAATGTGTACATACATCACACAGAAAAGTAATTCACAGTAGTGATAAAAGAAACTGCCACTTGCTTCGGCTAATCTCTTCACTCGAAATTCGGCTAGCAGAATCTGTCTGACATCTCCGCTGTATCTGACAATCAAACATTTATTTTCAATGTTATCATGTAGAAATTATATTCGAATGAAATTCTTGGTCCGGAATAACTACGACATTTTCTAGCCAAAGATGAAATTTACCGAGTTTCAAGACCTTCATTAGGACCTCCATATTCCCGTGTTAATGGCTCAAATTATTAGGTGCGCCCAATTTGGAGGAGAAATTTTGTATATAGTTTTACGTCGATACGTGTAGAATGAACTTTTCATATCGCTTTAAGGGCTCATGAAAAGCTTCAGATTGGACCCAGCAGGCTTTCTTTTCCACCGCCATGAGAGCTGTCGACGTGTGGACGGGAAAGCTTGAGGGCGAACACCGCTAAGAGACAATTTTTTTAATGACTTGGGATAAGAGGGGCCGCCGATAACTCCCACTGTCAGGAAGGGAAACGGCGATAATGATGATTCATTGACTGAAAACGAGAGTCGCGGAAAACGGAGCGAGGACGCGCGTTCTCGGTCTAGTCACGCCGTCTGAAATGCGCGACGATTGCGGATTGAAAATTAGCTTGACTATAAAAGTACGGCCTGGTCTTAAAATCGCGACATAGAACGAATGCGCTTCCAAAGAATGCCTTGTGGCAGTTTCGGGGATCCTAAATGCACCTTTGTGCAACCGCCCATCAAAGGCCGGCGATAAAAAATGCACACCATTTCAGGATCCCTATGGACTGGTACAGTTATCATAACGAAGCTTGGTATCCTGATGTCTGACCGCAACTGATGTCTGTCTGGTCAGTTTCCTCTTATTAACCCACAGGAACTGATGGCAGACAGCGATAACGTTCCTCCATCAGTATCTGTTGAAGAGGAAAATATACTGCCTGATATGAAGAATGAGGAAAATAAGTACCAGAGAACATAAAAAAACTAGGTAGAAAAAATCCAACCGTGATGAATGACTCCTGATCGGTTGCTCCTGGATATGTCTTGGAGAAATAATTCATATCTGAAATTAAAAACGGGAAGCATGAATACTAGGATATGTAAAAAGCTAGACAGAAGAGATACAACCTTGATCAATGACCACCTAATCAGTTGATCCTCCATGATTCTCGAAGAGATGTTCATTTTCTGAAGTTAAAAAATGGATGTACCAGCAAATGCAAATACGAGGTCAGATGAAAAATAGGGTAATACGATGATTGAGACCTGACCGATTAATCCTAGGTGACTCTTGAAGAGGTCTCCTACCTGCAATGAAAAAATGAGAGTGAACCCATGGGAATCGAGGGGGAAAAAAATAATGATTCGACCGTGACCGTCGACAGCCGATCACGGGTAACCCTCGGCCATAAACCAGGAAGTATCGGGCGCACTTCCGAGCGAAGTGTCTCGCTTTGCACCGATTTCGACGGGGCAGTACGAATGCACTTTCGTGCACTCGCGTGCTGACAAGGGCCCCACGCGACAATGACGGCAATATTTTCCGCATTATCGAGCCGCGCTTCGACGGGGGCAGGGTCGTCAGCGCCGAGCCATTCAAGTATTTAAGCGCTAAGCCGCCGTTTAATTACGCCAATAATTCAAGCAACGGAATAATAATGGTATCGCCTGCTCGGCCGATAAATAAACCCGAATGCACCCCGAAACCGAGTGCACCGGTGGCGCCCCCTGTCCTGGTCTCCTTAGAGTTCGAAAATTCTCGGTAGCCTAACATTCGAGAAGGTAACTGGGAAACATACCGTAACTTACCGAGCATATCGAGAATCCATGAGAACGTTCCTTTTTGTGCATCTATACTCTAGGTTTCTTCATTTAAATGAAATTACTTTTTAACACTCTTCGGGCTAGAGAGTAATAAATATTATTAAAAAGTATTAACTATAGTCTTATTTACTTCCAGGTAATAATATTCACCTAGGACGTGGAATTCCATATGGTTACTATCAGAACAAGGCCGATATTATATTCTTCCAACCACGACGAAGAAAATGGCGCTGATCTCGATTGGCTGCAGCGACACGACGGAAAAATTCCCCAGTAGAGATTTTAATTCTCATCATTTCTCGTGAAACTAAGAGGCTTGGAGAAGTGACCGACAAGTTACCGGTTCCTCGCGTAACTTACCACGCTTAGAACTCTAGGTCCCCTGAGCTTCTCCGCGACGCCTTGTTTTCCTTCACATCCCGACCCGAGATTAGACGTTCCACAATCTTGATGGAACTTCACCGAGACTTGACCTAGAAAAATGGATAGCTCTTATCGGCCGTGGGCGCCGACTCGCGCCGTGAAAAATCGCGGATACGCCCCCCCGGGGCGCTGCGATCGCCCTAACCTCGCTAATCGCGCTAATCGCTCCACCGAACCACGTGCTTCCGTGTCGGCAGTAAATTCTAGCTAACGTCACTCCGCTACTGTATTGCAGACTTCACATTCGACTCGCTTCACCGTGTATATTGATTCAAACATGAGATCGCGGTAAACAACGATGCGTTGTTTCATAAGCTCTCGTGAAAAATTTGGAGGTAAATTCAAGGTCATCTCTGGTATTCAGATTTCATTTTTTACTTACTTCACCCTGTAGAAAAGAAAAAATCATACCTGGTGTCATGGTCGACAACGATGCGTTTTTTTATAAGTTCGTGTGAAAAATTTGAAGATAAATCGTAGGTCACTCCAAGATTGCAGACTTGATTTTTCGGCTCCGTTAAAAACAAGATTTATTAATATAGATGAGATACTTTCAATCCGATGTACCTTTGTCTGCACTAAAATCTAAAAATCAAACGTTGTACTTCCACCTTTAATAAGTGTTACATTTTCAGTTAGGCTCAGATTTCTCACTTGAGAAATTCACGATTCTCATTGTCATTCATTCTCATTCTCTCACGATTCGAATTTCTTTTCTCTCTTTTTTTTCTTTTTTTCGTTTTTAGCAGAACACCCGATTGCGGTCCCTTTTGCTTTCGGCTTATCACCGGAGGGAGATAAGGGGTTCGGATTTTGTAATTTTCCAAGGTCTCTCCCACTGCACGGTCGAATTCCGTTCTCTCGCGTTCGGGTCAGAGTTCATCGTGGCCGCGATTGCCGGAGAATAGAATTTTCCGACGAAACGTTCGGCGTTCTCTGTCGCTGTCAGCTGGCTTCCCCGCGGTTACGCACTTTGCTATTAATGTCCGATTACGAGGGGCAATCACGCCTGCTATCGTCCAACCAGAGATTGGCGAATTAATGTCGACTCGCGCTAATGGCAATTAAACGGGCCTCGTTACCGCCCGAAAGAGCCGCATTCCGAATCGCCGGGGAAAATTTTATGGAACGCTAAAAAGATTCTAATTGGGCCGGAACCTCGGACTACTCCGGCCACTTTGAGGAAGGAAAAAAAAATAAAAGAGGGAAGACCTCGTCGAGATTGCAAAATATTTATTTTTTCAGAAGGAGATAGATGCATATATACCCGCCCAGCAATTAATGTAATGAAACATGTAGCTCGGTAAGGCAAATATTTAGTCCCCTCGACCGCGACTGCTTATTTTGCACTTGGACCATATATATCTAGACCTCGCATTGGACCTCCCACTCCCAGATTTTCAGTAAGCGGAATGACTTTAACTGTGTGGGTCAGTCGTCGGAACACGTGGTACATTCCTTTACCCCTTCCACTGCTATGCGAGGTCTAGATATTTATGATCGAAGATTTTGCAGATTCGACCACCCTACTTTCTGGATGGGATGATGGTTCATTATAGGTTATGTGTACATACACGTGGTATATACAATGCGGGACTGTTAACAGCAGGATATTAAATAAATATTCGTGAAGGTCAAATACTATACTCTACCTTTGAAAGAACATTAAATAATCGGTGTATGCGGAGAATTTCCGGTTTTTCAATTTTTATGCTAAATGACACCGATAAAGTTGTGGTACGAGAGGCAGGTGTAAACAATTTGGGTTATGTCATAAGCACGTGGGAAAAGAATGCCGCGGGATCGTTTAAATGACACACTTGACAGCACGATCATACATAACCGAATCTACTTGGAGATTGCAGAAGAACAAAGTGAAATTCTTTTACGGAATTTCCGCATATTGACCCGTTTTTCACAGAATTCCCCGCTTTCTTGCCGACGTTTCCATGGGAGACCCGTTCGGTGATTCTTAACCTCAAAGAGCGCTTAGACACGCTTAGACGCTCTCTTATAGCGCGCACAGAATGGTTTCCTGATCGAACTCTTGATATCAGTAACGGTACGATTTCGATATTCCGACACATGGATTCAATCGGTAACTCGTCAAGTTCTAAAACATATTTAAATCTAGTCTGTTAAGTTTCTATGTTTGTTATAATTATAGTAGTTAGGTAGGTCGAGATAGAGGTTATCTATTCATTAATGGGTTAAGAGATTATTTTGTTATAATGTAACAAGTATAACTCGTTGAGATTTTAGTGATACGTATCGTAATGTCTAAATCCTTTGTGAAGTCCAATGTTACAATTGACACCTGAGAATATTAGTTTTGGTGATCCTGTATTTTTGAAGCGACGTTTACTAACAATTGTAAAAATGCTTATCAAGAATAAACTTACATACTGTATTCTGTGTGGTGTTTCTTGCCAAGCTAATATATATTTACATTTTGCAGGTGCACTAGAAGATGGATTTTACAAAGTATGTTTGGTTCCTAGTATTATTAGGTAAGTTTAAGAAGTTTGAATGACTATAACTTTAAAGTGACTATAATGTTGAAGTTTTTGTTTGTTATAATTTTAAAGTGCATCGTTTGTTTCTCCTCAGGTTTTCAGGAGGTATGGGGGGAGATTACTGTATCATCGCAGGATCTAACAGTACACTTGGGAAGTCAGAAAACGTTTACTCTGTACTTAACGTGAGTATACAATTACCTTATGGCAAATATTTGAAGATATAGTTCAGATTGAACTATAAATCTGTTGTTGTATCTAGGGAAAGTATATCAGAAGATTTAAAGATAACGTTCGAAGTACAACACTCAGATTTGGTGAAGACGGAACCGTCCAGTATTTTTGTTAATGCCACAAATCAACCCCAGGAATGGAACATTACTATATTTAGTCTTAATGCTGGACATTCAATTATTACCGCAAATGTGACCCCTAGCACAGTTACAGAGTAAGTACATAGAGACTTATCGTATAATAATTTCCTATAGTTCAAACAACGTATGAATTAAATGATACATGGTATGAACAATATTATGATTTGTTCCAAACAGTAGATTCACTCTTTCTCAAAAAATATAATCAACAACAGCCATTATCTTAATGCCTCCAGTTACGGTGCGTGACTTCTTCCTTATGATCTATTTACATTAACGAATCCATCGTTACAAACAGTTGATTATGTCACACTGCTCAGAGGTTTCATTACGATACTTGATGAAACTTCTTATCTTCTGTTAGAAAATCTAGAAATTTAATCAAGTTAATAATTACTTCAAAGAGCAAACGAATCATAGCTACGTATGATGAACTAAAGAATCTTTATATGCTGGATTAAACCAAGTTCAGGAGCACTTGATTAACATGACCTTTGATAGAAAGAATATTTTTCATGATTTTCTCTCACGCTCAGCAGAGCAATGGTCTGTGTCTCATCCGGATTGTTTACTTTTTATCAACGTCCTGAAGATTTGGATCAACAATATAGTAGCTACTCAATTATTCAGAGGCATTTAAAGAGATAACCTTTAGACCTGAACTTGTCATCAAATCTGACACTTTACAGCTGGTCAGTCTCTTCTCAGATTTTGAGCAGACTAGAACTGACTCTTGTACTCCTAACTTATTAAAGTGTAGATTAAATTTAAACCTCGTAAAATAGTGAAAAGTATTTCTAAAATTAATAGACCATCTTAACTTATTGAAGTAGAAATTAATTATCACATGTTGCAATTTAGTGATTTTATAATGTATTTTATAAATTCGTTGTGAGAAATAGTGTTGAAATAACTTGTATATAATTCATCATCATTAATAATTCATCCCTACGTGCACCAACAATGGGAATGTACAAAGTGATCATTATACCTCAAGACCAATTAAAAGACATCAATCTCAAGTAAGAATTCATGTTCCAGAGCGATGTACATAAAAGAACCAACTCATGGATAAATAATTATAAACCTATCGTTCCCATCTCCACAACAAAAAAATGTTTAATGTACTGATTTCATAAACCCAAAAATGGTGAAGTGAAATATTTAATTTGTAATCGGTGGAATTTGTTGCAGCTTTTCCGAAGCTTTTGTGAGAGTGACAATCGAAAAGTCGGAAACGCTGTTTCATATAAGTGCAGTTGTTGGATGGATATACTTTTTGGCATGGAGTGTCAGTTTCTACCCACAAATTTACAGCAACTACAAGCGCAAAAGCGTTGTTGGTCTAAATTTCGATTATTTATCGCTCAACCTTGTTGGTTTCATTATGTACGCCCTCTTCAACTGTGGACTTTATTGGATACCAGCAATCGAGGTAAGATTAAGACTTGTACATAATTTACTTCTTCTTGGCTTGTTATTATTAATCTTTTTCTTTTTTTCTACTTCAGCAAGAGTATTTCAGTCGATATCCCAAAGGATTAAATCCCGTTCAAATCAATGACATCTTTTTCGCCCTCCATGCTGTATTCGCTACCCTGATCACCATAGTTCAGTGTTTCATCTACGAGGTAATTGTACAAAAGAGAAGTACACATAAGATATATATGAACTCACTGCGATGAACCTATTTTGTTCCGTAAGTATCCGTACATCAAACATAGAGTAAATAATGATGCAAAAATTAACTTTCTGTCCTCATAGATTGGAACCCAAAGAGTTTCGACGACTGCCAGAATTATCCACGCCATTTGTATGTGTTTCGTATTCGTTACGATTATACTTGCTTTCGTACACGTGATCGCGTGGCTGGACTTTCTTTATGGCTGCAGTTACATTAAACTTGCCATCACCCTGATAAAATACGTACCGCAAGCATTCTACAATTACAAGAGACAATCTACCGTAGGATGGAGTATTGGAAACATATTTTTAGATTTCACAGGTGGCATTCTGTCGATGTTGCAGATGATATTAAATGCATACAATTACGGTAATTTAAGCAACATTCCTGTATTACATGAAAATACTGTTTTACTAGGTAATCTTAATGAATTTATAATTATACCCATGCGTAATTAATAATAAATTCTGTATCATTTCACTTGAAATTAGAAGTCAATGTTCTACGTTAATTATATCTTTGTAAAACAGTATTTTCTCCATGCATCGGTAAATTTACTGTAATCATGTAAATTAGTTAAATATCGAACTAAAGGAAGCTTATCGGCAGATGACTGGGAAAGTATTTTTGGAGACCCGACCAAGTTTGGACTTGGCTTCTTCTCCGTAGCCTTCGACATATTCTTCTTGATTCAACACTATGTGTTGTATAGGTATGTAGAATCAAGTAAAATTATGCTTAAATATTTAATTTGCTATATCCAAAAGCTTTTGTCTGTGCTTGCTAGAGTTACTCACCCAATTGACAAGGGCCAATTGTTAGGAGTAAGGCTGCATGTAAACGCATACCACGACTAATAAGACTATTAACTGAGGTTGCAGCATGTATGAGTATGCACATAGTCATAGTGATTGCATGTTCATTGTATCTCGACATTTATGAGTCTCTTGTGATGTAACTGTAGTTATCGTGGCTTGCATGCATTTGTAACTTCTTGAAGCCTGATGTAAATATACCAAAGTAAAAACAATTACTTCTGTGTGCTGTTACTGTTTGTCTGTACAATTAGATGTAAATACGGGGTAGAGCAACAATTTTGACTTTACAGATATACCAGTGAAAAGATGATCGACCTGAATGGCAAAGTGTAGCCAGCCACAGCTCGTCATTATTGATCACAAGTCACAAGCCATGTCATTCAAAGTCGTAAGAATGGTGGCATACAGAGCACGGATCATTATTATACATTTATTTCTCACAATCTAGCAATATTGAACCCCCACAAACGCGCCACAGAAAGGATAGAATTTATAGACATTGAAATTAACCTACGCTGATTCATTAAGTTAAGTGACGATGCATGAACTAGGAATCATAAGGATATGCAACGATGACATTGATTCAAGGGTTTGTACCGCAGTCCATTTGAAATGTGGGATGATCAGTATTACTGTATTAATATTTATTTGGAGGAAGGTTGTGAGACCGTTTACATTTGGCAAATGTCGCATTATATTTATACTCTATTCCTGCCGTGTTCTAAAACGACACTCACCGATGTTGACACTTTTTATCATGTAGCTTCTATTACTTTCAAACGCATTTTTATATCTCTTATAAAAATAATGAACAATGGCCTAAAAGTCTCAGGAACAATGAAATAATATAGATATATAAAATAAAAGCAAAAATATCACCGACAGGCCATAAGGACCATTACGTAGAATAATTATTCGTAAATTGTGGCGAGTATTTAAATATATTTTGTTATCTTTTGTTTATGTGTAATGTACATTTTTATTCTGAATTTTGTACACCATAATCCTGTCTCTTCATCGAAGTGCACAACATAAACATGACGTGCAGTTGTTCATTTAATTTCGCCCATTTGAAACAAGGAAAAGTAAATATATTTCCAAGTGTGTTTCCTCATTAAATAGCATCTTCATATTGAAGATTTCTTTATTTCATCGTCCCTGGCACAACAGAAGTAGGAGGAATTCATTGCTCGACATTGATTTCTCGATTTAGCAAAATATTTGCATGAAGCATGAGTTGTTATTATTCATCTGGTTGCGAAAGACTCTCTCAAAGTTTTTATCTGTCTGTGGTTGCTCTAGTCTATTGACTCAAACAGTTAAATGAATGGTGAATGAGAAAATAAACTAGCACAAATTTACTCGTTTCAAGATCTAAATGTCATAAGTACATGGGCATTAACTTAACTTATCTCATGTGAATGTTAAAATAAATGTCTAAATTCCTACTAAACCTCTCCAATTTGTATAACCATTGGCTCTGAATGTGTTGACGCTACCCTAATTTCTTGATGTATTTGTTATTATACAAAGAGACGTTATATTAAATGTCTCGAATGCAGTAAAAATGTAAATAAATGTTACACACACACGTTATACTTCAGAAAAATAATCGCAGATTTAAAAATTATCAAGCCAGCTTGGCTGCTACTAATTACATGTGTAAGATCTTCCACAATGTTGAAAATGACTTGATAACCAACTCTTAGTGGAAAAAAAATAGCTTAGCTGCTATTCCCCTAAAGGCTCCTTGAATAAAGAACTGAAGCAAAAATACATATTTATAAAACAAACAATTGAGGTTATTATGGTAGTAATCCCAGTGAAAATCAAGCAGTACAAAAAAGTCTTTTCATAGGGATCGAAAGGATTACGCAACAATTGATGGAGGCTGCTACGAGAATTATGGAGAAGGCTCATCGGTCTCGCATTCGGACTGCACCGCTTGATCCAGTTCATTCTCATGTACGGTCGACGAGACATCTTGTTTTTACATATTTTCAATAAAATACAAAAAAGAACACATATTTATTTATTTCTAAACGCTGGTCCTGATATCTCGCATAAGTTACAACATGACTTGACTGACATGCCATGCGTATTTTAATGCATACCAGAGATGAGCAGAGATGAGTTGGGAGATTGCTCACGGGCAGGAACGTGCGATCGCAACCTGTGCTGCCCTCTGGTTTCGTACGTTAGCTTTCACCGTTTTTTGCCCCCAAGGGCGGCACAACGAATTTCTGATAGGAGCTCGCGCACTCGCGAAGGCGGTACCATCTACCAGTCGCCGTTGGCGGCTCACGTACTCGTGATGGTAATACCATGCGGCAATTGACAGTGGTGGCTTACCTACGCTTACCGACACTGCTCGCTTTTGATGGTAAGGGAACAACACTCGTGACGCTCCATTTGACTTTATCTACTTATCCACTACTATTAAGTACATTGTTGCCACGAAGTCGACGTGATGCGGAGCTTTGGGGCACACGTCGGTGTCGCGTACGACTCTCATGCAGCGAATCTGTGTGAGTGCGATTGCTCCTAGAATCTTCGCGCGTCCCAACCAGTCAAGCGCCAAACTACGGGTCGAGACGTTGAGTATGTGTGCGTTCGGCGCTACACTCGACGAGTATGCGTGAGAGTCGAATACTGCGAAAAATCCTCCCGAGGCTTACTTAATTGTGGATGTAAGCCGAGTCATTTCGCGTATGATTTTTACATTTCCCTACTAGCGATATCGAGCGTTTTTCAAGCGTTTTCGAGCGTTATCGATCGTTTTTCGAACATTGTCGAGCGTCATCGATCGTTTTCGCGCGTTTTTCAAGTGTTTTCGAGCCGTACAGTGCCATTGAGTGTTGTTAAGTGCAGTAGAGTGCCGGAGAGTGCCGGAGAGTGCCGGAAAGTTGCCGCAGAGTGCCGGAGAGTGCCGGAGAGTTGCTGCAGAGTGCCAGAGAGTTGCCGCAGAGTGCTGGAGAGTGCCGAAGAGTGCTGGAGAGTGCCGGAGAGTTGCCGCAGTGTGCCGGAGAGTGCCGGAGAGTGACGGAGAGTGCCAGAGATTTGTCGGAGAGTGCCGCAGCGTGCCGGAGAGTGCCGGAGAGTGCCGGAGAGTCCCGGAGAGTCACGCACAGTCCCGTAGAGTGCCCGCACAATCCCGTAGAGTCCCGCAGAGTCCCGCAGAGTCCCGAAGAGTCCCGAATAGTGCCGTAGAGTACGCGTAGAGTGCTCGTAGAGTCCCGTAGAGTCCCGTAGAGTCCCGTACAGTCCCGTACAGTCCCGTAAAGTGCCCGTAGAGTCCCGTAGAGTTCCGCAGAGTCCCGTAGAGTCCCGTAGAGTCCCGTAGAGTCCCGTAGAGTCCCGTAGAGTCCCGCACAGTCCCATAGAGTCCCGTAGAGTCCCGTAGAGTGCCCATAGACTTCCATAGAGCCTCGTAGAGTCCCGTAAAGTCCCGAAAAGTCGCGAAGAGTGCCATAGAGTGCCCGAAGAGTGCTCGTATAGACTCGTAGAGCCCCATAGAGTCTCGTAGAGTCCCGTGGAGTCCCGAAGAGTCGCAAAGAGTGCCATAGAGTGCCCGTAGAGTGCTCGTAGAGACCCTTAGAGCCCCGTAGAGTCCCGTAGAGTCCCGTAGAGTCCCGCAGAGTGCCCGTAGAGTCCCGCACGTGTTCGATAGCGCTCGGAAACGCTCGAATATGCTCAAAAAACGCTCGAAAACGCTTGGAAACCCTTGATAACGCTCGAAAACGCTTGGAAACCCTTGATAACGCTCGAAAACGTTCTTAAAGTGTTCGATAACGCTCGAAAATGCTCGAAAAACGCTTGAAAACGCTCGATAACGCTAGTAGGGAAATGTAAAAATCATACGCGAAATGACTCGGCTTATATCCGCGGCTAGAGAGGATTTTTCGCAGCATTCGGCTCTCACGCATACTCGTTATGTGTAGCGCCGATGGTAGATGGCACCGCCATCGCGAGTGCGCGATCCCCTACCAGAAATTCGTTGCGCCGCCCTTGGGGGCAAAAAACGGTGAAAGCTAACGTACGAAACCAGAGGGCAGCACAGGATGCGATCGCGCCACCCTGCCCGTGAGCAATATCCCAACTCATCTCTGCTGTATCTGGTTTATGTTGATATTAAATATGTTCTAAAACATTCTTATTTGAAGAAAAATCACTTGACTCCTTTAGCAATAGCATCCATTAAGACCAATGATGATATTCGTAACTGAAAGGATTATTTTTAAAAGGAGTATTTTCAAATTACAAACCACTGACTAGCGAAGTCTTCTGGGAATTGTGCTAACAATTTATTAAAAATTTTCTGCACCAGCTTGCAAAAAGCACACACACCTAGGTCATTTCCTGATTTGTTGAGGAGGTAAAATCGATTGATAAAGTATTGGTGCATGAAGACGAAACCGTAGGTGGATAATCACTCCAGGGATTGACTAGCGTCGTATACGTCATTCGGCAACAGCAGTGAGACTTGTTCATACGCAGTGCGTCTAAACGAAGCCAGTAGGTAGGCAAGGTACGGGAGAGGTTAAGAGACCCCAGGACGGTTTTATATGAGTTGGTCCTTGTCGCACTCATTTGAGAATATAGTAGAAAGAGAGGTAGTGGTCTCTTGGGATGCGTGGTGGGAGCGGGAGATGAGGCGACTCACCGGTAAACCGATCTTATTGAAAGGGAGCAGACGAGCGGACCGAAGGGTGACGTCGTCTATGCGAATGGGCAGCACATTGAAAACTTTAAACGCCTCGGAGTGAAACGGTAGCCGTTGGAACATTTAAATCAAGTCAGCACCCGTGACCAGGATGTTGGCGTTAATCAATCGAATCCTGGATTGGTTCAAGTCCCTGTTCTGGAAGGAGGAAATGGAACTTACCTTGGTCGGCCTGCAGTACAGCGGGAAGACCACGTTCGTTAATGTCATTGCGGTATGATTATTATTTTAAACAGCGTGCCAATGACTCATGCACATTCACCGGATCTCGCCATCATAACCTCAACGCCTAGATTGACATTTCGTGCGGCTCGATAAGAGAAAGTATCGAGGGACTTCGCAAGAATCATTTGGTTAGATTCTATACCCTGTTTGTGATAACTTGCCTTTCAGTGAAAAAAGTCACCCGAAGACCCACCCTAGGGCTAGTTTAACAGTAATTCCCATATGTATGCAAATTATCTGTAACCATGTTGCTATTGAACTACAGAAACTGTAGATGAAACTGAAATCTCAAATCAAGTCTCAGGGATTTTAAACAATACGTCAATGTATGTCACAATTCGTCTGGTAGTCACGCTTGATAAGAACTACAGATTATGCATATGCCGATGAACTGTCATCCTGCAACAGAGTCTTACGAGTCTTATTATGCGTAATAACGATTTGATCGATGATCTCGTTGAGTGTCATTCGATCCTACTTATACTTCTAAAGTTTCACGTGTACGCACATCTTATTGTTTCTGACACGTATCCATATTGTGAACTATGCGACTATATTATTTGCAACAAAAGTAACCCTACAAACAAAAACAGTTCATTCCTAATGGTATATACTATTTTCTATATTAGTCTGCTAAATCATTCCATGTAAAAAATATGTTTCGTTTCCTCTTCACATTTTGAAGATTACATATGTGTTTCCTTTACTTTCAGTCGGGGCAATTTAGTGAAGATATGATACCAACTGTTGGTTTTAACATGCGTAAAATAACAAAGGGTAACGTCACCATTAAAGTATGGGATATCGGAGGCCAACCAAGGTTTAGATCTATGTGGGAGCGATATTGTAGAGGAGTTAATGCGATAGTTTACATGGTAGACGCAGCAGATTCGGAAAAAATCGAAGCAAGCCGGAACGAGCTTCACAACTTGTTGGATAAACCCCAGCTGGCTGGCATACCTGTATTGGTACTCGGCAACAAGAGGGATTTACCACATGCATTGGATGAGAATGGATTAATAGATAGAATGTACGTAAGCTAACCCGTTAATTTCTCAGAAGTTCTGACTTTAGAAGTTACGTTTGACAAATGCATAACTAAGTGAAAAATACTCGATATCCTTTTTTCTTTTCAGGAATTTATCTGCCATACAGGATCGAGAAATTTGTTGCTACAGCATTTCGTGCAAGGAGAAAGACAATATCGATATAACGTTGCAGTGGCTTATAGCACATTCCAAAGGTGGTGTTCGTTAGTACGTGTAATATGTACATCGTACCGCGTTGCGCAGAGAGGAGCCCGAGAACCGAGAAACGGAATTGGGAACAATCGAGTGGGAGAGAACGTTTGTTAAACTTTGGTTAAATCCGAGCAATTATAGCGAACTCCGTAATCATAAGCTTTAGCCAAAGTTGAAGTTCGAAGAATCCGTTCATGGGGGCTCGGGAATATGCTTATATGCAAGAACCCTCGTGAGTGTTATCAATAATTTGGCACATCCTGAGGGCAAGTAGCTATAAGGACGACTTTTTATATTTATGTTTTTGGTAATGTCAAATTTTAGGTCCTCGTGCTTTTCTTTAAATCTCACCTATAAATCTGCAAAAGCGTATCGAGTAACCTAGAGATACGAGACGGTAGTTAATGCGATTATTGGCGCAAAGGTATTACATGTACACAATTCCCGAGTTGTCGAGTGACTCGCAAATTAGAGAGAAAAAAAAAAAGTGAGAACATCCAAATGCTATATGTAACTAAATAATTGTATATTTAACTTAGATTTATTAACAGTACTCTATCGATTTATTATGATTCGTAATGTATCGTATGAGCGTTGCGTTATGTATATATATATTACCATGGAATAAAATGATGTACTCCATTTTGTAATTAAAGCCCCTTTCGTTTTTTGGGACGATAATACGCGATCTTAAGAGTCTACGGACAAGGCACAGCTCTGAATCGTTGACAATGAACATCTTCATTCCGAACAACGCATAGTGCGTTCCATTGTCTCATTAGAAAAATTAATAGTATTCATGACGAATCACGTTAATAAGAACATAATATTCTTAAGGATAAGGAGTAAAGTTGATATCCAATGGAACGAGGTCCGATCCAACGTGCGGAATTGATATCTGCTCGAATCGTGTACACTTCAATCTTCGTTTATTTAACTTTATCAACAAGGACATCAGAGCTCACATTTACAGGGTATACCGATACAAAGGCAGCATTGGATGTGCAATTCTGCACTCGGTAGACCCGACATTTCGTTTCCATCTGTTCTGTCAGTTATTAGCTACGTCTTCTAGGTTTACGATGAATTACCACATTACCGTACTTGCGAGTTTATCTTATACGCGGTGGTAAAACTAATAGCGGTACGCCTTTACTTTCGCTGTGGCCGATTTAGCGGCTCTCGGGATAACTCGCTTTCACGATGCCCGTCAACCTCGCATTCTACTACGCCGACTTGTTAAGATACAAAAGCTTTTACTCAGAATTGCGTCCCCGCAATCGCTTCGACTCTTCGCCTTGTACATTTCGCTAAAGCGCGTTAAACGTCTTGATTAATTTTTTACGCTACTCGCTACATATTCACCCAGTTAATATATTCTGAGGGAAAATAACCTAGTACAAGAAATCGGCAAAGATGGCTCTGCAAAGTAATTGCTGATTTAAGGCGATGCGAAAGTGACGTCAGAGGTCACGTTTATGAAACTTTTCTCCGAACTGGATGTACCGAATCTTTTGAAACTTGACAATGTCAACATGGAGGGTATAAGGAAGGTCTTGACGCCCATAAATGTTCAATTTTTAAAAAATTTCTTTATGGATATTTTCGAGATTTGTTGTAAAATTTGAAATTTCACGAGTGTTAGGACCTTCCTTATGGCCTCTATGTTCACGTTGTGAAGTTTGAAATGATTCGGTACCCCCTGTTCGTAGAAATGCTTCTCGAATGATTGACCCTTCGGATGCCAGTTTCACATCCCCTTAATGAGGACGTCGTTGTTCTCCTTCACGTCGACAAAGTTGTTTCCCCCTCTCCGTTAATTAATATCTGTACATCTTCGGGTTCGCGCGCAACCCGAGTATCGACATTTCCTACTCGAATATATTTATTTACCGATTTATAATGCACGTAGCAAACGTCCGTGTACGTGTACGCGTCCTATGTACTCAACTAGGTATTTTAAATGCAGGTCGCATGTCTGGGTACGAAATCGTTACGTCTAAGTCCCATTCAACATACACGTTAGAAAATATATTGCCACTAGTCTCTTACCGGCTACGTTTTTTTTTTTCTCTTTGGAATAGCTGCTTTAATTTCGCCACCCGTCTCCCACGACAATGGGGCATGTTGATAAGACCTTCCCGAGGCGTTTGCAAATTTTTCAGACACTGCAGTGCCCGGGTACACGTGGAGGAACGCTTTATAAAATGCTTCGAAAATTTGGGAACGTTGGGTTACTTTTGAAACGCCTCGGCATTGAGTCTTGTACGCCTCGTATCGTGCTGGTGGTACGGTACGAAACGGATGTAATTACTAAGTAACTACTTTACATGGTAAATCTCGATGCACATGAATGCACGTACAAAATTAAAATATGCCTTCCATCGGCATTTTATTTTTCTGTCGCTTTTTACTAGTTCTCCTTATCTCGGGTCCCAAATGGTTGGCTTCTTAAGGGGACGCGAAAGTGCCATCTTAGGGGTCAATCGTGCATGGAACTTTACTTCAAACTTTTCAATGTGAATATCAAGACTGTAAGGGAGGTCCCGACACCCATGGAATTTCATTTTCTATACAAAATTTCAAAAACGTATATAAACAAATGTTTAAGAAATTGAAGCTTCATGGGGATGAAGTTTTAAAGGCTTTCCTTGTAGCCTCCATATTCACGTTGTGAAGTTCGATACGATTCGGATATACCCTTTTCGGAGAAAAGTTTCATGAACGAGACCTCTTTGACCCCAACTTTCACGTCGCCTTAAACGCCGTTGTGATATTTCCTCTAAGGATTAAATTCATCCGCCTTTCCGATGGCTTCCAAAAGTCGCCCGGAAATTGTTAAAACCTTTTGTAGACACTTTCGATCGCGCGGTTATCTACTACCACAGATTCGCAGGGATATGAGTATTCAAAACGTCCAGGTTTCGGATGCACGGCTGGAACGCCACCAATCGAATGTTTTTTTAACAAATGGCAAAAGACTCGTCGAGCGAGCAGTTTCGCTTCAATATTCACCGGTGTATTCGCTCGGTGATCAATGTTCAGTTATTGGCGCATCCCTCGGACCGATGCTCCAATTCTCTGTACAATCTATCAGCTAATATCAATGTACATTTTCTGTCCGTACGTAAAACTGGAAGTCTAGGCGCATGTTTGTTCATCGCATTTCGTTCACCGCTGAAGGCGAATTCCGACGCGACATTTGTATAAAGATGAACATTTTCTTTACCTAACAGGCATTCGGTAAAGACGCTTCAAGTTAAGGGGATTTAAATTAACGTCCACATTGGCGTCGTTCTCTTGTGGTGCTTCTTCTAAATAAATAATTGGTAAGGTCCCAGGCAAGGAGATGCTGCGCTTGGAATTCGCAAAAGTACGGACCGTTAGTTGTGATTAAATTGCGGGGATTTTGTTTCAGAAGCTCTTCTTGTATATCTTCGTTGTGATAATGGCGGGCCCCTCGATGCATCCGCTGGAATGCATTTTATTAAACGTTTGTCAGCTGAGATGCTACGTCCTCTCGCCTAAACGGCGTTCTTATTACTTGAAATCCCGGCTCTTAGAAGCCAGGGTACAATGAAATTTGAAATCATCGCCCAAGATAAGGAACGGCTCCACCTGGAATCAAAAGGGCTTTTTTGTTCAGAATTTATTCGGGAATTTTGTCAAGTACTGGTTGCACTTTGCACTCACCGAGAATAAATTCCCAATGATCCCTGATCCCATGATATCTAATCAGCATTCGGGCTCGTAGAAAAAGTCATTCCTCAGATCCTCGCTAGGATCCGATGTCGATTCTTATCGTTTCTACAACATAAAAGCAAAGGCCCTCTTACACCTAAAGGGCAACGTTAGGGATGGATGCAGTTTATTTAAGTACTGTGTTATCGAAAGATATTATTGCAAGCGACTTCAGGTTCTCTCTCTTTTTTTTTACCTCATCTTCTGTGACGTCTCCAATAGACGGTACTCTTCGCAAGGGACGCAACTTTTGCCTTTCGCTGACGGTTTCAGTTTCGAGACTCGCTGCTTGGGCAATCTGAGTAGTTGAGGTATTCACATTTCTGGTCTTCATTAATGGCGGATTTCGAGATTGAGGAATCGCGAAGGCCCTTCTGAGGGACCCTCTTGGAGGTGACGGAGGAGGGTAAGAGATACCTGAAATATATAAAGCGAATGTCTTTGTATAAATGTGCCCATCGTGAATAAATCCAGCATATAATTCAGTAGTTCGGTCCAATACCCTTAAAAAAAGTGTCTTATTCGAATCGACCGATTTGAAGGGGTTTCCCTTCACCCTAATAAATCGAGTAACAGATGACGAATGCATCGGGCATATAACTCTAGTGTTAGTAAATCAGGTGTTTGACGTGAGTCAAACTACGTGCAGTCGTGAAAGTTCATCTCGCGTACCTCGATGGCCCGGAGAGAGCAGGGCGTCTTTGCTCTTCGTAATTTCGGGCACTATTAGAAGTGAGTTCGGAGGTGTAGGAGAAACTGTCGAAGTTTGCGGTGAAGTGGCCAGAGTTAAATTTGGTAATGACTGGCCCAGATTCTCGTATGGAGACACTCGGACGCTGAGGGTGTTCGGAGTGGGAGACTTGGACAGTAAGGCTTGCCTGCGACGTAATGAAAGAACGTTAACAATTAAAATCTTCAATTGATCCTCTCTTATTTAATCTTTCCCTACTTTTATAAACTTAAACGTGTCATACTTTTCCAGAGGGGAGTATTACTTACCTGCCTCGTTGAGACCTACTATGACTATGACTACTTCCGCTGGCACTTTCGACGCCCTCTTCCGACGAAACACTGGAAGCCCTTGGCGGTTCATTGGTATCCATACTGACGTTTCTACTTTGATTATGGCTTTGCACGAAACTACCACTGCCTGGAGAGACTCCCTCCATTTCTACGCTTCCACTGTTAGCAAATAATCCCACCGTGAGTCTTTATTCCAACCTTTGCTAGGTTTTTAATTTTATTTCCGATTTTTATTATACGGTACCTATGGCTATGGACCAAACTGCTGACACGAGAAGCTCTACTGCTTCCACGTGGAGTCCTAGGTATAACTTCGTTATCTTCGACGTCAAAATCTCCGTCACCTACGTACATGCTGGCTTGTCTAGTAACAGCGGCAACGTTCGTTGCATCTCCCTGGGATTGCGCTTTAAGGGCCGCGAATGACTGCTGGGCTGTCTTCAGGGACTCGAACCAAGACTAAAGAAAATTGTTTAAATAATATTTAATACGTGTATATATGCATATATATAAATGGATGGTCGATGGGATATGTTAATAATTCAAGTAGTGACTTATAACGCTCTTTTCGACCGGGGAATATGGCGTTGGGAAATACGGACGCAAGAGCTCGGGTCTTGCATCGCATTTACCCGGTTAGTAAATCCACGAAGATGGCCGATATAAATTATGGACAGGGAACCGAGAGCTCAGCGAAATTGCCAATGTAAACGGCTGGTGTGCCTGAAATATACCCATAACCATTTAGACTAGTATTTCTCTTGGACTTACTACTCCATTGGCGAGACCAGAACTTATAACTGCCATTTACACTGTTCATCCTTTCGGGCTTACCAGCTAGCGGTATGGATTTCATCACGGAGATTTACTATCTCGGGTACACGCGTAGTCAACATTGTGAGATATTAAAATTACGATGTCAAGGATTTTTCCCCTGAGGAGGAAAACAGAATCGTGTCTAGGAATATCGAACCTTCGCCAGTTTCGGCTCGCCGGCGCTCAATACGAGGACTGCAGTGGCCACTCCGTATTCGTTTAAGTACACTAATCCGAGATTAGTCGACTCCTTAAGCAAGTGAACCCGAATACGGTCTATAACGAATGGCTGTCTGATGACTTTTAGGCCTCCACTGCTGGTCGTCCCGCTACCAGCCCCAACTTTCTTGGTAGACGGCTTACAAATGAGCAACATATCTGTTAATAAAAGAACATGGACTTCCGTCTGAAACATACATTTATCATGCCATGAATGAAGTTACAAAGGCTTTCAAAGGGGCTGTTCTCACAATTGTAGGTTCAAGTAATAGTTTTTAATACAGTGGACTAATAATACGATCAGAGCTGGGTAAAATGATTCTCTGATACCGATTTCAAATTAATTCAATTGAAACTGTTACCCAGTTCTGGATATGATAAAATGTTTCAAAGAAGGCAGAGCAAGTCGAGTACCTTGCTTGTAGCAGCGTCTTTGAGCTTGAGATCTCCTTCTCGAAGCAGAGCCCTCGTCGCATCTTTAGGACATCCTGGCATGGGAACGGAATTGATGTCCAAGTTGCTGTGAGTTCGGACCAGTTTATCCAATTCTTCGTCCTTCGATTCGACAACCTCGTAGCTATCCAGTCGTGAAGCCGCGACAGCCAGCCGGGCGGCTTCTTCGCTTCGCCGCAGAGCTGCATTCACGGAAGCCACGAAATTGTCCACGAACTTTATCTATGGAGGATTGAAGAAAAAGAAGAAGAAGAAGAAGAAAGAGAAAGAAACGACGCGTTTCGTGTCAAGGGAGAGCGAGGGCCGAGAGGTGTCCCGAGGGGGCTAGAGGGAGCTTTTGAGAAAAGAGGAAGGAAGAGAGAAACGAGAACCGAGGAGAGCTTTCCGGGCGGAGAAAAGGAGATTTCATAATTTGGCCTAGACTGACTTAGGAAATCTCGTTATGACACCGCAGATATTTACCATAAGGCTCAGCTCCGTACGCTGATCCTCGTTCTCGGTGCTCTTGTGAGCCGCTCTCAAAAGGAGGGAATACTTGGTCAACCTCTGCATTGGCCTGACCAAGATGTCCAAAAGACGCAATCGGTTGCACTCTTTCTGTGCCTCGCACCACTGGAAATGATTTTTAATTGTTCGTTAGAACGACCTCAATCACTGCCTGCGTATAAACAAATGGTATATATTAAAGGTGATTCTTAATAATCGCTCACCGCAAGGTAAGCAGTAAAGAGATCATTGTCGTTCAGACGATCTCTGCAATACTGTTGGCATTTACTCTGTTCTGCGCAGTATCTGGTATAGGGCGCGAAAATTTGCTCGAAGTTCTCAAAGCCCAGGAGAAGATGACCCGGATCTAGTGGACGTTTGGTTACTCTGGCAACGTTGACCATTCGCAAAAGGTGTTCGCTCCAAAAATATCGATTAGCCTCGTAGATGTCGGGAATATTGCTAAAGAGTTTGGTCTTGTCAACCTCCGTTAGGATATTCGAAGCCTGAAGATTGCAGAGGCAGGCCATGAACAGCTGAAGAGGAAACGGGGAACACCCCATTTAGACAATATTCACTTTTTTATAAATCAATGCCATTTCTTGCCTCTTGGCTAGGTGACTTACATCAGTCACGACTTTTAAAGTCTTAATGTAGGCCACTTCTGTTTGAGCTAGTTCCCAGAGGACTGTTTGCTGATGTTGCTGTTTCTCCGACAAGAGGTCGGAATTCTCCACAACGCTGCGCCAGTCATCTTCCAGAGCATACAGAGCTGCGACAAAGAGACATCGATCCAAATTTGATATAAAATTCATATCTTTTTGAAAAATAAATAATTGCCGACTTAGAAGAAAGGCACGATTAAAATCGCGACTTTTCCTAAATACTTCAATTATTCGAATAAACTCATGTAAAAGATTAGGTTCGATTCAATTATTGTTATTGTTAGATTCAATTATTAGGAATATACGGAGCAATCGAAAAGCATGTAAATTGATTTTCTTTTTCAACAATTACAATAGTTAAGCTGTTTAATTTTTAGTTTTCTGAAATGACGATCATTTTGTGTACTAGTCGGCGGTTAACAAAGATTCTTGATTTTCAGAAATAAAAATCAGTTGATTAGAATAAATCATTTTAATTGTGATTTAAGTCAACCGAGTTTTGGGGAAAAAAACATGGTTAACAAGGAAGGAGAGTTGGGAAGCAAACTTTACCTTCTTCGTTTTCGCGGACCGGTTGCACACCTGGACGTCGTGGTACGCCACGTTTGCTATAATTATTGAGCTGCTCCACTAATGACTCCATTTTTGTTCCTCTGGTGTTGGCAAAGAAACCGCTCCATCGTTGCTTGCTGGCTTTGAGCGCTGCAACGCCTACAGGGCCTTTGCCGGAAGTAGTCGTCGAGCTGGCGGAAGTGCCACTTTCGGAACCTGTACTTGGATCTTCCGTGGACGCGCTGAAGAAGCGACTATTTCGGTTTCGATAGCTCTACGAAAGAAAAATCAGAAATATAAAAAAGAAGCAGAAAACTCCGACAGAAGTCGGCAAACTTTACAGCTAAATTACAGAATAATGCTATATGCAGGCAAAGTTGCAATTCAATAAATATTAATATTCAATAATAATAGAAATGAATCTAAATAGAAAAGAAAAAAAGTCACGTTGCCAGTCTCACAAGACTTTTTAGTCAGTCCAGTCTGTGTAAAAGCGTAAAAAAAAATAATACCAAACGCTCAATATCGCGACACATTTCATAGAAATCTTCAATTTGACCTTTCTTGTGAATATCGAGACAATCAAAGCTTTCGAAAACGTCCCCCGTTTAATTCTCCACGCAAGAGCCAAGCCGTGCCAAACAGGCCTTTCGAGATCGTACGTTTCTTAATCTATAAATACCATTTCCCCGCGCACCTGAACCGGCGGATCAATTTCCCCAGTATCCGGCCCCGTAAATCTACGTCTCCTGCACGCGCTTTCTCACTCACCCCTCCGGCCTTCTTCAGCGACGAGTTTCGGCCGTTCCTCTGGCCAGCCGAGCCCGAGTTCGATTTCTCCCCCCTGGCTGGATAAGTGTCATGTAACATAAGAACAAGTCGGAGTTAACAAAGCCGAGGAGCGCGAGACTCGCGGGGATGATTACGAAAGAGCATGATTCAGGATTAAACCGTAGAGCCCTCGCGATCGGTGGATATCGATCCCTCCAGGACTACATGGTAGGGATATATCACGCTCACTATGTACTACCGAGTCCGAAATCAATGAATTTCCAACCGAGCAGGCTATTTACATATGACCTACCAGCTCGAGTCGAAATTTTAGCCCTACTTTGAACCTGCATAACCTGAGTTATCCCTATTTCGGTTCCACTTCATTCTTTACGTATTATTCTCAACCATGTACGTTCTACTTAAGAATTAAGTCTTGATTTATGCCTAAAGATTGAAGAAATGGAAATATCTGCCATTTTTAGGGTGTACGTGGAACCATTACTTCCTCCCAAGTAGAACGTATAAGATTGAAAATAGGATGTAATCAGCGAAATAGGGCCAATAAAGGTCTTACTTAGGTCTTGCGTAGGTTCAAAGGAAGACTAAAATTTCGAATAGGTCGTCCTTCATTATATTACCTCAATACCCCTTCAAGGGTACATGAAAATGGCCTCCGAGGCGTCTAATTATATATGAAATGTCGAGAATTTCAAGACCTTCATTAGGACCTCTATAATTACGTGTTAACATTTTTAATTATTCTGTGCACCCTGTTTGGAGAAAAAAATTTTATAAATATTTTTATGTTTTGATATACATACATATATGGACTTTCATCACACCTTAAAACCTAGAACCTAGAACCTAGAGGTTCTAAGTGTAGGTGGGATTAAAATTTCGACTCTAGTGTTCGAATCCCTTAATTTTAAACTCACCCACGACTCTGAGGTGTTTCCCCCCCAGGCCCGAGGTCTCCGTGATGTAGACAGGCAACGGGGTCGGCGAGGTGTCCAGAAGGACGTCAACGTGGGCCAGGTTGACCCCTCGGCGCTCGCACGCTCCGCTAAGTGCTTCCCTGAAAAGGGTGGCAATCTTTTAGAGAAACGCAAAATCATGCCCCCGTTTTCTGGGACGTCCTGCCGGTAATAAGGCCTGGCCCGGGTCCTGACCCCCGAGGGTCACGAAACCCGGGACACGAAAATCGGAGCCCTTTCAGGAGTGACGCACGAAGCCCGAGTCCTTATTGCCGACCCAAGGGAGGAAAAGGTCACCAGGATTTACCATCCTGCCACTGAATCGAGGCGTGAAAATCACTTAACCAGGACGTCTATTCAATCCTGTCCTGTCGGTATCAAGTTTTAAGGCCTTCGCCCTCACCCTGGGTACTCTGTTAAAAATATATCCCCAAAAGTTCATACACTTTTGGTGCACATACATGCGAAAAAATTATGAATTTGAAGTCTTGAAAGTGAACCACCATTTTACGAATTTCTAAATAAAATGATTTCATAACATATTACGAAATCACCTTATTTATGACACTAATGTGTTAGACATATAAGAAATGTTTACAAATTACAGGAATTATATATTGTAAGGTCCTCGTCTGAGTGAAACTTCCGAAAATGAAAATATAAATCTGATAAAATTGAAATATCCTTTTAACCGTGTAGAAATAGTAAGCGGAGTAGTAAAAAATCAGCTGATCGAGTTGCAGAAAATTTATACAGATTCGTGAGGTATCCGTAAAGGCTCTTTCCTATTCTTTGTCTATTTAAATAATTTTCAAGCTCGTTCCGCAAAGGAACCGGGTCCCTCTCGCCATCATCTCGTTGAAATCTCCCGGCATGAAATAGAGCCATCCGCGGAAAGCCCGAATAATGTCTTCATCTTCCGCATCGATGCGAAGCTTTACGAAGAGTCGGGTGCGAACATGGGCGGTCGGCGAAATAGCAAAATGGTAAAGCGAGGACAAAGAGCGACGATCTTTCGCGCCAGCCGTCATAAATCGGAATTGGCCATTAATTCGGGGAAAGGCACGATGGCCTTTCAGGGTGTCTGCATCCTTCCTTCGGTACTTGTTACGGACATTTACGTCCGAGGACCTGCACTTAATCGTCCTGGGGGCCGGCGAAAACGCATCGATCCAAGCCCTGAAGAATGGTGCATTTCGAGGTGCAATCGATATCAACCCGCTATAACCGAAGAGCGTATCCACAGGTACCGGTGTACAGGTGCATACGTACATAGGAGGGTACGCACATAGATGCATACAGGTGAAAACGTACATACATTCATCCAGGTACATACGTACTTGTATGGCGTACGTATCAGCCTCTCTTCGGACGTGCATATGTACGTTCATACAGGTACATAGGTACGTGTATGGCATACGTACCAGCCTCTCTTTGTACAGGTACCAGACAAATGACACCAGCCGAGTGTCGGCCCAAGAATCGAGGGTCAAAGAATGGAGACTTCGCCGCGAGCCTTTTGTTCGCATGATAGATCGCGTACACTTATTGCCCTACTTCCTCTCCGAAGACGAAGAGGAGTGCTTTCCTCTAGGTGCTAGTCATACTCACGACAAGTAGGTGCCCTTAGTTGCGGGCAGAACTTCTCCCTGATCGACCGTCCCGGCGTCGTCCTCGCCGACTTCGAAGCTCACGCTGAAGCACTCTCTGCTCAACACCTGAAGAGAAAATACCCGGGAAGAGATTACCAACTTAATGCCGCTCATTATTTAAGAAATTTACGAAGACTACGGGCGGGGATAAATCGATGCCTCGGGAGAAGAAATTGCGAAATGAAGATCGGTGCCCGGCTGAACGCGCGTTCCAAGTGGAACTTCTAAGTTAAAGAGAATAATTATATTAATCCCTAAAGATCATGTAAACGCAGTTGCAGGGAAATTGTATCATGTAGTTCATGCACTGTAAAATGAATTTCATCGTGATAAATCTAATCTTTGCGCGAGAACTCAACATTTACAGTATCGAGAATGAAAGAAATTTCCACTCTGGGGGCGAAAATAAAACAATGCCTCGATGAAAAAAAAAATGACAAAGAAAACAACAAAAACATACGCAATTATACTTGTCAATGAAGAGATAATGTAAACGCAACTATAAGGAAATCGTGTCGAATGTAGTCCATCCGTGGTAAAGTGAGTTTCCCCACGCGCAGATAAATTCAATGTTTGCACGAGAACTCCTCATTTGGAGTATCGAGTATGAAAGCTGACGTAGACACTTTGTTATCTTTTATATCGTAAACGTGAAACGAGGGTTGATATCATCGGGCTACTATTTTAAGTTCGCGTGAGCACGTTGAGACAGAAGGCGCTCTAATTTTAAGCCGGGTTACGAAAGTATTGTTGATTTTACGCGGTTAATATACGCATTCGCCTCGCCCATTGATTTATCAATTCGCAGTTCTGATTAATCAGAACTTGCCTGGGATTGCGACGGCGCGCGATCAGGACGAGTCGGCTCGTCCTTGCCGGGCTTTTCGGGAACCAGGAGCCTCGGGGTACATTCCCATGCATCCTGACCTCGACGTTGTCGATGCCACTGGGTGCGAAGTTTGCTCTTCGGGTCCTCTTCGCCTGGAAGAGGTTCTCCTCCTGTGTCCAGCATGGTCGAGCTGAGAGTGTCCAGCTGAGTGAGCGACCTGGAGCGCACCTGGACATTTAATCAACATTTTAGAACCCCCACCGGAACCTTCCTCTGACACTGAAACGGGGGAACATTGACTCGTGAAATGTCCAATTCAATAATATTGTACTAGCCCGGAATAATCGGGACGCAAATAAACGCAGACCATTAAGTAACCCATCCATTTTAGCGCCGCTCCGAAATAGCCACGAAAGGGGATGCCCGATAAATACCGCAGAATAATCCGTATAAATTTATTGGCTTGTCCCATAGGCTCGTGACCTTTTAGATCGACATAAAAAAATTCAGGTTAAAACGTGGAATTTGATAATATTAATTAATAACGCGGTCTAATACGTCGTTCGCGACTTCTTCTCGGCGTTCGAGCAGATTTTCGATTTCTCGCTCGAGACAGATACGATGGAGAAGCACAGATAAAACGTACGGAGCATTATAAATTGTCGCGATTCAAGTATAACATTCAAGGATAGACGAATAGGTCCATCAAACCCCGCTGACCTAAGGTATGGTGGGATTAATAATACGCCCTCCCTTAATTAAAACGGCACTTTTTTTACGCGGTATATTATAACACAATTCGCGCGGTTTTGAAACGTCATTATTACTAATTTTTTTTTTGTTAAGCTGTTTAAAATAAATTATATGTGAAAGACCTACGTGTAGCTTTTATTTCCAATATTCTTTTGTACCGACAGACTTAATTTACGCGATTTTCCCTCGCGTAAAACGAATCCACGTGGGGCGGGTACTCCGCGTAAATTGAGGGGCGAGGGAAAATTGTAAAAAAAAAATATGATAAAATGTTAAAACTTTAAACATCACGAATTTACGAGTCAAACCAATAATTTCAATGAACGAGAAAAATGTAAGACATCCACTTACGGAGCATTATAAATAATCGCGGTTCAGGGTATTTTTTAGGGATTAATATTCGCGGAGAGGAAGAAGGTCCATCGAACCCCGTTGACCCAGGGTATGGTGCGGCCGAGGGCATATGAATTCGTGGCTGCGTTTCGGCGCAGGGGCTCGTTACCTGGACCCGTCCCACGGGCGGCGAGACCACCAGAAAGATCCTCATAGTCGCCTTCAGGAAGTCATCCTGGTTCCGGTTGGGCTCAGGTGGAGCGGCCTCGGAGACGCTGGCGCTGCTCCTGGCGGTCTTCCTGCGCACCTTGCGCCTTATACTCCCCACTAGCCTTCGCCAGTCCTGACCGCCCCCGCCACTTGCGCCGCCACCTGCGCCGCCTCCTCCACCTGCGCCGCCTCCGCCACCCGCGCCGCCGCCGGCCCCGCCGCCGCTCTCGCCCACATCGCCCCCGCGACGTCCAGGGGTCGAGCCCGGAAGTTTGGCCAGGACGGGCTCTCCTCTGGCTCCTCTTTCGTTGTCCCTGTTGGGACTTATGGGGACCAGAGGACTCCGCCCCTGATTAACCTGCGTGCCCTCCTGGTGCTGTTTCCACCAGCTCTCCGAGATTACCGATCGCAAATCGTCATGTAGTTCCTCGTAGAGTGTCTCGGACGATGCTCCTATAGTGCTGGACGTTTGGGATCAGAATTGTATCCAATGAACCTGATAATAGGTCGTCTTTCGATATACCCGTCGGGACTTCCGGGAACCAGAGGATTTCGCCCCTGATTAACCTGCGAGTCCTTATGGAGCGGCTTTTTTCCCCAGCTCTTCGGGGTTACGGATCGCAAGTCGACTTGGAGTTTCTTGAAGAGCTTCTTGAATAACCGGTCGTAGATATTGCGTCTATTGTCTAGGACTTTTGGGACTAGAATCGGGTCGGACGAAGCTGATAAAAATGGACTCTCACCTTATGAGTACCTTCTTCCAAGTCGCATCTACTTTCAAGGTCTTTGTTTTCTTTCGTTGACCTTCTAGGTACCTTAAAATGCCCTTGCGACGATTTTGCACACGGTTCGTTCGGGTCGTCTGGCAATCTCTACCGATGCCGATCGGATGACCTCTACGGACCTCTTAGGCCGTCGAGAAATGGCTCTTCGCCTACTTCCACTACTTTTACTTTTGGCTAGAGTAATACTTAACCACTGCTCGGTTATCAGGGCCGTGCGTTATCGGCCGGGCTCGAGAAAGGAAAATATTCTCGTTCGTCCCGGTCTTGCAGATCCTGAACCTAGAAGAGGTACGATGCACTTTCCCTGGGTACCTTTAGGCCGCAAAGAGTTAGTCCTTAGTCTTCTCTATTAAGCTGCCGAGCTGCACCGGTCCGTTGCAGTCGCCTTGCAGCTATTTAGGCCGTACGATTAATGGCTACGATCCTTCGATCTCGTCCTCTACTTTTGGCTACGGAATATTGCCCACGGTGAATGCTACGCTGTTCTATAAAAATCACTTTTAGCGGAGTATACAGGGACTCTTCCTGCCGAACTACGTCCTAGTCCAGCCTTCAACTAGAAACTACAAATTGCTGGTCGATACAGGGCTGTATTGCTGCCAAGGACCTCTTAACGCGAGGTGGCACGTCTCTTCCGATCTTCCTCTACAGTTTCCAGGCTACGTTACACTCATCGTGTTCCCTAGTACCTACGAACACCAAGTGACGAACATACTCCCGAAGCAAGTAGACTCCTTCGTAAAACGTATCGCAATGTCCGAAACTCCAAATCTCGGGTTAGGCCGAATCCTGGTCCGGTGCTCCGATCCGCCGTCAGCTTCGCATTCGTCCTCTTCGTCGTCTTCGCCCTCGCCTGCGCCTCCTGGTTGATAAGCCACGGCTGAACTTCGCTGTATCTGGAAAAGAAATGTCAACGATCACCACGAGATAAGAGAACTAAACCCTGACCGCAAATAATTATAACTAGAAATTAATATAAAAAGAAAATAAGAGCGTCGTCGCTAATCGCGTTGAAAGTGAAACTTCCGAGTTCAAGAGAATTACACTATCAATCATTCCTTATCATTCAACGAAATGTCCTTAGGCGCTGTGTGCTGATTAATTTCAGCGAAACTGTACGAACACCCGAAGATGAATGTAAATAGTAATTCGTTGTATACAAGAATAAATGTTTCAGTTTTCCTTAATTCTCTCTCTCTTTTTTTTTTTTTTTTAATACGTGCTTACCCAACCGTGACATAAGTTACACTACAAAAAAAAGAGTAATTACTCGAAAAGTCGCGTTACAATGATCGCACGGATACTACTCGCAATTAGGGTGAGAAAATCTCGCCTCGGAGGCGTCCTAAATCCACGAGGATTCGGAGGAACGCGAAAAGGCCATTCCGGCGGCAAACGTATCAGCCTTTTCCGGGGCTTTCGGGCTTTCAGGACTGAGAGGGAGCCCCTTCATTTCCCGTCGATCGCGAAAGTGTGGGAAACGACGGTTTCCTCATCCGGGAAAACAGCCGGGGAGCGATTCACGAGAGGTGGCCCAGTTTCCCGGAGGCCGAGGAACGTGTTCGATGCCTCTTATTGGCCAAGGGTAGGAACCTTCGAAGTCTGCCCGGTGAGGCCGATATAGGCTCAAAAATCACTAAGCCTGCCCGTGATTGGATGTGGCGAAAAGAGGTCGCGACAAAACTAAGGTCCCCGCAGCCTGAGATCGATCGCCTCGATGGAGATAGAAGGGGCGGCGTAGGGTCGAAAGAGTAAGCAAGAGGAAGAGGCTGCAAGGGGTCCAGCGCCGGCAAGACGACCCCCAGACAGAAAACGCTCCCTATCCCCTCGGGACGCCCTCGGGATATCCCGTCGTCTAAATGCGATCCCAGGAATGACCTACGCCATCCCCACTGTTCTTTCCGGCATTCGTCGCGATCTGATAGTCCCTGATCGCCCTGTAGGATGCTCCAGGGATACCGCAAGGATCTTCCAGAGGGCTTATCAGCGTCGGATAATCGGTGGGGTCTTCCCAGGTGGCCGAGGGATACAACAAGCGTTTCGCACCGTGTAAGAACATTGAAGCCGAAGAATCTCGAGTGTATCGTGAAAGGGAAGGGATCTGAACCTGAAATGAAAATTGAAATACGTGAGAAGAGGTAAGACGTTGATGTTAGTACTGTAGGATGCTCCAAGGATACCGTAAGGATTTTCGCAGGAGGCCTATCTGCGCCGGATAAACTATGGGGTGTTTCCAGGTGTCCCCAGGATACAAGAGTGAAAATAATGAAGACTAAGAATCTCAGGAGAATGACGAAAGGGAAGGGATCTGGTCCTGCAATGAAAATTGATACACGTGAAAAGCAATATGATGTTAATGTTACTGGTCGTATTATAGAATTGTTTACGGAAACCGGAATGATCTTCGCTGGGATCTTCTTATCCGCGTCAGAGGGATCTTCCCAGATGTCCCCGGGGTACGAGTGTTTCACCCGAAGTAAAAAAATGATCGAAGGCGAATCCCAAGTTATACCATGAACCCATGAAAGGAGGGGATGCAACCCTGAAACGATAATTGGAATACGTGAGGGGGGTGAGATGTGATGTAACCAAGGGGTATCCTTCCGATTAGGCTTATCAGATGCCGCGCGACGTAATGTTTTGTCGTAGCGGCGTCCAGGTGCGAACAGGTGCACGCGCCGTAATTCGACCTCGAAATGCGGAAAATGAATGAAATTACCCAAGCGACGGCGGGCGACGTCGCTTAAGCCTTATCAGATCCAGCCGGACCGCCACGTGATTTCCCGCACGTACCCCGGAACAGGTACGCGAAACAACGCAATAACCGAAAATGGACAACCCGGGTTATGTAAGCCACCGTATTCGGAAAAACACGAAGGATCCTTCCCCACCCCTTGAATAATCCTACGCAGTCCTCGCCGTCTCGGGCAGGTGCGTGCGTAACAGCGTAACAACTAAAAATAAATAAACCAAATTACGTAAACCGCGTTACCTCGGCTCGAAAATTCCTCGTATCCCGGGATTTCCGTCGTACCCTTGAAACAACCCAAACAAGCTTCCATACCTCGGAATAAAAAGCGAAGAAAATCGCCACGCTTATTGGACACTCGTTGCCAGAACCATCCATTCCCCGTGCACCTTTTGACCTTGCGTGGTCTGAATGCGTTTCGTGCAAAATGAGGCTAAACGGGTCTGAATGAACGAATCGACGATTAAATATGGGAGGAAATATGTGGCGGACGAATATTTGGTTATACTCAGTCAGGTCTTACCTGATCCCGCGCAGTCGTCGTGACGTCATACGGTGGCTCGGCGCTCGGCAGCGCGCACCAGTCCCGCCGCGTCCCCTCTCGCGAGCCTCGGCCGACTAATCGCCATTTGCCCCCAGCAGAGACCGGGGTGCTGGCCACCGGGGTGCCGATGAGGAGTCGCGGTACCTGCCACCTGGTTGGCTCCACGGGGACGCTCGCTCGGCCGGGCGCGCAGTCGGGCAGTGTCCGCGGGACGGCGCGCGCGTCACCCTCGCGGGGGCTGCGCGACCCTTGACCCTCGACGCGTCCTGCGCGCAGGACTCGCGCGCATCGACCGCGCCGATAACTCGCGATGAGTCGCTATCGCCCCTATCGGCGCCCGTCGATATAGCCCGGACGGCTTCTCTCTTCTTTTTTTTTCCCCCCTTCTAAAAGGAACTCCTTTTTGCGACATGTAAAAAGGATCATTTATCACGCCGCCCTTTAAAACCCGGCCCCGATCCATGACGCATGATAAATGCGCGTAGAGAAACCGAGTCGATTCGCCGGTATTCCTGGCCTATCGACCTGGTTTGGTTTATTAATTAGGGCTCGTGTAAATTGACGACCTGGGGGAGGGCGCACCGACGTGTCTCCGCGGTTTTTCAAACTTACTCGGGGGGAGAAATTAAAGGGGGAATCCCGACGAGCTTCCGGGGCTTTTTGGGTTAAGTACTAAAAAGGGAGAATTAAAATAGAGAGCGGAAATGTGGAATTGCGATAGGTTTCGTGAAATTGTGACTATGGAAAATGTGGACTTCGGAAAGTTGATATTAAGCGGCCGAGTAGAATTTAACTGTATTGTTGTTAATGTTATTAAGAAAGCGTGGCTTGTAATTATGGTAGAAATCGGAAGAGTGGTTCCTTGTATATTTTGATTATATTCGAGGTGTACAAAAACGTCTAACCTGTTAGAATGATCATTTGATGTTAAAACTTATATATTATTTAACGATAAAAGTCTGTATCAAAAGATAGCTTGCTGCAATGTCAACATTTAAAACGCTGTGAAAAATAAGATTCTCGGACTGCGGAATTGGACTATGGAGAAATGCGTTCTGGTGGCTTATTCTATCGAGATATCAACATTGGATAAATGTCACGAGCGATTCCGTTTGATTATGTCATAAGGTATTGATATTTGAGAGGCATCGTTCCGAGAAGAATTTGTGCTTCTCTCTTTTTGCACTGCCGGATTTGGGCGAGAATGTGAAGTATTTTGATATCTTCTGTTCCTTTGGCGTTCCTTCCTCTTCTACCTCCTCCCATTCGACGCTTAAAGATTTGGACTCCAGTATTGTCTCGGCGGTACTCCAACTGAATCTGACAATTTGAGGGAATCCGAATACGTTGTCCACGTTGTCTGTCAACCATTTTTTAGTTACAGGATCGTTTGGATATCCACTACCGTACTCATTCTCGTTCGTGCCCTCCCGGAACTGCCAGGCTCGCAAAGCGTGATCCCTTGATACCTTGGCACATATACTAGCGGCGCTGACTATTGGATATGTGGAATCAGCTTTCTTTGCCACCGTGATTTTAAATTCAGGGAAAATCTGCTTTAGTCTGGCCTGATATTTTTCTGGCTTACCAACGGTATCCACGTATACTTCTGATATATTAACCCCTAATTCTATAGCTTTCTGTATCAATTCAATTGCCGAGTTCATGGAAATCTCATTCAGCGATGTCTTGCTTCGGCGGTACATATTGTTAGCGATAATATTTGGTGAGATTGCTTCCACGGCCCAGCCTATTTTATTGGAATGATCGCCGATTTTATCAAAAATGACATCCCTTTTCTCTTCGGTCAGACTCTTCGAATCTGCACATCCCAGCTCAACCAGAAGTTCCTTTTGGGATAGCGGAGAGTAACAAATTCCATAAACCATCGGTCCTAATACTGGACCGCGTCCTGCTTCGTCCACCCCTAATTGGCAGGGCTCATCTTTGCAGATTTGAGGAACCTGAAACTCGGAGATGGACCTTATACAAATTTCTCCAGATCACGAAAATTTAAGTCATTTTAATACATACCTCTGAAAAATAAACATCGTTAATACTGTGATCAGTCTTCTCAAAGTAAGGTGTCAAATCCTGTCTATATTTTATCGGATATTCTTGTCTTTGATCCGTGACGATTTTCTTCTCGTCCATAACCTCTTCAGTCTGTGAATCAACATTTTCTTCCATTTGGCTCATAACTTTTACAATGGTTCACGGGTTCTAACCTACGAGAGTACTTGATGACATTTAGAAGGACCGCCAGTTATCAAGGTTATCAATAACAATGCCCATGATTTTAAGCGTCTTTAGAACTTTATCGCAATATAGACAAATGAAGCTTGGATTATAAACACTTTTAAATGACTTCGTGAACCACCAGATGGAACTGGTTAAGCGGAACTAGCGCCATCTCAGAGACTGCTAATTGAATTAATCTCCATCCTACATTACCCAAGTAGCACATCGTTATCCGACAGATGTCGCATTGATGCCGGAAGAAAGATAGGGACGTATTTACTAACATATATGTTAATAAATGATACATGTTCATAATAGATACATTTAAGTTACAATAATAGGCAGTTATCGCAAAAGAGAATGACGAGCCACGTTAATAATCACGGGCACATTTATTGTACATAGTATTTTATTTTGTATTCAAGCTATTTACGAAATATGATAGGGCATGGCAATGATAATAGAATAGCGTACACGTTTCATTTTGAATATATCTTACCAGTCATTTCATGAAGCTTATTCAATTACTCCTTTTACCAAATATATCTGTATATAATACCGTGAACTACAAACAATGGCATTTTTCAAACATTAGATTCGAGTGGATTGTGCCAAATAAAAATTCCAGGAATGCATTTATCACCTGCATATCTTCGATGAATGTCCCTATAACGAGCACCGGACATTCGGTAATGCATCACCCTCGATTTTCTCTCTTATTCCGATGAGATCACTCTATTGACCAATGGCGATAAAGATATCTTCGCATTTATCAGTAAATATCAAAGGGAAATATATATTGTACGTGCGCACGCGTTGGACATTTACGCCAACCGCGCCACCACATGTTTAACAATACAAATAGGTAAAAACAGCCGGAACCAAACAAATAAATAATACGAAACACTACCAAACATAGTTCCCCACCAACAATACAATCATTACATACGTGTTTGCAACATGCAATGTAACATACATGTTACAGGTACGTAAAACGTATTATTACCATTTCCTGCGCATTCATACAACTCTGTTATAAAAGGAATAATGTAACATACGCATAAAATATCGTTCCCCTATTACGCGTTACGTTAATATTACATAACTGTAATTAAGAGAAATTTTTAACAATGATACGAAACGGTAATAATATAACATATAATGTTAATGTCACTTTTGAATAACTTTCGTTGAACACCACCATATTGTTTCAGTGTTACGTAACAAAATGTAATACTTTTAGTTTTGTATCTGAATTCTTTTCTCTTTTTTAGGGAACATATCTAAATTTCTATTCTCATTTTGGAGACATTTTGCACGAAAGTACACGGCGCACTTCCGCAACCACCTGTCTAATATGCACTCGTGTATCCGGTGGTTTACGTTTCCGGTATGTGGGGGATGCACCCCGCGACGTCCTCGCCGACCCCCCGCAGAGTCTGCCAGGGGTTCGCCCTGGGGGTCGTGGGGCGCGACCCCAAAACATTCCACGCTTCGATGCACCCCGTGCACGAACTCCTCCCCGCGGATGTCCACAGAGTTGAAAACCAATTTTTAGCAACAAAAGTGCGGCACTTCTGCAAAGACAAATCCACAAGAAGGGGAATTTCTACGGGGTAAATTAATTCCTCCAGATTACATTCATTGGAATGTCTCCAGTATTGAAAACAACCATTTAAGAGTTACCCCTCCACTTTATCTAATGTCGAAAAAGTCATCAACTAGCGACCATCATTAAATTAATACCAGGGTGCGTATATGCAGGGTGCGGCGAGAATGTTTGCAACTGTGTAAATACTTTAGCGGAACGCAACTGCCTGGTAAATCGACGGTTCGACGTCGCTACCTAGTTAACAACAATTATTATACTACCAATAACAACATTCAAAATTGCTATCTTCAGCCTCAATATGTTTTTCAAGTCCTTTCGGAATATCGCGAGGGTTTTCGCTTTGTATGCATGAGAATTTTTGTACTAAATCGTGCTCTAATATTAATATAATGTAATATCGAATATTGTTCTGTGACCAGGATGGAACTTTCAAAGGATCCTCTGGAGCCTCGGCGGTCCTTTCTGGGGTCATCATCCCTCGAAATGAGAAATGGGACCGCGTCGAGAGCATCCCATAATCGATTTCACACTCCCGCTGGGTATAAATTAATAGACACTTAGACATCCCTTGTGTTTCGAATAGGTACCAGGATGTTCCAGGTTGTCCGGGGGCGGGTGGGACCAGGTGTTGGGTATGAGTTCTCCTGCGAGGATGCACCCGTGGACAATCGGTTTTCCATGGGGTGGCGCAGTAATGCTCGGCGCGAGGAGATCCGCTCTGCAAACACTTAGGCCTTTTTTTACGCGACAAACCCGATTAAGGGAACGAAGGTGCAACGAGTCGCTCTTAAACCCATAGAATCTCGATGCACCGTTGCAGCTCGAGTGCTGCAAAATGCCGAAAATATCGTAAGGGTTGATCGTACCAACTTTGCATTAGTGGGAATTTTCTTAACTATGTGATGGGTTGATCTCGATTTAGGGCTATTCGTGATGCACCGAGGAAAATTAAACTTATTGCAATTATGTATTATATAATATTTATTACTAGCCAGTCATTACTTGCAGTATGTGCAGGAGAAAACTGATTTTCAGTTTCGGACTTAATGGTCAACCTCGATACAGCACGTCGAGATCATTTTCATTGGCATCGGAGCAGTTGCACTCGCTCGTTTATTCACGTGCAGGAGCACATGTACAGGCCTTAGAATTCGCATCGGATCGACCCAGGATATATCTCCGGATCAGTCGGACTAAAAATTCCCCAGTACAATAGGGGGATTCTCACGGCAGTATTTTCATTTCAGATTATGTCAGAACTGGGCTTCGATCCGTGGCACGCGGAGGACTTGCATCGAGGGTGAATCAGAGATCCCGGAGCACGTACGTTATCACCTATCTAGAACGCATTAAATTATAATCTGTTAATAATTTAACAGAAATATGTCTTTCAGCTCGAGTTCATTTCTTCGGGACAAATGCTAGACATCTCCTCCACATGTGTATAATGGATGTTACATTGTCTAATTAGAGGTGCAACGAAAGTGGCGTATTTTTCGATGAGGAGTCCATACCTCGGTTTGGTAATTCCAACGTGGGACATTTTTTGACTTGCCTATTGTCTGACATTTTGCATGTAAAATGGATTTTATCTTGTTTAATAGGCGCAGCCGAAATTGTGTGCTTTAGGATGAGGAGTCTATGTTTCGCGTTAAGAATACAAACGTACAAAATTTTTCGCCTTCCCGATTGTTTGACATTCCGCATGCAATGAATTTTACTTTGTTTAATTAGTGCAAGAAAAATAGCGTATTTTGGACGAGGGGTTCACACATTGCTTTAGGAATCCGAACGTGAGAATTTTGTCGGCATTCCAAACACTTGACATTCCAGGTTGTAATGGATAAGTGCAACAAAAATTACGTGCTTTCGGATGAGGTGTCCGTACCTAGCTTTGGGAATTCAAACGTGAGAAATTTTTCGGCTCGCCGATTGCACCCGGAAGAGGAACCCAGCCATCATTCATCTGGACGCAACACACCCGGAAACGCATAAACTGCTTGCCCATCAATTATCGGAACGTAATGAACGTCATCGGGGGTGGAGGGCCCTTGTCTTTCGGAGCACATTGGGACCCACCTATACTAATGGGGCTTTGTTTACGACGGTGCCGGCGCTTCAAAGGAAATTCACAAATCCACCGTTAAAATGGGACCGTCTGTGTTATTTTAAATCTATTATAAATGACGGAAGAGAGTAAACCAATATTTTCGGCTGGAATCGATTGCTGTTCCGAAAGGCGCAAATTGTATACCGCAGACGTGGTTGCAAGTGATGTTTTCCGCGAACGTTCAATCGTTGTCAAATTAATTTCAGTTCCACTCATTTAACGGTGTAGTCATTGATTTAAGGGTGCATTTAAAGACCAGTTGAACGTGAGCAACATTTCGTTGACAGAGCTTGCTCGGCGGTATATATTTTAATTTCTAAAATATGATAAAAATCAGCAGAGAGGCATTGAAACTTCAAAATTAAAATAGAAAAGATTGAAATTCATTTGCTAATTTAGCAAGGATTTTTTCTAAAGAGAGCTCTCCAATTGTTACATCTACTATTCGGTATAATTCCAAAAATTTTTGTCGTTGATGGGATTATTCCTGCAGTAAAAGCGAAATTTTATCAGCAATGCTATCCCTTGCTAAAAATGCAGAATATATACTTGACTGAAATTGTTATTTAATAAATAATAATAATTTAATATGAAAAAAATTTGGAACGCTGCAAGACTTTTTTAGCTAACCCAATATCGTGGAGTCGTTTCATGGTACATTTATGGAGTAGGGCAAGAAAGATACGCATCTGCAGGAAAAAGGCAGTATCCGCAATCAAGTATTCCAGTCGATAATCGGATAGAAATTAGGTGCACGTGCATAGCACGTGCGTGACATTGCGTAAGGGTTGCTTCGGGTTAACCACTTCGGCGACATTTGGCCGGCGAGCTGCAACCTGCAATTATCAACCAGGTAGATAAAAGGTAGCCAGCAACATAAGCAGCGATGCGATCTGATTTTCAACGGGCCAGTGTCCCAAAAATCGTCATTCGATTTTCCCATGCTTACAAAAAATGGAAACTCTTCGGAAATAATCTTCCAAAATGATTCCAAATAAACTAACTCATCCAATGTATGTGACATCTAAAGTCTTACACGTGTCAGAAAAATAATAACAGTTCTGAACAATGTGACTAATTGCCTGTTATCTTTCTTCGAATTATTAGAAGTAAGTTTCATGTTTTTTTCTTGGTTTTTTTTCCAGTGATTTTTTTTTTCACTATAGTAGGTATAGTAAATATCGAGGTTGAATAAGACAATGGAAAATGAAGCAATGTTTAATGTTATCGAATTTGGATATGAAAAGTGTACCCGAGTCCACTTCATGAGATCGATGAAGAGGCGGATCCGCTACCCCAGCAACCGGGGTAGGTTGCCAAAGGCAACCCCCGATTGGCCGACGGATTCGAGGCACGTTTTCAACCCCCTAGGAAAGCTACCGCCTCCTTTCGATTCCGTCTCAGTATCAGAAAACCACCTGAATAATCTACCACGGAGGAGGACCTCCAAGCAGGACTCAGCATATTGGAGTCCCCTGCAACAATTTAAAAACCACAAAATCCAAATTCAATAATCCCTCAAAAATCCGTGACTAACCATACTAAGCCATACTAAAATATATTAAAATAAATTCACCGACAGAAAGAAGTACACGTGTCGCCATACCATTGACCAAAGCGGTGCAAGAAGTGCAAGAAGTCAATGCAACGCAAGTGCATCGGAGTAGTTACCGAAATAAATTATCCATTTAAATTATACGCAGCGAGAAGACTTATAATAATGATTTAATCCTGAGGTGATCTTGATGTGGTCCTTTTTTCTATAACAAGTAAATAAAAATTTACGGATGGAATATGTGATGAAGAGGGCTCGAGCTGACGAGGAGTACAAGCTCCTCTGCAATGTTTCTAATTGCAGTGTGTGATTAATTGTTACCAAATATCGGGATTACCGGGGAGATGCTTTGAATTCTTTAAACTGGGGTCTTCGGATGTTTCCTGTTGGACTTGAGAGTGAATTATTCAGAGATCCGTCATTCCATGGACTTTAAGGAGTTAAGGATCGAGCACGTGTCGCAAGGTGTACCTACAAATCTGACACGCGACCTGTACATGACACGTGGCGGTGTTTGAAAGTATTTTGGAGCACACGTGTCAGCCTTTCGGCGATTCGATCAAAATCCCGTGGACGTGCCATAGCGGCTTTGCGAGAGATTTGACATTCCTGTATGTATTTAAGCAAAACCTGCTGATCCACTTCGATCGCCCCAGAGATGTCCTTTTCTGGAAAAACGCAGGAATTTATTTCCTCCGACCTGACAAAGTGTGATCCTTGCATCTCCACAGCAGGAAAGTCAAAAGCTGACATTCGCTATAATTAATATAAATCGAATAACATTTAACAGATTGTTATACGATGAAGGATTGAGATGATAAGAATTAATCCATTTTTCAAAGGCTTTAAACAATGCTTCTGTAAGAAACGGTCCTACCTTGTTCCTTGGCAAATAGACGAGGAAATTCGTGCTTCATCGGAATTGAGACCTCCCGTGGGAATTTAAACCGTAGACATGTATTCGATGGACAATTTGGACATGATGAACCGGCAGTACATGTACGAAGCGCACAGTTTTTTGGGGAATCCTGCGATTCCTTCGTTACCGCCTCATTGTGGAGCTCCTACGACGGCAATGCTTCCAACAATTCCTTCTCAGCTTCCCTCTCATCCACCAGGAAGTACAGGAAGCACCAGCGGCAGCGAAGTTTACCTGTACGATGAAAATAGCAGTGATAATGAGAGCGTGTACAGCAGCGACCAGGAGAATCACACGAGAGAGTAAGTATAAGGACAAAAAAAATGCATCTTGTAATTTAGCCAATAATGATGACTCAAGTCACTTTTTGTTGCGGAATTAACTTTACATTACTCTAACTTAAATGGCTATTACAGAAAATATTGGATAAATTCAATTCTCTAGATTTTTTCACTTAGACCACTTTCATAATTACGGGCACAATTTGCAGTAATGAATTATGAGAAGTACGGTTTTCTTCGATGAAGGATTTCATGCGTGCCATTATTTTTGTAATTAAAAAGAAACATGATTTTGACGATTGAAATTTAACACTATTAATCAATAATATGGTCTTCTTAATCGTTGATAAATTCTTGTTAGTGACCGGGCAGTTCTTGGATCCCTCGTTTGAAAAAGAAAAAAAAATCGTATGATAGAATTTTTAATTATTTCAACGGTACGAACTTATGGGCCGACCCAATAAAATGGCGAAAATAATTTTATTAATATTAATAATTTTTAAAGAATTTTCGCAAGCATCAAAGTTTGTCTCGTGATGGTTCGTTGGTCTTAGGACAATGAGGATATTAAATAGGGCTATTTTATCGAATTCCCAGTCGAGGACGAAGCAGTAGACGAAACGGATCAGGAAAATGCCCTCGACAAGCCGTGCAACAACGACAGGCCGCAAACATGAGAGAAAGACGTCGGATGCAGAGCATCAACGATGCCTTCGAGGGCCTCAGGGCCCATATACCCACTTTGCCGTATGAAAAAAGACTATCCAAAGTGGACACTCTGAAATTGGCGATCGGGTACATCAATTTTCTGAACGAGCTCGTCAGGGCCGACAAGGGGAACGACTCTCTCACGGGAAATGGCGGACTATCGAGATGCTCCGGAAGAGACGACTCTAAGAAGGTTATAGTCCGTGGTGAGGCTAACTTTGATCGCATCCCGAAGTCCTGTTCAGAAAAACTATCAATTAGTCCTTACATATCCATTCCTATTAATTTATTATTCAGGTAGTACCGCCACTTTTTTAACACTAAGGAATAGTCAGGCTCGCGAAATCCCACCTCGACTTCCCTCATACAAAAGAATCTAATAGTCTTTATATTTCAACCTCAATTTTTTAAATCTACCATTGGTACCTGTAGCTTTCCGAATATATTCAGGAATAGTCAAGGACTAATGTATACTAATGTAATGTATAGTACCATTATCTTTTGGTTTAATGTAGTACCTTGGTCTTGGAATTTTTAAGAGTTAATCTATCGGCTTTTTCTAGGCAGTGGCGGAAATCCATTCATCTCGCACTCTCTGTCCTGGTCCCGGAAGTCGGATATTTCGCCGAACGGGACGATGTACGCAAAAGTCTGGACACCGGAAGACCCGAGGCTCGCCAAAGGAAGTTCCGGATTCGTCGAGTAAACATTCCGCTCCGCGTTGTTAAACGGTGGAAAATTAATTAATTTAATATTTGCCGCGTGTGCGAATGTGCAATCATACGGACACCGTGAATTAATGGCACAGCAAAGACATTGGTGATCCCAGAGTCAGATTACCAAGATTATCCTGTTATTTAGTTTCTAAGGTACCCATCTAGTCATCGAGTCATCGATAACATAACGAGTCTAGTCCTAAGAGATGATACAACCTCAAGTCTATTCCTAAGAGGTCTAAAACCATACACACGTATTACCAAGTACCGTCTACTTATTGATTTTCATAATTTAATCAATTGGACTGATCGATCCCAATGAAAGATCGCGAGATACATGTCTGTTATAGAAGCAACAAGAGCTTCGCGAGGTTTCTAGTCGATTTCTTGAGAAAGTGATTCACTCAAGCGTTTAGGGAATAAGTGAAAAAAAAATAAATCAATTCTGATAATTATCTGTAAATAGTCGTTTAGACATTCTAAGCAAATACCATTTGTACACGAATTACTATTACCGGCGAAAGTGAAATAAAACTCTCAGATACAGTGATAATAACTTTCATATATACATTTATTACATATTTCTCAGCAAAATTATTACATTACAACAATAACAAAATTATTACATTTATTATATATATATACAGTACATACATCTATCCCACCGTCGTTTCCAGAAATACCTCTTAATTCCATTTCTAAAAACAATTGCCGTTAAATAAGAAACTCAATTCATGTAATTTAACATATCATTGACTTTGCTTCGCTCGTAAGACCTCAATTTTTTTTTACATTCTTTCTGCCGTCACATTTTATCCCAAGCTCTGAGAATTTTTGGATCGAAAAAGATTTCCTCTGGCTCTGGGAAATGCAAGATGGCGTGCACCTGCACGCTCTCAGAAGAGGCCCGCACGTCTGCGCTGGCCGCGTGGGCGGGACGTCGATACCGCGGCGTCGCGACGCTGCAGAATGGCGGCGCCGGGTGCGGATCTTCCCACGAAACCTTCGGCCATTCTCCACCACTGGCGTAGGCGAGTACATAATGTATGTACCTATGTACTCGAAAATCCTACGCAACCGAGGGCTCCGCAGCGTCCAAGAGTCGCCATTGTCACTGACGATTTGCATACATTGTCGCTGTCGAGAGTCGCTCCTGGATCGGGGTCTTCGACATCTCACTGAGCCAGAAAACGAAAGACGTCAATTCAGCTCCGTTTCGGCGAGAAATATCTACAACACGTGACATGGCTAAAATTACAATTAGCATTGATATACCTATTACTCTTATACGTCGGCCCCATAAATCCATGCCATTTCTTTGACATAAAAAAGAAAAAATATATATATAACTTATGAAGTAAAATTGAACAATGTTCATCAACATTCTTCTACGTTGTTCACTACTTCTCATAAGGTTCAAGTAGCTTTCACATCCTTTTCTCTCTCTCTGGAAAAAAAAATTAAATAACGTTTTGAACATTTCAATGTCACGGATTTATAGGCCGACATTTACTGGCAATTTGTGTTATATGCGCGTTATTATTGCGACTATTGTATGGAATTATTATATGCGAATTTATACATATTGCATTGATTCAATTGCAATTTTTACAGATGCACTCCGCATGTTCTTGAAGCCATTGCACCGGGACCGTCATCGGAAGAAGAGGAGATCCGATGTCGACCCTCGTGCCAGGGAACCGATGCAAAGTGAACGGTTCCCGAAGGTTCCGGTCGGAAGGGTCGTGGGCTACTATCAGCTGTGAAAACAGACTTGTTTATAGACATCGTCACACAATGAAGTGTAATTGAATCCATATTCCACGCGGGGTGCTTCCGCGCCCCCCAGGACGGCGCGCCGCCCCTTGTACGGTCGCACTTAACGGTTCGGAAATCGGAGGGGAATACCCGTCGATTTGTGGACAATTAGGGACAATTCCTCTGCCCGACCTGAGGGGGGCAAAGGGCCCCCAAAATTCGAGACATCGAGGACCTTCCTGTCTGCGCGGATTAATTTCGAGGCCAACGACTCCCTTTAAATCGTGCAATCCGACATCTCACCTGACGAACCTTAAAGGAAAAGAACATCATCATCGTCTTATTATAAAATGAATTCTATGCAACGGATTTTCTAACTCCACTAAACTGAAAACTAAGTTTCTCATAAATTCTTTTGCGAAAAAAGTTTTTCTTATTTTTGGTTTAATTAAAGCTCAATATGACGTTAACCTGGTGACAGTGAAAAGTAATTGTAATTCGAGGTTCTATTGGAGAAGGAATATGGTGTTGCGTTGAGAGAATGTATTTTGAGGATTTCTCACTTGACGATCGTATCTGTTGGCTGCTTCAATTTTGTTGATATGGAGTAATATAATAAGCGGCAATAACTGAGGCATAAAACCACGTGGAGCACACCTGACTGCGCTCGATAGGGCCAGGTGTTTCGAGGCACCTGTATCACTCGCAGATAAGGTCACCTGAATTACCTCGGTTATCTTTCCGGAGTTCATAAAACATCGCCTCGTTACGGTGGAATCGGTTTGTGTATTTCAGAACACAGCGTCCATGTATCCCCTACAATTTGAGAGTCCACCTGATCTAATAACCAGAAAATAACTTACATTAATAGATCGATTAAACAATCCACACCTTATCTAAGGAACTTTTTCCTATTTTAATATAACATGAATCACTTTGATATGAAATTATATTGTAGTTGGTAGTAAATTAGGCTACCTTCGAAATCGGTCCTAGAGGTGTGAAGACCCAATCGAGCGCGGTCCTTTGATCCTTTGAGACTAATCGGGTTAGACGTTGAGGCGACCGGATATAATGGAGATGAAATTAGCAAACCATGGACTCTCCGCTGTATCGGGGCGGTATTAAGAGGGCTCCTATCTCGCTTTCGCGCCCCTCGAGGGGTGGTTACACTTGTGACGATCCTAGCACAGCTGGACCGACACACAAATAAAGTATTAATTCCCGATCCATAATGCGACCGATAGTGGGCCATTGCAAGAGTTACCGGCGCTCCGACACTGGAAAATCGAGCGATGAGCTCGGTAAGGGTGCGTCCACAAAGGGCATTTCACCCTCCACCACTACCATCCTACATATCCTAAATACATACAAAAAATAACATTAAAATGGAGGCTATAACGAAGTTTCTGACGCCCATGAAATTTCATCTCTAATGAAAAGTGTAAAAACAACCTATAAACAAATTTTCAATTCAAGTTACATGAGAGTGTCAGGACTTCCCTTATAGCCTCCATATTCGGGTTGTAAACTTTCAAACGATTTGATGCACCCAGTTAAGAGAATAGTTTCATAAACGAGACCTGCGTGTCACCACTTTCACATAACCTTAAATGGCTGAAGAAACGGCTTTTAATATTAAAAGTGAGATAAGAGGACAAACCTTATTAATTTTCATGTACTTCCAGAGACCTTTGATGCCCCCTCTTGTACTTTTCTTGGGATCTGCAATGAATTACACATTTCCATTTAATTTACTTTTATTTATATTTTCTTTATTGCGGTAGGCACTAATTGTAGTCGGTCACCTCGGAGCGAACTCACCCTAATCTGGGTCCGGGACGAGCAAGAGAGCAACCACCCCTCGTGCCCTGAGGCCGGGGGCAGGCAAATACCTGGGCAGCTGCACTTCTGGGGTGCTTTTGGGGTGGCTCTGGGGTGCGCTTTGGGTCGACGGGACTCAGCCAAAATTCACCGCCCGTGACCTATCGAGCTCGGTTTCGCGCTTGCGGCAGAACGGTCTTTATTATGTTGCAATTACGGGGACTGCTGCGTGAATAGAGCTGCGATTGCCGAGCCTTTCGGGGGGTCGAAGATCCAAGATGGCGGCGCCCTGTCCGAGATGGAGTGTGACACCACCTGCGCGTTGAAAGTCACCCCCAAGGACCGAAAATGCCTTAAAGAAGCAGGATAAACCAATTACCGACCTATATCCGTCCCCACACCAATATTTTAACATCTTTTAGCCCTTACCCCTTATTCAAACTCTTCTAAATTATATAAATAACGCTCGAACGTTTCGATGCGTTTTCAGCCTCCAAGAGTCCGCCATTTTGAAGCTTTTGTCGTAAACTCTTTACAAGACGATACAAACGGCTCTTAAACAAATAATCCCTATGCATTTTTATCTTTCAATTAAATTTAATTTAATTAAGACACATTTTCCAAGCCCCTTAAGTAATTACAGTTAAGACGTTTAATTTAAAACTATTTTCTACTCCTTTCAGAGCGATTCGTCCCTCGACGACCTCGTTGGTCTGGCAAATCCGAGCTCAAAAGGAAAATCAAACGGCACGGAGAGGATCATAAAAATACAATGCATAGGCGATAAAGATCGCAGAGGGTCGACTCTCCTGTACTTTTGATACCGATCGAAATTCGGCATTAAATCCACCGTGATAATTCGAGAGGGAGATCTCTTCCCGGAATCCTATTAGCCTGTGCACTCGGCGTCGATGTTGCGTTAATTTTCAACAAAGAGGACATTGCCATGTATAAAACTGCAGACGGTTAGGTTTACGAAAACAGAATGAGTATTAAGGAAATATGTTATATGACGTTGTTAATTTTAAGAGTTTATAAATGGTGAAATGAGAATTTATATAGATAGATAGAATAGATAGAAATATTCTCTTTATATGTATGCACATATCGTGAACTGGCGTGCAGATGGTTTTTAAGTTAAAAAATGGATCCAACACGGTTTGTTGGTTAATCGCATGTGTGTATAATATGTGTACAGTCATATCTCGTATATTGATTTATCAGAGACAAGAGGTCACAGGTGAAACTTCCCACGACCTCTGCACACGTCGATCCAGAGAGACCACAGATTGCAATAAAATAACGCACCTTCCGTTAAAAACAAACGCCTATAATTTCCCTATTAGATGACTCAATGAAAACAGAGCGACCTCCAGCTCTCCGTATTTTCTGTTTATTTTTTACTACGTCCCAGCATTTACAATAACATTTCGCAAAGTCATGTCGCGTTCCTCCTACTTTTCCTAAAAGTCTCAACATTGAATTCTTCTGTGGAGAATGATCACATTTTTCAATATGGTGGAATATACCAAAAAAGGTACTGAAAAATATTAGCTTTATAAAAATGCACTTGATACATACCAAAAGGAATGAATTATCAAATGCAGCGGAGCGAATCGTTTGAATCGCCACAAAACAATGTTTATATATTGAACTCGCGTAGCACGAAGTACAAAGAAGAAACAATATTACCAGAAGTGACCAGGAAACCATTCTCAACGTCCGATAATTTTTTCAAATAGAACAAAATAATTCTCTATACAAAAATCCAAAAGGATCATTTTTTCCGTCAATTTGTTACTATCTACGCGTACAATGAGTACGTGGAAAGTCGACTCGGCGCGTGGTTAAACTAATTGAAGAAATAAAACGATCGCCATAGTAATCGTCTACAATAGAATAGTATATTTCCTTTTTTTCTGCTGCATGAATATGGTACAGTGTCCTTCCTATATAAAATACACTAGAGTCCGTTTCTATACAGAGTCGTACGCATGCGCGTACGTACGAGAGTGCGAGCGATAGCGATGATAACGATGCGTGTCGAGGGAAATGCATTCTCTTCCGTTATCTAAGTAACATACGCGTTCGCGTAATGCAATGACAAAACGATTAACATCCTACGGCAGTGCTTTGTCCGACTTTCAAAGGGGATGGACACGAGATAATAAGTAAGCATCGCTGTTATCACAGGGCACGAGCCGAGTGATAGCCGAGACGATGAGTCCCACTCGAAACGAGTCAATTGACCGGTCTTATTAAATCCTATTAAATCATTATATAGAGCCTGTCGAGATGAAACCAGCTATATGAGACATGCGCAACGAAGTCATCCAATTCTTCCCCTTTGACGAATCATATTATTAATTGGGGAAACTCGTTAAATAAATTAATTAATTAATTCGAGGCAGTACATGCGGGGTCGTGATTCGCACTTACGAGGGATCAACCTTTACGGTCTTCGTATCAAACCTAACCGCGGTACCTTAGTCCTACCGAGTACTCGATATAATTCATTTAAATCCCCTGCGATTGCAAAAATTTGGCACGAGCAACTGTGAAAAAATATCGTCCTTCTGCGTTAAGTTTCATTTTTTTTTTTCTTTCTCTCACTCTGCTTATTATTTGTTTCGCACTTTTCTCTCTCTCTCTAAAACTCCCCTAGGATAATATGTATCGTGCGCCTCGAGAGGACTGGCTCTCCTTTCCTCCTCTCTTTGCACTTTAGAGCCGTACTTTATCTCGGTTAAAAATACACCGTGTCTATCCTGATTCCGCGTTAAAATCGTTCTTAATCGTACAGTGTAGAGAGAGAGACGTGCTTGAGTACACTAATGAAATATTTCCCATTATTTTCTCCCCTTCTAAACGTTCAAAAGGATCGCGATCCACTCGCGTCTCGTTGGCAAGGATATCCTTCGCATGGTGTCCAGGATATTCCGGTTATCATTATCTAATTCCTTCGATATATCACCTACGGGCTAAATTTACGTTCACAGTTTTTCCTTCTTTTCCGTACAAAAGGGTGCTTTCGGTGTGATTCCTAGTTCATACAATTAAAAAACTTACGCGAAACGCCCTTACTATTTATTCCTATTCCTTGACGTGTTTATTACGTCGATCTAGTTCCCTGAATTATCCCGATTTTCCGGGATTCCTCGGATTGCTAGACACCATGCTTTCGATCTGGATCGCCGAGGACCATCAAGGACAGAAACCAAATTCAGTGGGAACAGCTTACGCGGTCGAAGTACGAAATGTCGGTACAAAAGAGTTCCCACGAGTCTGTTTCTATTTTTTCTTTTTTTTTTTCTCTCTCTCAATTCAGATACACCCAGCTGATATAGGAATATCTTGCGGGGGATTATTCACTCAAGAAATCATGGATTTTAAACGCGTGAAATTACGTGAAAATCACTTTCACTGATTTCCAAGCGAATGTCCCCTGGATAAAATGCTTACCATTTAAGCGAAATATGTAAACATTTTGTCACACTGACATGATCTGGATTAAAAAGAAAAAAAGATATACATACACAGACATTCATTAAAAGGACGTTTCATCCTTCGACCGTATAATTCTAAACTCTGACCACCGGCGACTAATGCAAAAGAACCGAACCTGTCGAGTAAATCGATTCCCTGAGTGGTGATAAGCTATCCTGTAAAAGTTTGGTGTTAACTGTTATCCTCATCTCCGGTACACCGATTAAACGTCGCGAAGAGTACGCTGGTTATCCACGTAGATATCGTTAAAAGTTAACTCTTAAATCCTAGAACAGATTTTCCTCTAACCATATCGTCCCATTCTCGCGCACAATCCGGTCGTCAGGATCGGATCGAGCTATAGTTAGGTCCACGATAGTTCATTGTCACACATGCCGTTGATAAAAAAAAAAAAAAGAAAAGAAAAACCATTTTACACAGTACACCGTGAGAGTATAAAATATTCCTCACCGCTCGACGAGTACGCCTCGAAAGAGTCAGAATACGCGAGTAAAGGAGTTCGATCATCCTCGGAAGCCTCACTCGCCGATCTCTACAATATATTCCAGACAAAGTGGTCCGCTAAGACGGGATCGAAGAGGTCTTTCGAGTCGTCCGGAAGACCAGTCTCGGCTAAAATCGCAACAGCCAAGAAAGCTGCCCATATCCCGACGTCCAGGGAGATCAAAAATCGAGCCTTCGTAAACGCGAGTCGACCTATAGTTTCCCTATCTAGTTGACTATACGGTGTGTAAAAAAACAACACCAACGAATATCACCACAATCTATCACTTAATCGTTACGTTAACAGCACTCAGTAGCTAACACAGATCGAACTTACTGTACTTTTCGATGTCGATGTCAGTCACTTAAGTACGTTATACAATTGAAAATGTAAGAGAGCCACGAGAAGGTCCTTCGAGAGGTTGGTGGTAAAAAAGTGTCACGGGTCTCTTCCTCCGATCTCGGAATTAAATGTCCAGTCCGTTTTATTTACACGAACCCTCCTCTCGAAGAATATCAACGTTCTCGGGTAAAAGACACCTTGCAAATAAACCCGTCGACGTTACTCTAGCCAGGCATTACTTTAATGGCGGTTTGCAGTTTTAAAAAGCTACGATACACAAGTCTCAACCACGATCGGCCTAATTCCTCTAGCTCGTCGATACTCTTAATAGGTTTTCCGAATTTTTAGTGATTTTTGGTAACTCAGACGAAGTCCTACTCTTATAATCCACGACTGGATACATTATTAATATCCGACTTTGACGCCGTAGTTATCACCCAGCTGGCATTTCCATAAGCGATTCCTAAGATTTCCCACCGACCCATTACATTCAAAATGTGCAATACCACCGTACAAGTATTCGCGAGATACCGAGGGGTCTTCCTTTCCCTTAACCTTAGACTTCCACTTGTATAAAGCTCCAAATCGTCAATCGACACGAAAACTGTGTGCGTTCAGCGATTAATAATATTAACGACTTCGAAGAGTGTTCTCGCTGTACTAATCTCCCAGGACAATCCGGACTCATACGACTGCGACTTTCCTACAGACGCGAACATGAATTTCGTTACCAACGAACAACAAATAAATAGAGGAGAATCGCCTGCGGCGCTACCAGTCGGGCCGTCGCGCCTTATTTTCCATAAACTGCAATAAAATTGCAAGGAAAACGCATCGCCGAACAAATTCCAGCTTCGGACCACACGGTAGGCCTGAAGGTTCGCTACATTAAGGTGATATGAAAGAGGCATCCAAGGAATCAATCGTCCATAAAACATTTCAGCTAACTTGATGTACCGAATCGTTCCAAATTTTATCACATAAACATGAAGGCCCTGAGAAAGGTCCCGACACCCCCGAAAATTCATTTTTCATAACAAATGTAAAAGAAAAAAAAAAATGAAATTTCATGGATGTCAGGACCCTTCCTCTAGTCCCTATATTGACGTGGTGAAGTTTCATAAAAGAGCTCTCTGACGCCACTTTCGCATCACCTTAACAATGGTGCGACGTCGAAGGATGATTTCGCAGTAAAGACATAATATGTACAAAATCGACGTATAATCTAGAACCGGCTAGCCTTGAAGAGTCATTTGAAAAACATTTCCGTTAATATCAGTCTCGCCGCGCCGATCAATTTGGCCGGGGTTCCAGTCGATAACAAAAAGAAACGAAAAACAGAAAACAGGCCAAAGAAGGAAAAACTGAACACACGCTTCTACTCGAGGATGGCGATGTCGCGATCAACCTACTTCAAAGCGCTTGTTCGTGGAAGGCAGTGCTCTGAGGTACGCTTAAACATTACAATATACTTTAACGTCCGGCTCTGAAATAGGTTGTTTCCGTGGTTATCCTGTGTCGTATCCTTAATGCGGCAGTATCAAAATCAACAGCGGTGGCCTCGGAAATCGTCCTCGTGTGCGAGTCTACGGTGCGAGGGGGGAAAAAAAAGAAGAAAAAAAAAAGTACATAAACACATCCCCGTCGACGCGCACGGGACTGGCTTTTGCCATTTATGGCATTAAGTTTACGAGCCATCGACTACGACGTAGAAAAGTATTTTGTCTCCGTATAGAAATAGTTGGTGGGTCTTTCGCGTGGGGGGCGCCACCGCCGCTGGCTTACAGGCAGTATTTTCAACGTTAACGTTACAATTGTACACCTATGGTAATATTATTGCTATTCATCGCGATATAGGTTCGTCTTACGGACTAATGTTTGTACATCTGTGGGTTTGCTGTTCGCATCGAACGCCGACACTGGAGGAGATTGTCTTGGAGGCGGCTTAACGCATACACCGGGAACTCTCTCGGGGTAAAAGGAAACTAAAGTCGAACCGACTCAAGGGAAGAACGCACCTACGGTTTCTTCGGTCGAGCACACGGTCCGAGAGACAAGTCCTTCCGATGTCAACGCTCCGGAGGATCGTCTCGACATTTAAACACACTGTACCCATGCCCATCTAAATCCTATACGTCCAATTTAGCCTCTAATTAGTAGGTTCGAGTAGGCCTGGCCTGCGCGTCCGTGTGTCCCCGTCCGACTACATTCGAGGTCACACTTCACTTGACCCCTACGTGTGGAACACGTGCGTATATCCGAGGCTGCACAAGTTGAACAATCGACGGTATTAACATTACATACTTTAAGAAACGTATGAAAAAAAAATATATTATGCGACACGTTGGAATGACTCCTCTTTCCTACCAACGTTCGTAGAACTTTTGGCAACATACGCCACGAACCTAAATTCATATCTACGAGAGCTCGTCAAATGACCACCAATCACGGATACATGGGCGTGGGTTTTAGTTTGTGAGCAAACCTTGTACCCTATAAACTGTACAAGTTCCCAAGGAAATCGGTACGTTCCACTGCGCTAACAATAAACCAGCGTAAACCAGGCCTAAGACCCGACCTCTCGGGCGTTTCCGACGGAAACACGCCTCGAAAATTGATACGAGATATCCCGAAAAATTCGATACGAAAACGATTACGAAGTGGGAGGGGAACTATCTTAAACTAAACCGGCCAATGATGCCGTTTAGCGCGCGAACACATAGGACATTATAGCCATCGCAGCGACGTTCGAAGGACGAACCGAGCGGAGACGATCTAGCCGGATCTCACGATTTCCCATCCGTGGCAAGTTCTAACCTACGCGCAATCTACAAAGACATTGAATTTGTAAAAAGTAGTCCAAAGGATATGAAATTCCCTAGACCTATGGATATCGTCGATCCCCTCGGTTTGAGCCTGGCGACACGGGGTCGTCATAAATAATAGAAAACAAACGCGTTGCCGGCCGAGCGAGTACGTCACGTTGTTATTTACAAACTTTCGTTCTTTAAGTAAGCTTCGTCACACACCTCGGCCAAGTCTTTCCCCTTTACTTTAGCCGAGTGAAAGGACCGAGTCGAGCTAAGGAATAGTTACCACGTGACGGGAGTATACGTCAAGCGTGGGCAGTCGGAGGTGCATTATCATCCTCGAGAGGCAACTCGGCAGCGCATCGGATGCAACTTTCAGCGGTCAATGCAGGGCGCAAACTCAGAGTCCTACTTCTTCCGGTGATTGCGCCGCTGTTGGTGTGTGTAATACGATGGGCTGCTGGTAGATCTCCCGAGGGACGTCCGATTCTGGCCATTGTGGGCCTGCATCTACCTTCAGCTGGGTTTCCCGGGCGGTCCATGGCTGGTTGGAGATGGCCCGTGTGAATGGATGTTGTGCACACTACCGACTTGATTACTCGCGAGACTGGACATTGTCGGCTGATACATCGACGGCATGTAACTGCTCGAGGACTGCGATACTGACCTAGTGACGATCACGGAGATTCAACAAAAAAAAAAGGGGTTAGGTGACAAATCCCGAATCCTCCCTAGGAAGCGGCTGGAAAGCCGATATCCAACTGGCCCCATACCAAATAATTCAGAGGTTCCATAGAAGCCCAGAAGTACACGAACGTTTGATGTTCGATAAATAATACGCTAGTCAACGGATGGCGGCGCTGTAACTATCTTTTCGTCTCTCTCTTAATCTTAAGGAGATATATAGCGGATTTTATTCTTTATCTTATTCATAGTACCCGTGTGTCTATATACATCACCCTTCGTAAAATACCATTGGCTAACACATGCGTTCTCTTTTCCTCCCACTTCTGGTTTGTTACCCAACTTTTAGAGCATTAAATGCTAGCATAGGATCTGAGCTTCTATGGAGCATCATCCATGGCTTGTCCTTACCTTGGCACCCCACGCAGCGGATCCGGAGTGACCGATGAGTTTCGAACCACTCCGGAGTTGTTCGCACTTGCCGGTGACACGATATTGCTAGGCTGTCCCTGGTGGTAACCACTTGCTGCTGGGCTGTGCCTAGACCCAGCAATTTAAATAATCAAATTGAATTACTGTACGCTACAGGGATTCCCACTAGACAGATACGCTACCTTATCGTTGGGCTGGGTTGGGGTGCCACCATGGATCCTCTGTGCGGATACTGCGGTATAGAGGTTGCAGCCGGGGGCGAAGGATCCGGCGGCAGTCCATTCTCCAATGCCGTCGAGTGATTGCTACTGCCCGAATGGGATAAGTACGTGTTGTTCACACGAGGTTCACGATTCACTCGAGAGATAGGTGCAGGGGCACCCGGTGGAACGTCTGGGTGTGGGATGTTAGGATGAGAGGGGTTGACCGTTGGATGCACGTTGTTGGCTGCAGGTGAATCACAGATTAGTTAAACAGTCTCAAATCAGAACATTTGCCCATCGTCTTCGTCGCTTTTAATTCACCTGGATGCGCACTAGGCTGCGTCGTCAATGGAATGGCTAATCTTGCATTTACAGCGAGCAAATGGTCTCTCCTTTGAAGAAGACTGTTCACGTGCTCCTCGAGCCTCAGATTCTCGGCTCTCAATTGATGCAAACAGGAAAGTAGAGACGCAACTGTAACGGGTTTCACGTAATGATTAATTTTTATCCAACTTTCTTTTAAGACTAATCGTGTGTGACATGCAGCGTTTAAGCTTTGAAAACAGCTATATCAGCTATGGAAAATGTCACACTCGGAGGGTACATAAAAACTTCAATTTGTATAAAGGAATGGCTGTGTGTATAATCAATTCTTGGTTGACCATGACATGCAATGTATGAGAAATAAAAATATAACTACTTCCGCCGTGAAACAGTTCATGCGATCGTAAGCGTGTTTTTCCTTGCCGTACACTCACTATCGAAATGCTGCGCTTGTTCCATTAGAAACTGACTGCCTTGCTCCCACTGTCGTTCCAGAAGTTGATCCAATGTTTGAGGAATAGCACCACCTCCCAGAGCTCCAGCACTCGTACTAGCGCATGAATTACTGTTTGTATTGAAGACCGAAGAAAGTGAAGGGGCTGTTGTTGTCGGTTGGTTGGATCGTATCTAATATTAATGCAAACGTCAAATTATGGATTAATGAATTTTCAATTACATCGGTGAATCAACGAATAAAGAGTTAAGTGACAGAACTTACCGACGCAATAACACGACTGTGCAGCTGTGGTCCAACTAAGCTAGTTGTAGAATTGCTAGCTTCTGTGAAAATTGAATGTGCTTCCAGTTCTTGTGTAAGCGTATCCGACATTTTCTGTGCCATCGTCGAAGATGGATTCAGCTGGTTACCTAACATGTGTGGCGCACTCACTCCATTTTGAAATCTAGATTTAAAGTAAGCACGCCATTAGACGATTCAACTGAAAAAGACGGCACCAAAAAAAAAAATTTCCTTACAATTTTATATCCTTTTCCTCCTTGGTGTTCGTCGTGAGCGCAGTTGGTGTATTCGATGTAGACGGTGTAGGTGTTATCGACGTAGTACCACCAGCACTTTTTCGCTTCCTACGTCCTGGCCCTGAACTACTCATACTCTCAGAACCAGGACTACTAGGAGGAGAATCCTTAACCGTTGGACCCATTATGCCACCCGAGCCAGAGCCCACGCTGCTGAAATGTCCCGTGCCCAGCGTGGGACCCTGTATAATCGATGGCACTGGCGCCACCGTGGCTGACGGCGGTGGGGTTTGATGATTACTTCTTCCGCCACGTTTTGTTGTCGTAACTACGGCGTTACTGGAAATTGCGGGTGCAGCTGTTGTAACGGACTGTGCTAACACCGTCGCTGGCTGGCTATTAGATGTAGCACGCCTTGGCTTGCGAGATTTTTCTGCTTTATCTGATGACTGCGAGCTAAAACCAAGGATTCACGTAATGTATCGTCATGAATATCCCAAGTCAGTCCTCATATGATTTTAACATCACTTTTTGCCACACCACACGATTCTTGAAGTAGGGGAGGACATCTTTAATCAGTACACACATATATATCTATATGTAACGTCACTGTAGATTCATCTCGCGTTCATTGCCCCTGAGTCAACACAAACATAACCTCAAATCTCTGTCCCTTCGCTGTTACATAAACCTGCTTCCCTAAGAAACAGGGTCAAACTGCCGAAATTTGATTTCCTTCCCGAAACAACCTTATTGACCTTAACGGACTGTATCTATAACGAACAATATACCTTTGAAATGATCTTGGGCAAACCGTCGTGCTCAATACATGGGCGGACTACTGTTATAAACACTTCGTTTTTTGTGGTGAACCAGAATACGTTTCCGTCGATACCTCGGCAAGGGGACGCGTGGCGAAACATTTTACTGCTCACTAGACGACACTCGAGACGATTACGTCACTTTTTCGCCGCGGAACACTAACATTTCGTGATGGGTGTTCATTGTTGCACCGAGTAGAGGTTAGACCTGCCTTCTTGTTTACTCCACGGATCGGCCATTTTGAACGCAGCCCACTGCACTTGTCGAACGCGTTCGATCTACACCTTCTCGAATCTCGGAGAAACCTACTTGCGATTACAGGGCCGTTCAAAAGTTATCGCCCTTAATAATTTTCAGTATTCAAATTTATAACCCATTACTGCTCACATACGTTCATTTTATAATTCCCGGTGTTCATTGTAGAAATATATTCAGGTTACAAATAATAAACTGTTTTTTGTAAAAATGCAATATCAAATTCGACGGGACTAAATTGAATAAAATGTTGAATGACGGCAGTGACACTATTTAAACATGAATGTTGTATTCAGTACAGGAAAGCAGTATAGGAAAGAATATGATATGTTAAATAAGTTACAAATTCATAGCTATAGGCTAAAATATTCTTTACTTTTTCGTATTACTGTTATTTGAGCTCTTGTAAATTTACTGTCTGATATAATCAATTTAGGAGTAGGTTTAGACTATGTGAATCATTTCACACAGAGCTTTTTTGCTACTGGTGTGTGATTTATTTATTTACTTTCTGATGTCAGTGTACTATTACTTCAATATATTGAAACTTCCAACCTTGTTAAAAGAAATTGACATTTTTTAGATATTTCAAAGAAATTTCGAAATTTACTTACCGAGACCTTTTAGCTGGATTATTATCATTATCCTCTGGAAAGTTCTCATCCGTTGACCCTGTATTTGGTCCTGCATCCATAGTCGCTGCTGTAGCAACCATACTTTGCTGTAACTGTTGATATAATGTCGGTGCACTAGTGACAACGCTTTGCACTGAACTTGGAAGAGAAGTAGCGATCAATGGTACAGAAACTACTATGCTGTTTGACGTAGTGGTCGGTGACTGAGTTACAACGGATGGCTGGGACTGTGCCACCGACATTATCACAGGTGTAGTTGTTGCCTCGGTTGCAATAGGAGTGTTCGACGATGTTTGAACAGGGGGATTCTCGACTTTTACCTGCGTTTAACACAAACCAATTTCATGCACACATTTTTCAGCTTCTCAAACAATATCCATGACGATATAACAGCCAGTATATTACAAACGACTTACCTTCTTAAATTTATCAGGTTCAGTCGTAGTGCTAAGACTCGTGGCTTCTGTGACCGTCGGCTGTACACTGTTACTGGCAATTGCTTGTTGAACTACTGAACTAACTGCAACCACTACCGAGCCACTAGCCTCCGAGCTGACAGAATGATTTGAATTCTCACTTCCAATCGCAGTAGGTGTACGAGCACCGGTTTTTCTCTTTTTATTTGAATGACTTGAAGATTTGTTCGTTGAGGAAGAATTAGCTTTTGGCTGAACACCGCTCTTGTGAATCAAACTCGCGTTAGACCCGGATTTGTTGACGACTGCAGTGCCTTCGTGTCCAAATACACTTTCCGATTGAGTAACAATGGTCTCTACGAAATTAGAAGTTGTGAATTTACTGGAATTTGCAGAATTGTCTTTGGGCGTATTGCGACCACTACTACTACTTTTATCATCAGCCACACCATTTATCTCTAGACTGGGACTAGAGTTAGACTTGCTTTTCGAGCCAGAGGTAGCCGATTTAGAGCTCGAGCTCTTCCGTTTTCCAGTACTCGACGATTTCATGGGCGCCTCGGCATCTTTTTCAGGAGAGGAATCTGATGATCCATTGTCTGCTGGGATTGGTTTGTACGGAGGTATTGTCTTAACATTGCCTCCCTTTTTCTGGAATAGATATTAGAGTCACAACACTGTCATTTCCTGAAGTCTCAATTACTTTTCACGTAAACAAGTGAAATATTAACAATGTTTATAGTGAACCAACCAATTTCGAATAGTGATGTTGACAGTATCCACAATATTTCACATTGTCAAGATAATTGCCAGCTTCCTCACAGAGTAAGCCAAGGGCCTGAGCGCACGTGACGTGAAATTGCTGCCTGCAGCCTGTTTTGTTGCACTGCATACATGCTCCCACATTTGCTCTACTACCTCGCCCTTGCTCCTCACAAATGTAACATGTCTACAAAATATTAAGAGTAAGTTTAAAATATGTTTTCTTGTACAATGCACTAGTTAATAACATAACATGGATTTACTCACTTTATTAAATCTCTCAGATGGTATAAGTTGCAATATAATGGGCTCCATTGTAGTGACATTGCCAAACCGTACTTCTGGGATATAAAGCGCGCAGACGACATGGGCCCAGCCTCCTTGATCCGTCCTCTTGAGAGCTCCATCTCGGCTCGGGCATAACTCGCAGCGCTGCTCCAACATTTCGTATTGCAACCACACAATTACTACATCCAATTTTGAGAGGTGACTACTTGCTAGTGCTCCCCAGTATTTTTAAGTCTCACAATTAAATTATTTTCTTTTATAACATTTAAATGAAAAACACGTCATAAACAAAAGGAAGTAAGGACACAAAATATGACAATATCTCTAAACGTAGAATTATTTACGTACATTGCTACAAATGTAACTTACCACGCGTGCACTGCGCTCCTGCGATTCGCATTTCCTGCAGTACCATGGTCCCGTTGGTACCGTAACGATACCGTAACATGCTGAAAAGAAATAAATTACTATTTTATATATATTTCAAAATGTTTGTTATAAGTATAGTTAGTTCTAAAATTCTGTAATGTTAAAGTCAGAATTATGAACGATCTTGAACCAATTATAGGGAGCAGGAAAAAAATTCACAGAGGTGGTCTCTTCCATGACAGTGGGAGGTAAGCTTATGCGTACCCAAGCAAAATATTGCAATTCCTATATCTATAATAAGAGTTAGTTTTAGACATCTCATTTATTCAGATAAAAAAAAATGTCTGAAGCATCAATAATTTAAATATTACAAGTACTAGGTATAAATATTCCAAATCTTTTAAATATATTATACATGCCAAGAATGAATACCATTGAAGAGTAAAGAATAAGAATTTTAATTTACACATAATATACAACAGAAATAATGTAAAACCAATGGAATCTCCGTTCACTCTTTGTTGACAGTTCACTTATGATACGGATTCTTTATATCAACGATGTCAACAATTCATCTCTCATATAACCTCCGTCCGATGCAATTACTTTAACGTTCGGCTATAAATTATTCATATGAAAGAAACTCATTGAATCACCGATCTCTGAAAAATATAAAAATGAATTCGCAAGCAAGTTTACCAAACTCCTCTTGTAACATAACCTAAGAAAAATTCCAATGACGGCTTTTTACATAGACCCCATCCGATGCAGATACCAGAGCACTACGATGCACCAGAGGATGCCCACCGTGGTCCTCGACTACGAGCTTCAGAGCCAGGATCATTGAGAAAGGCCAGGAAGGTAAGAATAACCTAAAATCGAGGAAAAGAGAAATAGAACTCGAACGACGGAATACCTTGGTGGACGGCAACGGTGCAGCCTTGTCCATCGCAATACACCAGCGGATTCTCTGTCCAACCCCTCTCGTCAGAACACACGCAGCACCCTCCAAGCATCTCCTTCATGCTGTGGTCCAGGCGGCTCGAGAGACGAGACTAGCATTCAGAGCTAGGCCAGCCGATGACGAGGAGCTCGGCTCGGCGACTCTCTCAGGGACATCCTGTCGATGAGGAAGTCGACAGTGGGTGCACGTCCACGGTGGGCCCTGGGCGGCTCGAACACGCGCGTCGCGCATGTAGCGACCGCTGTGGCCGGCGCCCCTATCGCGCAGTGACCCTCTCCACTCGTAAAATACCCCCCAAAGAGACCCGCACCCGCGATCCCGACACCGAGCTCCTTTTGGCGAAATCACCCTGCAACTCGCACGGACAGTTTGTTATTTACGGCGGCGCTCTCTATTTGTTTCGCTGGGCGGCCATCTTATTTTGTTGTCGCGCGCCTACCGCGCATGCGCATCGCCGCAACATCGCGCGCGCCGATGGCACTGCGTGAAGCATGCTGGGTAGCAGAACGAATTTTAAGATCGTTCGGGAAGCACGAGGTGCGCTCGCGGTACTGTAGCACCATCTGGTAAATCTCCTAAAAAGATAATGCATTTTTTTGAGCCCCAGCGCAGAAACGAGTTGGGAGATCGGCCACGGGCAGGGTCGCGCGATCCGCGTCCTGTGCTGACCCCCGGTGGAGGATGCGGACGGCTAACGAACTTGCCACCTGTTAGCTCTCAGTGGTGGCGCAACACATTTCTGATACTATTTATTTCTCTGGGCGGTCATCTTATTTTGTGTAGAGTGCCTACCGCATATGTGCATTGCCGCACGATCACATGCTGAATTAAAAAATTCTCTAGAAGCGACCCATTCTCTCCAAGCGACCACAACCATCTGCCGCCATCTGGTGGACTCTCTCAAAAGACATTATACTTTCTTGCACCATGGCGGTGCTACATTTGAAAATACCCTCGAAGAGAAAACACATCGAAATAGTGTCACACAACATCCATCCCGAAAGATAATCCAATTTTGATAAAGCACAAAAATAACTAATTGTGAGAAATATTTATTCTTCTGTTCGAGCATCCCATGCATGTAACGTAATATTTCCAGAAATCCGACATAATGAAAAGTCTGTAGATTTAAAACGACGTTGTAATGAAAATACCGTAGGAAGTTAAGGTTTTATAGAAATTTTGTATATTTCCAATGTCCTTTATATGTATTTAAAATGTGACTAATTTATAATATTCGCTTTCGTTCTAGGCCTCACTGTATAACGAGGGATTTTATCCGACGTCTAAGGACTGACTTTTGCAACCGAGTGTTTACAACAGCCAGGCTTATGTTAGATCCACAAAAGGGCGCAAAGAAAACATGAAAGCATTCCTTGTCGGCACGAAGACCCCTGTAATTTTCATAGACGTGACCTATCGCGAATCCATCGGCGACCCCTTTTTAGTTCAAAGGCTACACTCACGAGCCCTAATAGCCCTTTACGTGAAGATTTAACGAGCAACTCGAGTACTGTTGGCGCGCACTTGTCTCTAGTGGGTACACGACATTATACTCCGCTATATGCCGTGCTTTTAATTTATCATTTATGTCTAGTATCAACAGTAGAGCAGCATCAATAAATTTGCAAACGCGATGGCCCACCACTGGCCCCGCTCGTGCTGCACCTTTTTACATGAATAATTCAGAGCGTATCGATTATTTCAGCTTTTCGACTCCCGCAATTATCATGGACAAGGACGGCCCGACTACATATTTGCTGAAGTCAATCCACGCACACAGACTCCGAGCCATTACTGTGAGTTCTTTGACAAAACCTCCCACAGGAAGGAAACGGGAAAATGGCCAACAAAGTGTTGAACTTCGGTACGATCGAACTTAAGTTCGATTGAATTGCAGCCCATTTAAACTTTCCTACCGTTGATTAAAATGCAATTGCATTTCAGGTCGACTGAATTGAAGAACGTTTGACGAAACTGAAGCCCCATCGCTGATTGATTTGCCTCCATCTTGGTGAGATTGAACTTTTATTAGGTAATTTTTGAATGTTACGGTATATTATCCAGGAGTACGGGATAGAATCGTATGGTACGATAAGATCATGGGAAATAATCTACAGACTTTATGGATCATGTCACAGGGAGTTCCTGCGTAGCGCGGGAGGCTTATTATGTAAAACAGAAGAAAGCACGTCATTCACCGAAGCTTTCACCCTCCACATTCGCCTGGGAACTCAAAAGGCCCTTGGCCCTGAATGGCCACCAAGCAAACATCCTCAGTTTACATCGAGTACACATCAAACCTGCAATAAGTCTAGACTCAACCAGGTCTTACAAAAGATTCCTACGATTTTTCAGGGAATTACAGCAAACATGAAACCTTGCGCGAACTCGGTGTAACGTTCCACTTTAATCCAGATTAAACTACCGACACAACGGCAAGAATTTCAGAAGAGCCGCTAGCGTCTAGGTGAGCAGACCTGATTGAAAAATCGATAATTTATATGAACCAAACTTCTGGACAATCTAATACAAATTTCGTAGGATTCCCTCGCAACGCAGATACAGATCCCCTACAAGTCGTGCTCGGCTCATGTATATATCAAACAACTCCAATGAAATCATAAAATCCCGGGAACAACGCATATCAATGGACAAGCTCGATCGACGTCACTTTCTGGACAAATTATAGTAGAAGTTTCGTCCGAACCCCTTGCAACGTAGATACAGATCCCCTACGAGCCATGATGCCCATGTATACATCAAACAACCCCAATGAAATCATAAAATCCCGAGAACAACGCATATCAATGGGCAAGTTCGATCGACGTCACTTTCTGGACAAATTATAGTAGAAGTTTCGTCCGAACCCCTTGCAACGTAGATACAGATCCCCTACAAGCCATAATCGGCGCATGTAGGCATGAAACAAGCCCATCGCAGTCAGAAAATCCCGAGAAGAGCGCATTTCCACGGGCAACCTCGATCGAAGCCATCAATCATCGGCCCTTCGGCGAGTCCGGGCGCTCGCTAGCGGTCACCCGGACTCTCTCGGCGCCGCCGAGCGGCGTCCCTCCCGGACCTCCCACGGCTGAAAGCGCTTCCTGCCGGAAGTAGGCATCCAAAAAGCACGAGAGGTGTTTCGCCGGCCGTGTCCCGAAGTCGAAGCTAAGCGAGCAGAGGGAACGCTGCGTCCGGGACCGGCGGTACTCTATCGATCTCGCGGACGGCGCGGACCGACCAACACCGACCCGGGACCCTCCTCACGGACTGGCACACATATCGCAGAAAAGCTCCCTCGCAGCGAGTCCCGCAAGCCCCGCCGAAGCCTGGCCTCAGTAAGCCTCGAGCTTTCGGCCGGCCTCCGCGTCCAAGAGGAGGACCTCGAGGTCCGAGTCGATGCCCACGTCGCCGGGCCCTCCGGACGCGGACCTTCAGGGCGAAGACCGAGGCCCGTCGAGGCCCTTCGTCGCGGAACCGACTCGACTTCTTCGGGCCCGGTTTGCGACGATCACCGAAATTCGAAGTGCGACCTCGCGCTCGGGCCCCCAGGGAATGGCCTTCCCTTCCGAGCCCTTCGAAACGTGGCGATGGCGGGGTTAATCGCGATCACCCTCGCCGATCGATCGGGATCGTCGAGCTCGTGACCGGAGCCCGAGTCTGCGTCCTGAATCTTAGCGATCGACGCCGGTTCGGTTCGATTTATGATTCTCGGTCGATTTGTGGGCCTCCCTGGCGTTGGCGACCAAAAGGTGATTTTTGGGGGTGTATTAAAAAACGGCGCGCGTCGGAAAGGAAACATCCTGTAGAGAAATGATGCTTATTCGTTAATGAGAATTGATAGGTATTACTTATTACAATTTTATATCACGAAGTGGATCGTGGAGCTCGTGACCGGGGTCCGAGTGTGCGTCCCAAATCTTAGCGATCGACGTTCGGTTCGATTTATGATTTTCGATCGGTTTATGGGCCTCCCTGGCGACCAAAAGGTCATCTTCGGGGGTGTATTGAAAATCGGCGTGGCGTCGAGGTAGCGCGTTGAAAGGGAAACTTCCTCTAGAGAAATGATTCCTTGCTTATTGAATTAATGGGAATTGATAAGTTTAACCATTGCAGGAAATGCTATTTCAAGGAAAACAGGTTTAAAGCTTTTTGTACACCTTTTTTTGCGTGCAAAATGTAATTCATAACACTTGTAGCTAATCAGCTGATCGATGCAAGGCAGTTTCGTTTTTTCTTTTTTTTTTCTCCATAGAAAGCTCTTTTTGATCGATGGAAGGAAAGTCGATTTTGGCACTTTTCTACGCTGGGGAGGCCTTTCAGTGGTACGTCTGCAATTCGATTACGATTTCACGAGGAATTCGTCTCGTGCATTGATTGTACCTGCGCAGAGACGTTTAAGGGAGATTCGGGCTGTGAGATTGTCTGGACCGTTTTTTCATCTTCGATCGCGGATAAGAATTGATAGTACGGTTTATGGAGCAATTCCGCGACTGATCCGGTGGCTTTATGTCCTGAGTACCTGTAATTTTCACTAGGTGCACCTCGACAATACCCTATATGAAACTGCGCCGAACTTTGACGTTTTTATCGACACATGGTCGACGCACTCGGGATTAGAGACATATCCTGGGGATATTCGCCGGAGGCCTGCAATCTCTCCGAAGCATTCGAAGAATGCGCGGGATATATCATCTGAATACCCGCAATATCTCAGAATGTCCACGTGCAGTCTCGCACCGAAGGTGACGGATCACTCGTTTCACGGATGATTAATCTAGCAATCGGTCGCAAACCCTGCAATTTCAAGTAGCATATATTAAAAGCCTACTCTTCAAGTCATACTTAAAGCGTTAAAAGAATTCCTTACGTTCTTAAAATTCTCTGTGGAAAGATAAAAAGACTAAGAAATACGTCTAATAAGATATACACTGATAAAAATCAACAGAAATTTACATACATTTGCATACACCTCTTGACTGAAGTTTCACATTGAAATACGTAAAATGGAAAGATTACTAATTAGAAAATGTATAAATATACCTAACATTGTGTGTTTGCCGCATTAGTGTATTTTTACTTGAATTAAATGTAACATTAGATGTCGAATGCGATACTGCGGAGACAATGTAATTTTATTGTAACTTACTGTGGCATCGAAATAACCAACGATTGAGTATGTAAATTTACGTGGGCATTTTTATCAGTGTAGAAATTAACCGCGGCGTAAATTGTCGGGTGATTAAAGATTGTACGTAGCAAATCGGAAAGTAGTTGAACAAGCGCCCAGGGTGTTACAAGAGTGCTTGAATAACTTGCGCTGTTGGAGTCCCTGCTCGTTGGGAAATGCATTGCGATCGTTTTCCTATTTGCTTTTCCTTCGTACACCTCAGTTAAAGGTACTTATCGAGTCATTAACGCGAATTACCGGGGCTGTAACCGTAGGAGCAGCATGTGACTTTCTTTGCGACTAAATCTTAAGTGATCGAATTCCTTGAAAGCGAGCTCAGGCTAAAAGGGTTTTATAAATTAACGTTTTAGTACGACCGATGTTGAGCGATAGTCCGTCGTGTCGATTGTATCGGAGAGATCCCGAAGAATGCTGACTTATCGTTCAAGGATAGCCACCACGAGGACCAGCCGAAACTTCGGAAACCATGAAAATCTCCATGATACCAGAGTCTTCGAAAACATCTGACCGAGAAGAATGCTCATTGGTCCGGTGCTCCGGCGACCTGGTGCATTACGAATGCCGACACCACAACACGACTTCTAATCTCCCTCAAATCCGAAACAATAAGAAACGGTCGAACGGCGTGGGACTGAACACGGTGATCACCAAGGCTGACCACATGGAGAACGAAATCACGAAATTATGCAGGAGCATGAGGATGTCCTGCCAGGACATCATCCACGAGTCCGAAGAGGAGGACGACCTGACGATGGAGGAAGTCGGCAAGTACGTGGACATTGATGGTCAAGTACCTCGACAATCAGCTGACGAGTAGAAGTTTATTTATTTTAAATTGCATTCCAATTAAATGCACACGGAATGCCGAGCATACGCTGAAAGAAAATACGTCATTCAACCTAAATAATATTTTATTCATTCAATGAATCGGTCCTAAATTTTTGTTGGCTTCTGTCACCGTCTCGCTAAACACTCTAATGAGTGTTCCGTGCGAGCGGTCAGTACACGCGCCGCATTACGGCCCTCATCCGGGCTCTATTTATACCGTAACATTAATTTAAAGAATATACGTATCGGGTATTTTTATTCTCCTCCCGAGCAGTGACTTACCTGCGGTAAGGGACCGATAAATATAGCGTGACACTGAACTGGCTTCCGTCTTCAGGTACCTGGAGGCCAATCCGATAGCGGCCGAGATCTGGTTCCGGAAAAAGGCGAGCCCGGAACTTCGGCAACGCTTGCAAGCCTCCAGCCTGGAGCCGAAGTCTTCGACTTCGAGTCTACATCAGGAAGAAAGTTTGCTCAGCAGGAGTAAACGAAACAGCGTGACCTCGGACTTGTTCCAATCTTGGCTGGCCACGAGTTCACCCATAAAGCGAAGTAAAAGCCCGAGTAGGTAAGCAATGTAAAGATCGGACTTGATATGGGATTTTCAAAGCCACGTATAATTCCGGTACAAGCGTTACATCCTTAACAGCTTGTAAAACGCGAAGAAGCACCATACATTTATTACTCCATACGAGTCGAGCTATACCGTCAGTAAAGAGACTCGGTCGGGTTTCGTTCAAACTGCATGACGTAAAATTATAAATAAATTAAAAAGAAAAGATTGAAATTTCATGGGGGTCAAGACCTTCTTTGTAGCCTCCACATACACGTTGTAAAGTTTGAAACGATTCGGTAAACCCAGTTAGGAGAAAAGTTTCATAAACGAGACCTCTTTGACGTCACTTTCACATCACCTTAAGGACATTAAACTAGAGCTGCAGATTACTGAAAATCCTCAGCTGGTTCCGAATTGACCATCGTCGGTCATTCTGTACTTTTATTCGACATGTTTCGATTATAGAAACATATCGCCAGAGCACGCAGCCACAGCGAGCTGCGTTTTGCGATCGAAATTGCACGACCAATCGAGTAAATCCGATGATTGTTTAGAGCGTCGACGTCCCTGATGGGGAGACGAGAAGAATTAATCAGGCTGGACGAAGGTGAACTTTTCATGGAGCTTATTCGCGACGTGGCGAACGAACTCGACATCAACGTCCTTTGTCACAAGATCCTTGTGAACGTTGGACTGCTCACTCACGCCGACCGTGGAAGTTTGTTCCTGGCGAAGGGTCCCCAGGATAACAGATATCTCTTCGCGAAACTGTTCGACGTCACGCAGGATACGGAATTGGACGAGGCTCTTCAGCGAGCCACGAATGAAGAAATCAAAATACCTTTTGGTGTCGGAATTGCCGGTTACGTGGCCCAGACTAAAGAGATCATCAATATTAAGGATGCCTACAAGGTCGGTGAAGAGTGTACTCGATCGACTCGGCTGAACTTCTTTAAATTCCCTTCTCGGACGACATTATGGGCTGAAACGGAGTGAAACATTTGTTTATAAATTCAAACAAGTGCATGGTGATTTCGAAAATCCATTTCATCCAAGGCTAGAGGAAATGAGGCATTTTAATGCTGGAAATCCTGAGAAAATGAGCTAGGGAATTGTTAGGAACATTGTTGTAGGGTGGAACAGGGTGAAATTGATGAGAACTTGTGGCAACGATTAAACTCGTTAAGAATTATTTTAAGTCATTGGGAAATTGTCTGGTATGAAGAAAATTACAAGCAGGACGTGAGAAAGTACTGATTATCGATAGAAATAACTGAAAAATAGAAATCAATGGTTATCAGTTACAAAGGAAATTTTTTGCCTGATTTCCGAATGAATAGCCCCTTGGATGAGCCTAACTTGCTGTGGTTTTGTAATTAAATTAAAATTTAAACCCCTTTCGATCGGTATGAATTTATATGTAAATCGTACGTATTAAATCGTTATCGGCGAACGCTTCCGTGTCTGATAAGTGGGAACACCGTTTTTTTTTTCTAGAGTTAGATAGATTCAGCCCATATTAGTAGTCCCGATTGTACACATTAACTCGTTTGCAAGGAACAATCGACCTTCCTTACGGAGATTAAGATATTGTTAGAAGTAATCGATAAGTCATTAGCGAACGTATTCTTAACAGTAAGTCGATTTAAATCATTTCCTAATCGATTCCAGGACCCCAGGTTTAACAGCGCCATTGATATGAGAACGGGATACAAGACGACACTTATCCTATCGATGCCTATCTGCAATTACGAGGGCGACGTCATCGGAGTGGCGCAAATTATCAACAAGACTAATGACAGCAATGAGTTCACCCAAAGAGACGTTGAAGTATTTCAAAGGTGAGCACTTTGACTCTCTCGTTAACGAAAAAAGGCGGCAATGGCTGAATCGAGGTGATCTGAAAGTGCTGTTTTATCAACTGCTCCTTATAAGTTGCAGCTTTTTAATATACTCATATCGTACGCACCATTTTAAGGTACCTGACATTTTGCGGAATTGGGATTCAAAACGCTCAACTATTCGAATTATCCGTGCAGGAATATAGAAGGAACCAAATTCTTCTTAATTTGGCGAGAAGTATTTTCGAAGAGCAGAACAACTTGGAATGCCTCGTTACGAAAATAATGACCGAGGCGAAGGAATTGCTCAAATGCGAGAGATGTGCGGTATACCTATTGGACTTGGACTGTGGAGAAGCAGTAAGTTTCCACTTGCGATTGCGCTTTAAAATTGAAAAATTATTTATATAAGCACTCCATGGATTTTTGTATTACCCTACATTGTTGAATTTGACCGTAGAGTCATCTGGAAAAAATCGTTGAACGTCCAGGCAAGATGGTTCAAGAAAGCAGACAACCATTGTCGAGAAGAGAGGTGAGTGAATTACCTACATCCATGGAAAAGCTGTGACTTATTTCACACTTTTACTTCAGAGCAACAACATCGATATGGAAGACATCTTTCAACAACACGTAAGTATACTTAAAGAATAAATTTATTCAAGCTCGAATTTAGTTATAACCAAGACTAAAATTTTCACGTTGGTGTTTTGCATTTCCGTGGTTTTTGAAAAATACTTTCGTTAACATCGGCTTCTTTGGGATTTGAAAAAAAAAAAAAATGAAGTGGGCAATGTGCCTCAACGGTAGTGGGAAGAGGTGTGCATTATTTTTATGAGTATTATAGTAACATTCTACCTACGTCTATTTCTTCTTGAGATGGTCTTATGCGTTGACTGGAAATTGTTAAAAATAGCACTTCGTACACCCTTACTTCTAAAAAATTAATAACCGTTGCCTGATTCATGGCAGCCATTGCAGTTCGATATATGCTATATAGTACAGGTTATCGAACCATTTTCTTTCTACATACACTTCTGTGAGAGTGAATGCGAACGTTAGCTTTATTGCCAACAAAAGAATTTACTAGGTAAGTGACTTCAACCGTTTCACTTTTTTTATGCATTTTGCACTACAATACTAAACACATACAAAAGCCTAAAGTTATGAAAATAAATTAAGGAATGCCAATGAACTTTAACCAGCATGTATGTACATGTGTGCTTAAGATCTTGGATAATTTTTTAACGTGTATCTTTAACAGTAGACGATTTCGTGAAAATGTTAACGATTACATTGTGAACTTGCCATTCTTTAAATTAATTTAAATTATTTGTTTTGATATTTCATTTCTGTATACGTATGACGTCTTGTTTGCATGAACATTTAATTACTTTTTTAGCTGCTAGAAGATACCTGGCTGTATCGAAACAAAGTCATCGTCTGAAAACTGTTCACTTAAGGAACTAAATGAAAAACCTATAAAATCTGTACATGTGTTAAATAAAAGACCATTTATTCAGATTTTATGATGCTTATTTATCATTTAGCAAAAAAGCCTCCATCGTGGACTCCTTTCTATTACTCCTCCTAATGTATAAAAATGCCAGGATAAAGAACGAGTTTCAAGTATGATTCTTTATATTTACAAGGAAAAGTTTCTTTTGCCATAAAAAATAACACTCAGAACCTAAATTGTCAAATACCTCTAACGAAACATATAAAAACCTATAAAAGGAACCTTCATACAAGTGGCATAATAAATGGTTATTATTACTTGTGCAGGTAACCAGTGGAGCCAATAAATTCACAATGATCTTTGAAATGGCAAACGGGACCCAGGAAGCCAAGATTTACCGACCAAATTCCAATGACTTGTTGAAACCATTAGGACAAATCGCAAGATACGTGGCGACTACAGGACAGATTTTAAATATCGGAGATGTAGCAGCATGGTTGAAAAAGGATCTGGTAGAAACAGGGAACGAGCTAATAAGGAGTATCCTATGTATGCCCATTGTCAACGGCCAGAGGACGGTGATAGGAGTGGCACAATTGATAAACAAGGTTCGAATTTCATATTTCTCATATATTTGCAACCTCCCTAGCTTGCGAAATAAATGGCCGGGTATTTATAATAATTCCAGGACAATGGGACGTCGTTTACGGATCCTGACGTGACGATCTTCGAAGCTTTCGCAATTTTCTGTGGCCTCGGTATTCACAATACTCAAATGTACGAATCGGCCTGCAAACTTATGGCTAAGCAAAAAGTTGCTCTCGAGTGTCTCAGTTATCATGCGACTGCCAGCAACGAGGACACGATCAAGCTCACGTCCGACCCGATACCAACGGCAGAGAAATACAATCTTTATAGTTTTACTTTTATCGACTTCGACCTCAGCGACGAGGACACTTGTAGAGCCACCGTCAGGATGTTCAAGCAATGTAATCTCATACAAAAGTTTCATATACCTTACGACGTAATGTGTCGTTGGATTCTTAGCGTTAAAAAGAACTACAGGTATACACATCAGCTGGTATTTACCGAAACTATTTCGTTAGAATGACTTTCCCTACCGAAGAGGCGTCGAAAAATGATTTAACAACTCGTTTAAAGTGACTCTCCGGTGAAAACGTTGGAAAGAGTCGATTCTTTACTTTTTTCGTCGAGCGCCGCTGTAAAAAAATGAAATTATTAACTAATCTGTAACTATTTTGCGGCATTCTATTCGTAGTTAAACTCGATCTACTGGAACTCTTTTCATAAGAAAATTGTGTGTAAAAAATCGTTAATCTAAAACATTTGGTTTAAACGCGCGTTAAAGGTCGCCGAAGAACTTAAAGAGCTTTATACTAATACTCAAGAAATTCATGTTTCTTCCTTTATGTTATTTAGTTCTTCTTTTTTTTTCCTTGTTACTCTCGCACTTGCAGGCTAAAACTACTCATTTTTCAAGCGTTTTAACGAGAGGGTCTCCTTAAATGAGAATTCTTTGACGATGACCTTACCCATGAGTTCCTGCGAGTGGGTACTTACCTCTTGCTCCTTTGCACCAAAGGCCATTTAAATATTATAACCACCTGTTGATATCAATTAGAGGGAGAAGTAACAAAGAGCCAATTGCTTTTCTGGTTTGCAGACCGGTGAAGTACCACAACTGGAGGCATGCGCTAAATGTCGCTCAAACGATGTTTGCAATTCTAAAGACCGGGAAAATGGAGCAATTCATGACCGACCTGGAGATCCTAGGCCTTTTGGTTGCTTGTCTCTGTCACGATTTAGACCACCGAGGTACCAACAATGCCTTTCAGACGAAAACGGAGTCGCCTCTGGCAATCCTTTACTCGACCAGTACCATGGAACACCATCACTTCGATCAATGCGTCATGATTCTAAACTCGGACAGCAACAATATTTTTCAAAACCTAACAATGGAAGATTACAGAAAAGTCATGAGAGTTGTGGAAAATGCCATTCTCTCTACGGACTTGGCGGTCTATTTCAAGAAGAAGAACCGATTCATGGAGTTGATCGACGAGGGGGAATTCGACTGGCAGAGCGAGGAGAAGAAAGAACGTAGGATTCAAATCATTATCTCTTAACAATACACCGTTAAGGGGATATGAAAATGGCATCTGAAAGGTCATGCGTTCATGAAACCTTTTCCCGAGGTGCGTGTACCGAATCGTTTCAAACTTTACAACGTGACAATAAAGGCTGTAAGGAAGGTCCTGATACTCATGAAATTTCATTTCTTATAAAAACTTTCAACGATATGAACAAATTAAAAAAAAATTTATATTTTATGGGTACCAGGATCTTCCTTGTAGCCCCCATGTTCATATTGTAAAATTTGAAACGATTCGGTACACCCAGTTCGGCGAAAAGTTTCATAAACGAGACCACTTTGACGCCACTTTCGCATCACCTTAATCTAGAAAAGTAGAATAAAGTTACGTTTTATCACACTTTCAGTGCTCTGCGGCATGATGATGACCGCCTGCGACGTGAGTGCCATCGCGAAGCCATGGGAGGTGCAACACCGCGTGGCGAAGCTCGTCGCCGACGAATTCTTCGACCAGGGTGACCTGGAGAAGCTGCAGTTGAACCAACAGCCCGTGGCGATGATGGACCGCGAACGACGGGACGAGTTGCCGCAAATGCAGGTCGGCTTCATCGACGTGATATGTCTGCCTCTGTACAAAGTCCTGTCGGACACCTTCCCCTGGATCCTTCCTCTGTACGAGGGGACGATGGACAACCGGAAGCACTGGCAAGACCTGGCGGAGAAGGTGGAGATGGGACTTACGTGGATAGATCGCGACACGATCGAGGAGCCCGTCGAGGAGTTCGTGTCCTACGAGCCGAAGGATATCGAGTTCACGGTGACGACCTTGAATTGCGCCCACCCTGAGAAGGCGGAGGCACCTCGCAACGCCAACCTGGCCGAAGCTGCAAAATTGTCCTTGGGGATAGGGACGAGGTTCCCCTCGGTGAAGAAGCCTGGGAAGAACTTCGGTAAGAGCACAAGATACCGACTGACCAGGAGTCTGTACGGCAGACCTCCTTCGGAGGACCTGCCGGCCAAGCCGAAGATCCCGATGCCCGAGAGGAAGACCCATGCCAGGAACAAGCTCTGCATGATAATTTGACGTCTTACCTCGAGTTCTTTGGAAAACATACCCGAATGTTAGAAAGCCTCGCAATGGGGCGAGCTCATCTAGCGACCGAATCGAGGGTGTGAACGTGTACTCCTTCGACAACGGGGATTGCGTCCTCGGCGCCCTTCGTCAATTATCCTTGAGCTGGTGTATCGGAATCCAGCAGTGATGACATGGAGATTTCCTTATTGGGGAACTTCTAGAGCCTCAGCCACCTCTTCGGAGCTGGAGAGACATCAACCTCGAGTTCTCATAGGTTGTGCCGTAACTTCGGAGAATCTAGAGGATGCAGATTGTTAATACTCGTAGATGGGAGTACCAAGTTGGTTGTCCAGGACCTCGAGGCGACTCGTTATGTAGCTCCGGAGAATCGAAAGGATGCAGGTTGTATACTACTCGTAGATGGGAGTATCACGTTTAAAAGGTTTTCCAGGACCTTGAGATGGCTTGTCTCTGTAACTTTGGAGAGCGTAAGGGAAAACAGTCTGTATAATCCTGGTCAACGCGACCACCACGTTTACCAGGTTATCCAGGACTTCGAGATATCTTGCATTTGTAACTTCAGAGAGCCAAGGAACAACATTCTGCGTTACACTAATAGACGCGACTATCAGATTGTCCAGCATCTCGAATGCATTTTTCATCTCTAACGTCGCAGAGAGAATTTCGAGAATACAAGCTGTAGAAAACTAGTAGAAACGACTACCAGGTTGTCCAGAATCTCGAGATACCTTGCATCTCTATGGTCACAGCCCGATAAACACAAAACAGTGGAATTCACGTTTTATACCCGTAAATCTAGTGATAATAAGGTGGTAGATGCAAAAATTAAACGCTTATCCACCCACGGTTTTTTTTTTCTACGTTAAATATACATCCACAAGAAACGTGTATTTAACGTATTAACGTTATTTCAACGTATAGCAAACGATAATAGGCGATTATTTTACGCACGGACTACGTTTAATCGACGTTCGCGTTACACGACCAAAACGATGGTTTAATAAACAATAGAATAGACTTGATATGGACGTTGAATTTGTCGTGTACAGGACATTGGAGCGGGTAAGACCCGTTTTCTCTCGCGACACACTTTGTACGATTACAGCCAACGGTTTTAGGCCATTTCTCAAAGTGTATTCCACCACTTTGTGTTTATTCGGAATAAGTCTCAAGGTAATAGAAGCTGCGCAAAGCTCGTATCAGCGAGTACCACTACGGCAGCGAATCAAAATACGAGAGATTGCGTCGAGCACCGACAATCCTTTTTCTATTGTTTGATCGTCCAGGCTAGATAAGTTGAAAGGTTCTCGATCCAATCAAGCGAAAGAAGAAAAACAAACGTACCAAAAATAGAAAAATAACAGGAAGGAAGAGCACGAGGGAACGTATCGGAGTGGCGATCGCGTAACGATAGGCACTAGTTAGGATAACCTAGCAATAGAACTAGACCGAACGATAAGCGTTGAACCGATCGACTTCCGTGCGAGTTTCCGCAGTGTTTCGATCGACTATTAATTATCAATTAATTCGTCAGCGTCGAGTCGGGCACGTTAATTTCCACGACAGCCCTGCGTCCAGTTCGTGCAATTTTCCGACAAAGGAAAGCCCGAAGATAAGGGCCGAGCGACAATTAACCGCTCCTCGCGACAGCTACACCGAGAAAAAATTCATTTCCAATTAGAAAAGCATCCTTTCATTGAAAAACGTTCATTTGTATCAACTAACAATGTTTCGGTAGAAAGATCACGTAGATACCCCAAAGAGATGATATTCTTGGGAATTTCTTTAAACCTGTAACGTGTTTAATTGCAACTAATAACTTGGTGTACTATTTCATTCGATCTACCGAAAGGTTTCTTAGGTATGAAAGTATATTTCATTTCGTTGAACTATGAAGAAAAAAAGAAGAAAATGAAAACTTCTTCTTTCAAGGAGATTATTTCTCTAAATGGAGTTAAAGAAATGAAACATAGTTTCGATTTCTTACATCGTTATCTTAAGATATGAAGTATTCGATCAATGCAATTTATCAGCGTTAAACATTCGGCACTTTTTTTTCTCAGACATTTCTTTGATTTTATGCCGCGGTTTCTTTAACCCCATTCAGAGAAATAATCTCCTTGAAAGGAAGAAAGAAAAAAAACGTGTTTTTCTCAATGTAGAACATTCGCGAGAGCATCTTTAGAGAATTAAGTGAAACTTTTTTGGCGCCGTACTTGACCTCTTATCTCGGTCTCCTCGTCTGGCGATCGCGTTTTTGGGGACTCTCGCGTTTCCATAAAAAAACAAAAAAAAAATAAAGACAACTCTCGCGCGACGAAGCTCCCGAAATTCGGGGCGAAGGACACTTCCGACATTCTTTTCCAAGATTCCGACTCGGTCGTTTTAACAAATGTTCCGTTGCCGCGCGTGTGGCCTCGCGAAGTGGGAAACCTCCGGGCCCTCGTCGCACTAGTCGTATATCTAGTCGTTCTAGGGACACTGTACGCAATAAATTTACGCTACGTTTTATTAATAAAACATTTAGAAAGTATATTGGAACGACGGTATAGTTTACAATAATTACCTCTTAATTATTTGGTCTTAATATTAAATTAAATATAACAATCTGTTACTATCGTTTAACGTAACCCAGAAGTCGATATTAATCCTATGTACATAGTTCGTAATGCGGTTCATCTAGAATATGTAGGTTTTCCTTATCTTTTTTTTTCCACTTTACCATGTATTACGATTCGCGTGGACATGAAGTAGCATAAGGAGACACAACGCCAATTGTCGGTACCATACAAAGTGGTCCCAGAATCGGGACCCAGGCTCTCTCAGATCTTCCCTGATGTAACGATGCGAGCGCCACTCGCGGAAAATGAGGGAACTCCGAGTTCTCCATGACCAAAACATTTCCTACCGATGTAAACTACCTGAAATGCTTTTAATTCTGCGATTAAGGTACGCAGAGCGAAACGATAATCCGCTTATGATATACAGAATGTAAGGTTTTTAACGCGGTAAAGACTAGCGTACCCGTTAGCGGACGATAATTTTTAATTATGGAATCTCATCGAGGAGGCGCTCTCGGCGCTAGATCGGGAAAATCTGAAGATCTTGGACTCCTAAAGTGGGGACGATATCAAGACATGGCATTGTATCTCCTTATACTATTGGGTTGATGCATAATGGCGTTTTTTCTTGCACGTTACGTCACGTGTCAAAATGCGCCATTACTTGTGCACCAACCTAATACTTCGTGCGCGTAGATATAGGTCCACCCGCGATACCGCGACGAGCTGCACGTCGAAGAACTCACGCTTTTGTCCGAGGGCTGGCCCTCGAATTTTGGACCTTCTCGAAGTCCCCGAGAGGAACGCGCCAATTAAATACAATTTACAACGTATCTATCCGTCCAGGCAGTGATTCGGTTATTCGGTATTTGGCAAGATCGTTATCGTCCCCTTAGAGCACGAGGCGTCCTCGTTATCACGCTACCGCATTCGTCGACGACGTTGGTTGCGCTCAGGGATGGGCGACAAGGGCTTAGTTTCTACCAATTACAGCCGCTTCCAGTAATAATTCCAAACGACGGATATTTTCACTCGAGTCACCGTCGTTTACAGCCGGCTATAGATTCTGTAAACCAAATAACCGAACGCGCAGAAACGACCTGACGAGTCGAAGACTTTATTGACTCGAGTTACTCGTATTCGAAAGCATCGTCAACTCGGGTTTTAAATCGCAACGAGCCTAGTTTACCGCGAGTTGGCGAATAAACCGACTCCAGTAAAGGGATAAAAAACGAATCATATAATCCGACACGGTCCGACGTCTATCGGTCCCGACCTGGTACCGTAAACTATAAAGTAAATGTACCTATCCTATATGTTTTTAAATTTCCCTTGACACTAGTTCAATGGAAATTAAAGAACTTCATCCTGGACTTTCCTTCAGGTATCTGGCGTGCGGTACATTACACTCAAGTGCAGAAAGTACAGCTGACCCGAACAAACGAAATGTTTTGTCGGATCGGTACTGATACGTGCCCGATCGTGCCGGATAAGTGAATCGACCTTAAGGTGATATGAAAGTGGCATGTAAAAGGCCAATTGTTTATGAAGCTTTTCCGAACTAGAAGCGCTGAATTGTTTGAAACTTTACCGCGTGAATGTGGAGGCCCTATAAATGGTCAATCAGCCATGAAATTTAACTTTTCACAAGAAATTACAAAATATCTGTAAACAAATTTAAACCAAAAAAAAAATGAAACTTCATGGGTGCAGGACCTTTATAGCCTTCATGATCATGAAAATAAATGTCAAACGATTCGGTATACGCAGTTCATAAAAAAAGTTTCACAAACCAGGCCCCTCATACGCCACTTACATATTAGGAAACTCGACAGAGTTTCGCGCCAAATATTAATACATATCACCTTAACGCGCGGCCGGTATCTCTATACGATCAGGTAACTCGGTTAAGTTCTCGCACGCGTAACCCAATCTCACCGTCACATTCGCAACTCGGATTCGCACTCATACTCGTAAGTCGCATACCGATAACTCAAGTTACAATAAAATTGATTCGAGCCGATTCGAATACAAGCATTACCCTAATCTACCGAGTTGAAATACTCTACCGGTCGCAAACGTGCGAGCACATTTCTTCGGGAGAACAAATCATACATAACACGCATTAGGCCAATGCTGTCGGGTGCCTACGAGCCGATGATGTCAAGGTACAAATGTCGAATCTACAGGTCGATTAAAGCCTAATAGAATCCGTCTAAAGTCTGCGGATCGTATAAAATCTGCAATTGACCTGGAAGTAATGTAAACGGAATCCATATCGGGTCTGGGTCAAGCCTGTCCTGCATCTACACCCTGTCCAAATCAGTCTCTTCGTCATCAGCTCTTCGTGGCTCCGACCAGCCCCACATATTAACGCTGATGCAGACCTAGAGTCTCTTATCAAATCGAAAAAATTGGTCCGTCTCGGCAAGACTAGTCTTATGTATTGGATTCCAGCAAGACCAGGTCGACAGATCGGCATCACCGCAACCCGTTCCGAGACCCGATACAGACCATCCAGGTTGCAGACTCGAGAAAAGAGCTTCTCGACTTTCGCCAACTCAATACGAAAATGGCATGGCCGAGAGGTGAAAATCGTCCATGAAACTTTTCCGCAAACTTGACGTACCGAATAGTTCGAAATTCGGCCACATAAACGTGGAAGCCTTAAGGAAGGTCCCTACCAACGAAATTTCATTTTTTACCAAAAGTGTTTGAAAAAAAATGTCTAAGTTGAAATTTCACGGTGTCAGAACCTTCCTAGGGCCTCCACGTCTACGAGGAAGCTTGAAACGAGTCAGTACACCCACTTCGGAGAAAAGTTTCACGAAAGAGACCTTTCTGGCGCCACTTTCGCGTCGCCTTAATAATAGCCCTGGACTCTGAATTATGTATCTAAAATCTAATTGGAAACGATTGGCCTTGCAGGCATTTATAGTTCGAAGGACAAGGTCTCGCATCCCTGATCGCAACGCGCGCCACGTCCTCTTCGAGGTCCCCTAGATTCACCTCGCCGACAGAATTCGTCCCTCAGCCTATCCATGGGTTCAAAATGCGAACAATGACCTACGCAACTTTTGCACGATTTCCCTAGTTTTGCCAATTAAAGCGATCGCCGATGCGCTCGGTTACGGTAAGTGCCGAAAATCCCTCGCACTGGAAATCATAGAATTCCATTCCGCGTGGTCATCGCGGTGACAATGTAACAAACGTTTTCAGCCCCGAATTCTACATCATTGTTGATATCTAAAGTAACACCACGACGCTCCAGAATGAGGCGAAATGCACATTTTAATAAAAGAAAGATGGCGCCAAGAAACTGATGTCAGCCGAGGTCTTGACCCTTTGGGTCCTAGCGAGTTTTACAGATAATTACAAAATAATCTTTATACAATGATAAATAAATAGGCAATCAACCTTAATTATTAGTACAGCTTTCTATCACTGATTTTCACTACGGTTTTCATTCTTGTAGACGTCGGATGTCAAAGGGTTAATCGCTCGTTAATCGCTACTTTTAGATAATGCACCGCCGTAATCCGCTTCGCTTTGAAACTCCTTGATAAAAAAAATGTTTTTCTTTTATAAAAACTTTAAAAAATGTCTATAAACTAATTAAAAAGTAAAATTGAAATTTCATGACTGTCAGAACCTTCCTTACAATCTCCACGTTCACATTGGAAAGTTTGAAGCCACCTTTAAGTCGCAGATTCGAGACTGTTAGCGTTAAGTTTCAAAGTCTTCGCTTCGACAAGAAAACGCCGATCATTTGAAAATCTATGGAATCATTTCCTCCTCGATTAGCTTCCCGGAAAGTTGTGATGTCAAATCGCGGGTTCAAAGTGAACACTGTACAAATTATCCGCAATCGATGGGGAGAGGCGAGAAAAATGAAATTAAGTAAAGGGATGTATAACCGGGCCCTTCACGGACTTTTCCCAAATTCGCTGGAGAAGGCTGGTCGTCGGAAAAGACTGGAGAGGAAGAGACAAAACGTTTGCGTGGTGATTATGCTCGCGATTAGGCAATGTCGAAATGGCAAAAATGCATAGACATTGGTGTCACATGAAGAATTCCGTGGATCGGCTGACATGCAGTCACGATGCAGGCCTATCCAGAACCGATATTTCTATTAGTCTAAGACCGCGCGTAGTCGGGTCCGTTATTAACAATCCCCGTGGCCTGTAAACTCGGTCGTTTTGTTCGCATACAAATTTTGCTACCTTCCGCAAACACTTCTCATAATGAGTTTCAGTGCATATATAAATAAGGTAACCGGTTAAACATGCCAGGCACCCTTCGCAGTAGGTCGAGCAACTAGCTCGTTCAGCTTCTGCAAAGTAGTTGTTCAGCTGGTTGATTGTATGTTCGAACGTTTGTCTGTCCAGCTAATTACAAGCAAAAACGAGTATTAGTTGATTCCTCCACCACTGCCAGAATAAAGTGGAGTTAAATTAATGTGTTAAAATAATAAAGTAATCTAAATCAAGGAGAGGCGAAGAAAGGCAAACGATATGTGCATGTATCAAAATTGCAGTTGCCAAATAAAACAAAATATTGTTGATTATCCTTTGTGTTGGAAGAAATATGAACTTCTACTTTTCTAAAGTAGGTTTCTGTTTACAATTGCAATCGAATAGGGGTATCTATATCGGTCCGTGACCTTGTAAATATATCTATGACATTTGATCACTAGGTCAATTCTCAACGCAATGTTCAATATAAATATAGTACTTATAATCAGAGCTCTAGATTAATGTTCAACGAAGTCAAGAACTTTTCTTGGAGGTACTTACTCTGTCTCCGAGTTCTGTAGGAAACTGAGTTTGAAATTTGACCATTGTACCTTCACTGTAATCGCGTTGTATGAAGACTTTTTGACAATTCTGAGGCGGTCCTCCTCCTCCTTGTCCTCGTCCTAACGACATATCTTCTAACGGCGTAAGTACTGCGTGATTACTCTGCAAAATTTACGTTTTCATGTTCACAAAACATTGTTGCTGTAATTTCACTCACTTCATTGTACCTTATTAACGTATTATTTTCCACATAAACACACAGTTCCTTTGTACCCAGGTAAATCATTTCATATTTCACATTCTCTTCAGCATCTTATCTGCTGTTTAAAATTCATTATCACCATTTCAAAACTGATAAGAAGAAATTAATTCCAAGTCGTAGAGGTACATGAATAACAGGTTAGTTCAAATACCTGAATGTACAAAATTTGTAATGTATCTTGTTTTAAAAAACATTAACATATACACTACTTTAAGGACCTTACCTCATAGATATAAAGTTTTAATTCATGGTTACACTCTTTTACCCATATATTAATAAAATTATGGAGCAGTCATCTACGCCATAGTAATATCAAATATAGAGAATGCAATCTATGGTCCGTGTTCTCAATGCAATAAATCGCAACCCATAAAGACATTAAATGAAGAGTATTAACGTGATTAAATGGCATAAGAAGTAGCTATCGATATGACTACCTTCATTTTGTACTCCAAAAGATCATAGTACTAAAAACTATAGGTTCGTAAGGTCAAGGAAAAGTAAAAGGATGAGGACTCAAAGAGTTTAAAAAACAAAATAAGGAAACGGAGACGAGGGAAAAAGCAATTACAGGTCCATTTTTCTTCTACGAAAACAAAGCACCTACCAGAGAGTTAGAAAGAGTAAGAAATTGCGCGTAAGAACTGTACAAATGTTTTGATTGAAACAGGTTGTTAGTAAGACCATAAACTGAATCAAAAGATAAAACTCATTCAACAGGAAGATACAAACGGACGACAGAGTACGACAGGTCGGACAGACAGGAAAGAAACTTACCAAAGGCATTTTGACCGTCGTCGTGCAGGTGGAACGAAGATAAAGCAAGTAGACATGTACTCATCGGACGTTAATTCCAACGTCCCCGGGTAACACTCAAAATTTCTACAGAAATATGAGAAATGCCATTTTCTAATTAGATAACACCAGGCAAAGGTAAAGCCGCAGAGAGACGTGAACGCAAGCGGAAGGAGTTCGAGCTGAGACGTACTGTTAGGGAGAGCCAAGCGCGAACCGAGTAGACAGGTTACGATTTCCTGATTTCCTACCAAAGTGAACAGCAAACGACCCAACGAACGCGATTTTTCGAGGTTGGGTGCTTTACTAGCCCATTTCCTGGTTTATACCATGTTCGTTTAGTCCTTGTTTACATAGCCGAAGATGACGAAGAAGGTTCACGCCAGAGATGAGAGATGTGAGAGATTGCTTACGGGCTGGGTCACGCAATGGCGTTCTGTGCTGCCCTCGGTGGAGAATGCGGGTGATTTGGGAACTTGCCACCTGATACCCTCCAGTGGTGGGCCAACTCGATTCTCCTCATCTCTGAGTTGGGCCGCCACTGGGGGTATCAGGTAGTAAGTGCGCGATTGCGCGATTCCGCAGAACTTGTTGGATTTGTTGATAAAGGATGTTAAAAGGTGTTTGTTATCTTGTATTATAAAAATTTCTTGTTTATTCAAAATTACATTTAACTTCTTCATGCTTCCGACCAGGACAGTGCCTAATTCGCATAGATGTTCCTCTGCAAGGCCATTCCTGGATTTGATACCTTGTCACCAATTAATCCCTGAAATAAATCATGATTGTAAACATTTTTAACAAATTTCGTTCCTTGGCAATTTGCCTATTAAAATTACCTTGTATACTTTACAGTGGCAGGTTCATTAAAGCAAGTATTAAAATATCATTTCAAGTAGCGTGTAAAAGTTGATTTCTTATAAAACTGTAAATTGGTTTCCGCTAGACTGGCGTTTGGCTATATTGAACAGCGACAGAAGATAATTGCGCGAATCCGAGGAAACGTAAAATGAAATAGTATCGCCTAATTGTTCGGAAACCGTTTCGAAAGCGTTCGACTGCGTGTCACTGCTCTCTAATAAATTAGTTAAACTTTTGCTACTCGTTCTCACATATTCCTCAACTCTTCCTCTTGTGTCCTCGTCCATCTGGAAGGTAAACATTATGAAATCACTGAAACTAGTAAAAGAATTAATCTAACAAATAGGAGGCAAGAAATGCGTAATCTTCCGATATAGAATAAAATATTGCATTATAATAGTTATCATCAAACCTCTGGCAACTCCGTTGGCGATGACGATCTAGTCGGATGTACCTCATCGGAGGGACAATATAAGCATAACATGTTAGACTCGTATGGATGATCGACGCTCATCAATTCCTTAACAGAAAATATCCTCTCCACGCTGTCATCCGAACTATTTATTAGGAACAAGGATTTATGCGTAAGAACAAGCGTTACAGCCTGATTGCCAGTTTGATTTACTATGTGGTCGGCATTGGCTACGTGCAAAATGCTCTCCTTTCCGTTATCGAACATGGGAAGTAACATCCAACTATATTTCACGGGAGCGTTGCAGTTGGAACTCGTGTAATGAATTATCGGCCTTCGCCTCGGCTAAAAAATCAATTAAACCGTTTATAAAATACACTTTTGAATTTAATAAATTACATTTAATAAATTCCAAGTAACTAGTTGCAAATATAGAAATGATGAGCGACTCACGGAGGGCAAGGAATTCCATCCAGCTCCCCTGAGCAAACCCTGACCGGTCAGAGCGACCAACTCTGCCGCTCCACTTAAAGGTTTAGTGATAACTCCAACTAAGCCTAGACCAACTCCAGTAACGACACTTGTTGTAGTTGCATCTCCTGACCATACTTGTTGCAACGGATGATGAGCCAATCCAGCAACAGCGCCTAGAAACGCCAAATCCCAATATTATACATTTCTTTGTCACCATTACCATGTTTTACTAGTCTAAATGACTCACCAAGAAGACTCATTCCTAAACCAGTAAGACCTTGAAATAGTCCTTGCGCCACTCCTTGAGGTCGCGAGCGTCGCGATTCTTCTTGACGTTGAAGGTGTTCTTCGTCTAAAGTGAGCCTATCCAAATTCCTCGCGACACTCGAAGCTAATTTCGTCACAGAATTGACCGTACCTAAATAACAGGAATATTAATAATGGATATACGAATTATTTTAGACATGCTTTCAAGCCAACAAACAAATGTGCGATAGAGACCTGCCGTGATGTGCTTGACGAGACTAGCTGATCCGTGGGTAATTCCTACCACGAATCCCCACGGTCCTTGTAATAAACCATGGAATGGCATGGAAATAAAGTCTTTCAGGCCAGAACCCAAAGCCTGTGCCAGTCCTCCGGGAGATCCCAGGATTTCGAGAGAACCGACGACCCAGCCTGGATAAATTTAATATATTAATTTTGTAAAGGTTCATTAAGTGGTTGCGAAAGCGCCATCTGAGGGGTCAATCGTGCATGAAACTTTTCTCCGAACTGGGTGTACCGAATCGTTTTATCCTTTACAATGTGAATATGGAGGCTATAAGGAAAGTCCTGACACCCATGAAATTTCATTTTTCATAACAAATATTATAAATGTCTATAAACAAATTGTTTCAAAATTGAAATGCCATTGTCAGGGCCTTCCTTGTAGCCTTCATTTCGTATTTTCACTCGCCTCTACTTTCCATCACTTTAAATATGAATGTAAGGATTAATGTAGCACATATATTACCTGCTCCAAATATAGCGCCTGATAAGTAATGCATGATTAGTGCATTGCCAAGTCTGTATGGAGTTGTTAAAAGATGTGTTCGCTCAAACGATCCAAAATACAATGGTGAGTGATCAAGGGCTACGTAGAGTCTCACAAATGTATGAACGCTCAACAATATCGACACAGGTTCTATGACTAAACTGTGCAGTCTTAAAGGTGAGCTTAATGTTTTGCTGTCCAATATTACAGAATAAGGAGCATAAATTATTGCTCTTGGTGGAAATACCGTCTCGTCGTTTGTTTCATTCGATTGCGTCGACGACGCGACGAAACTAGAAGGCACCAGTAACTTTCCATAGTCCAGCAATTGTGAAATATACGTATCCTCGATGTAAGCGCTAATTGGAGACACTTTTAAGTAAATATCCTTGCATGCTGTTACTCTCCCATTTTTTTCCCAGATACATGTTGCCACGATTAGCGAGTCCTCTTGAATCTTATCGATGTCTGCGTTTAAGCGATTGCTTAACGAAAATATCCTTTCCTTTGCTACTCTGGGACTTTGGCTTATAAGAACGACTGGAAAGTCGAAACCTCCGTGGTCGAATAATTGATTATCCAATTGTACATCGCCAATGCACAAGCACAACGACGAAACATTAGATTTTGACTCAGAGGTAACGAACGTGTCCGTTAGATGAAGGTTCGCAACCTCGATACTTTGAGCACATTCGTTGATGTCTTTTGTCAAAACGATAGTAACGCCTCGAAGGCATAGAGTAAAAGAAGATTCTTGTTCACTTCGCTCTTCCAAATTAGGTGCTGATTGTTCGTTCTTCCAGACATCTACGTCATTTATATTTTTATCCGATGTCGATAGTTCTACGTTATGTTGAGAAGAATCTGAGACGTCCGTTATTGTTCCGTGTTCTTGAGCGGAAAGAAAACTTGTTTCGGATGTAGAAGCCGACGTCTGTAAATAGCCAAGTGAAATATAATTAATGATTCTAAGATTTATAATAAATAAATGTTCTTACCTGACTGTGAGCAACTGACTTAGACTCATCCAATTGAAGCATCCCACGTGTGTTAACCATAGCTGATGTTATTTGCATATCGGCTTCTTTATGTAACAGTCTGCTTCTAATATCACGAGCAGAAATTTCTACCTATAATTCGAAAATACATTTTGACCAATATTAGAGATTATGCACTGACCAAGGAGTTTAAAAATGATTGCATTTTCAGTGATCAGTATTTCTCTCCTTACCTGGGATATTGGCATGATTTTAATGTGGACTGTATGACAGCGACTGTACATCGATAATTTCACATCTCCAACATGTGGTATTCGAACGTATTGATCTGATAGATGCGTAGAAGATAGGACAGATAAGTCAATATGTCGAGACCATTGTAAATTTCTTCGATCTATAAAAAGTTGTTCCTGGCTTTACAACGTTGCAAACTTGGAAATCGTATATAAGTAGATTTATAAGAAAAATAACCTGTAAATTCTGCTTTATTTTTAATCACTGCTGATAGTAATAATTTAGTTGTACTGTTGTTCGAGGGAGAATCTGGTAGTTTAGAGCCAACAATTGGCGTGGAATAATGCGAAGAGCAACCACTTTCCACTTCGCACATCCATGAGAAGTGTTCCGAGTCTAGTAAAATAGCGTCTAGAAGGAAGAAAAGAATATGGCGTGTTTAATTAATGTAAAAAATTATAAATTATAATAAATCAATATGTGCTCAAATTGGTTAAGAATTTAATAAAATACTCACCAGAGGAAGCATTGGCTTGACCCAAGACAATTGTAAATGAACACGTATTCTCGATGAATAACTGAGGATGTTCGTCTCTGTAAAGCATGATGAACAATGTCCCCTTATCTTCTTGAGTCGTCATTACCACCGGTATTGTTGTACTGCCGTCCTTCAACATAAAGAAAAATAATGAATATCTTTTTAAACCACGCAAAGAAATTTGATATATATTTCATACTTTTCGTTACTTACCCTGACAGCTATGCTTCGACGACTAATACCTTGACCCACTCGAACAGGACAAGACCATTGTTGATTCAGACTCAGGGATATGTAAAATGCTACTGGTTCTAAAGGACGTTCAGGATATAACATATGCCACTGTACAACAGGAACGGTTTCTCTGCACAGGCAAATTTGATGGGCGTATTATATAAAAATGTCACTGCCAATGTAACGAATAAATATTATTACAATTTTATTGGAATCAGAATTCCCAAATATAAATAATTTTCGGATTCTACCTCTGGTCTTTAGAAGGCAAAATTTTAATACTGAACGGTGTTAGATCAGATGGCAGACAAAGATCATTACTCTTCTCATGAATGACTATTGCAGCCAAACGTAATTCCTGATCTGTGTTATTCCCAATAACATGACTACTTGCAATTCGTACTAATCGCATGTCTTCATGCATATTCGATCTAATGCTCAATATACACATCTGTAATTATTAAAAATATTGGGGTTGTCAAATAATACGTTAAAATATGCTATTAATACTTACACTCGATTCACAATCAACTGGTATTTTAACATTCCCTTCGACTGGAATAAGACCTTCTATTCTAGGCATATAAAAATTCTGACTCCAATCTGGTCGAGCCAATTGTAGAATAGGAGAAGTATAAAATATATCGTCTATTCCCACATTCAAATGAAATGATCCCTGTAAACGAAACATTCTCGTACTATGATACTGAAATTAGGGTATTAAAAGCACTTGACATCAATTACTTACTTCCAATTTAGGTGGAGTAACAATTCCACGATGTGGAATTTGACAAAGCTCGACATCTTCTGACACAAGAGATAGATGGCATCCAATGGAATTTAGAAAGAAACACCATGGCTGGAGTTCTAACAATAAGGTACTGGAAACTAAACCGCCGTCCCGATACTTAACCTAAAATAATTGTTCAGTTGCCGTAATGTGTCTCATTAATAATGTGTAAACAGGAACCGAAAGCATCATTCAAGAACTCTCCAACGAAGAACCGTTAAAAGATATCATAAACATTGAATAACGCTAGAAACTTATTCATCGAAAAGTAAAAAATTAAAAGATGTACCTGAGCGTGAGTTTGAGGCTGTTCGGTAGATATCCAATCTTGTATATCATCGTCGGCTTGAAATGGCCAGGGATCTTCGTTTTCAATGTTATCTAAGGTTTTTATAATTGTATCGATGTCCTCATCTTCAGATCTCTTAAAATACTTCCGCTGGTCAATTAAACTATATGAAAGGGGAACATATGGATCCGAAGACGAGATACCAGCTCTGAAAGGATCAGCATTGGCAGGACTGTAAGAATAATAACGAATTTAAACATTGGCACATCCAGATTTTGTTTACATTACGTGCATATTTTTTAAATGTTGTTGACAGAATTACCTACAAATAGAGACATCCATTTATTTGATTAACGCAATCTTTTAATATATCCTGCCTAGATAATCACAAGTTTAAAAAACAAATTAACGTTACTTACTCGAGCTGGAAAGTTAATTGATGGGACTGTTCAAATGTACCAGGGCAATACAACTGTTGTACTTCCCCGCGACCTTTCACACTCATAGTCGAAGAAACCTTCAAAGAAGGTGTTTCAATTCGAACCTGAACTGGTACCGGTAAATGCGATCGAATCGTATAAAGGGGACTTAAAACAGCCTGTAACAAAACACATTACATAGGTTGTAATATTATAACATTAACGCACGACTTTCAGCCAACAATTGTACAATCTTCTGGATACATCGATACTTACAAGAATCTTGGTTCTTCCTTGGATACGTTGAGTCACTATCCGTACCCAAATACTTAAAAACTGGCCACGTTCTTGCAATGGCACTGAAACAATTATTATATTATTATTAGATTTTATTCTACCACAGAAAATATAAAATTTATAAAAAATAACTAAAGTAAGTAGTGTGATACCTTTGACGAGCCAAGGTTGACCAAATTTGGCGTTGGGGTGGAGAGGAACATCACCGGTCCAGGAGGAACTAGTCATGGAACGAAACCGTAGCCGCATTGCCAAAGCCAAGTCATTTCGAGGACCATTGCCTCTCTCGAGCACTATAGAAGGTGGTTGACTTCTACCCGGGACGAGATACATTAATTTATTCCTATTATTAGACTCTTCCGTATATTTCACCAGTTTCATTTCGAAAGCTTCGGTCAACCGATTGGATATAATAAGCTGCCCATAGAACTTGACCAGCTTCTGAGTAGCAGAAAGAGAGGAAACCCGAAGAAACACAGTCGCGTTCACAGCCTCGTCAGGGAATTCAATAGTTCGTACATCATCTTGATTAATAGAGAATGGGCGACTCCACTGGTTGCCCCCGAGAGATATTCTCATGGTTTGATTCCTGGTATGTCCAGGGTGTTTCCAGGAGTAAAAGTAGCATTCTCGGGTCTGTAACAAGATGGCATCCTTCGTGTCGGCTTGGCCGAAACAAATGGGAACGTCGGTATCGTTGGCGATGATATATCGAGTCGGTGGCAAAATCTTGCTCTTGTGGTCATCAAACGACGCCATCCACAGTCGCGTGGATACACCTAAGGTGTGAGCGATCGCAGGTCCGAATCTTATCGAGAACGGCTCGCACGAGATGTTGAAGTCAGTTTTTCGAGACGACACGCAAAACTGCGCCTTTATCGTTAGTGGGCTCAAGGACTCTTGCATCGTTAAAAACCCGTAGTCCAATATTCGCACGCTTGATATTCCGACGACGTCGACCAGGGTTGTTCCGTCTACCCATTTGTTAACAACTATCACAGCGTTCTTATGATCCATAGCAAGGAAACACTGGGTATCGGGCACAGTTCCTCTGTCACTCAGCCTGTAATCCTCCAGAGGCTCGGGCAGTTTCTCAAAGAAATCGGGTTCTACCTGATTGCAGAACGCCAGGTGTATCGTACCGACGTTCAGGGCTCCTTGAAAAATCGGGATGATCTTGGGCTCAAAGTAGGAGTCTATTCGCAAGCAAGCCGCGAGGGCGCGGACCGAGTGGAGGATTTTGCCTTTACTCTCTTCCTTCTCTGGAGTACAAACGACTACTCGCCAAGAACATGCTACCGATCGTGCCGGAGCTTCTTTCGGAAGGTCCACGCAATAACTTTCCGTTTCTGATAAATAGATCTCGGCGTAAGGTTGATAAGCTGCGTGACATTCGCTCCAGTACTCCAGGGTGCAGAGGACTTGGTCTTGGTAGTTTTCTTCGTCCATTACGACCTAAAAAAAGGAAACAAGTAACACAAAATATAATAAATGTTATGAATTTAATCTCACCTTAAACGGAACCGGTGATACGTGAACAGTAGTGACTGTCCTCGGTTGAGGATATCTCCACGCCATGGCTTGTCTAGGCTGCGAATAAAACGCTACCTAAACAGTAAATTGAAAATCAAGTTTGTGATCGTTCCAAACACGAAATTGAACGATGCCATCGATTTAGATTTGAGGAAATCCCCACCGGTAAAGGTAGGGATGTTGGAAACAGAAAAATATGAGAATTCACTTTGAGGTATCTGAACACTCACTTGGTAAGGAAGAGGTAATTCGTCCGAGTTCCCATCAATGAACTGAAAAGCTCCAGCTTTGAGATCATCTTTGTAGTACTGTTCTGTCGTTACTTTGCCCTGATCGTCCATGTCCTCATTGCTCTTGGAATTTGGCACAAAACGATCGTAAATCTCTTGAAAATCGTGTAATAGCTCATTTATGATTTTAATTTGCCGCGGTCCCACAACGACGTAAATACTGTCGCTGTCTGCTTGAAGTTGCAATCGCGGAAACGTGTCGCTACTATTCGACGATTTGGAAAAAAACGCCGTAACGCAGCAACACCACGGATTCAAAAGGACTGTTATGCGATTGTCAAGAATACTGGACACCACGAAAGAGTCGATGGAAACGTTTCCGCAAATTCTGTCAGGTCGATTCAGTGTCGAAACGTTTCCCGACAGAGCCGCCAAACTAAATAGTACTTCCGATCCACTGTCAACTTGGAATGATAAGACGATTTGCTTGGTGGTGAGAGCAAAATCCGGGCTATAATTTCGAGTAAATGCTTCTTTTGGTTCTCGGGGATCACCAAGCATGTGTTTTTCATGGTCGTCCCTCTCCATTGACTCGCTATTTTCGTCGACCTCGCTTGAAAATATATCCGACATCTACGAAGAGACATGATTGAGAGCTTTAAGAACAGATTCTGAAATGCAAATGATTTTCTTCTACCTTATCTTTAATCGAGATTAATTTACGCCATCTGGATAATGAGACGTGAATCTTTGTCGGACGTTCCGTGTCAACGGTAATTAGGCGATCCCTCCCAAAAACCTTCTCGTATTTAACAACAAGGAATGATGGCGGTATACCGGTAACTGGATGGGAATCTCCACATTTTGTTTCTATTACAGGAATTTTGAAATCGTTCGACGTCGGTATTGAAACCAAATCATCCTTCTCCGTGTCGCTGGCGTCGTCTCCAAGTGATAATGCAACATCGAAACAAGACACCTGTCGGAAGAGTAAATAAAAGAGATGCTGCGTTACACAGAAAAGAAATTAGTGCGTAATAAACGTACCTTGATCTTCCGCGACAAACCAAATATAGCAATGTACACATTCGGTTGATTCACCATTGCATAGAGTAATGGCAACTTCGTACTACTGTTACTGACTTCGTCGATCTCGACCATGTCCTGAAGATTTATTTAAAATCGTTAGAATGTTGAATTAATTGCTATAATATGCAATACGTACCTCTTCGTGCAAACTGGATGTTCGTTGCAATTCGTAGAGTATGTACGTAATTTTACCACAGTTTATTTCAAAGACGTATGTAATTAATTTGGAAGTTTCCTGTGTAGCGAACTTACCCTGCCAAAGAAAATATTGTTACTATGTACGGTGTGCATATAATTGACATAGAAAACCTTCAGTACAACTTAATTAAATGTGTGTGGTATAAAAGGAATCGACTCACAACAATGGTTGAATTCATACTGGACATTTCAAAATTAACTCCGCTATCCTTAGCAAAATCTAAATCCGGTTCAGTACTTTCTCGTTTATTCCAAGAAAAGTGTTTTGCTGATAAAGTAGGAGCACGTTGGACCGAAACTGATGTAGATGGTTTATTGTTGCTTCCAATCAGTTCGGTGTATTCTGCAGTAACATCTTTAACTTGAGAAAGCAGTAGCGACAGCAGCTCGATTTGGTCGTAATTGGTAACGATTTCGATATCCTTTAAATTTATTTCCACAGCCGTACCGCAGACAATTGTGTCGGGTTTTAGTACAATTGCTGGAGCCACGACGATGCAAAGATCGCATCTGTTTATGTAAAGAGCAAAAGTATCTTTCATTTCTATTTTAATACTTGATCATTTATTAAATAATATGATTTAAAATAAAAAAGTATACCTCGTTATGATGGGAAGAGTTGCAAAGTCTCTTTTCAAGCTGTTTTCGTCTCCAAGTTTGTTCCATTCCAGAGCAGGATTTTCATTCATAGTGTACAAACATGAACGAGATGTCCTCTTTTGATGGTAAATTAATTTCAAGAGAACAATTAAAAAGAGGAAGATATCCAAGTTATTTAGAATCATGTACACAGAACCAACTCACCTTAACGATACTTGATTGATAGTTAATCCAACTAGCAGTGTAAGCGCACATTTCTTTAATGACGAACTGGTACTGTCGATCTTCAACAGCGGAACCTGGTATATTCAATATGTTTGCATGAGCAGCACTATGATAAATATCTGATCGCAAAGGCATTCGACAAATAGGGTTTTCTGCTTGCGGGAGAATCTCGATACCGTCTAACTAGAATTGAAAAATTGAAACAATGCAGATAGTAAATTTAAACACAAGTATGTTGTCCTTCTTCATACAGGTATAATGAATATCAAGTTTTTATACGAACCTGAATCGTTAATAAATCATGTAATAATTCCTTTTTGTAATTCGAGGAAATTGGCACCATGAGTCGTAACCCTTTGAAATCTAAGAATATCAAGGGCAGGGATGAGCTATTAAAGCCGATTAATTCATCCGATTGTAGATTAATTGGCTTGTCTTTAATATTGTCCATTGTATTTATCGATCGATATAAGTGTATCAATGGCTTTGTAAGTTGCACGTAATTATCGAGTACTCTTAACGGCAATACAACGTCAATCATTTGCATTTTTATGTCCATTTCCGTAATGTAACTTTCTGTCCGGTTAGAACACAATATCGAAAGGTTTTTCTGAAATAAAAAGTTTCGGTTGTTAAAGGGATCTTAACCAAAATGGGAATACTTTGTTTCGAAAGGAAAAATAAATTAATATAAGAGAATCCTTTTATTCATAACATAATAGCATACCTTGCGCATGTTTGTACGGTTTTGAGTTTTCCAACGTGTGTGTACGTTCCTTGATTTAGCCCTAGTTAATGTTAATATTAAAAAACCAGAATCTTCTTCCTTTTTTTTCGGGCTATCTTCTCTACCTGCCATTACCAAACCATTAAACTCTCCATATTCCCAGACTTGTTCTTGAAAATCTCTAAAGATAAAAAATAAAGTGTTTCATAAGAATATTAGACTTTCCGAAACTTACATTTACAGCAGAATTATTATTATTCAATGTAATTTCACGTGGTTTACCTCTTATAGTGAAATATAGTTGCCGTAGTGATTTTATTTTTGAGCTGTAAATAAACCGGTTGTAAATTTAACGATGTTATAATATCTTCCAATTCTAAAACAAGCTTCAACTCAGGACCATTTGAGGGATTCTCTATGTATAATTTAAGTGTAACTTTTGTTATTGTCCATTGAATAAATGCCGTTACAAGTAGACCTTGATTTCCTAAAATTATTCTCCGATTAAATATCTGTAATGTGTAAACCTTCTTATTAGTACTGATTTAATAAATCCGCTGGTACATACCACTTTCTTCCAGTTCCTCTTTAGGTATGGACACCGTCGAGGATGTGACTGTATTATCCGTGAAAAATATCTGACTAGGACTAGGAGCAGTTTCTACAGTTTCGACACTTTGTACGGTTTGCAGAACAGGAGCAGAAGTCTCATTGACAGGATCCGATGATTCATTCACGTGTTCACACTGTTCATTTTCAGATGACCTTAACATCACATTGAGCATATTCGAGGTAATGTTCGTAATGAGTACAACCTAAATACATTATGAAATTGATGAAATAAACAATATGGAAATAAACATTAGATATAATTAGACTGTTAATACCTGATCTTTTGACACTGAAGCAGTGATTGGTGTCATGTCCACGTGGACGCATATACCTAATGACGGAGGTAAATTATCCTTAACATTGGAACGGAATGCAACATCTTTAAACTGAGGTTCTCCTGTCAGACCAATTGTGGCATTTAACGACATTTTTTTAATAACATTTAATTGCATGTCTCTCTTCAGGGTATAACAAGCAAAATTTTCTATCTTTAAAGTCCAAGGGAAGCTCGACGTTCCTGTATGTTTAAATTAACGCTAAAATTATGTTAATACTTATTGATACATGTCTCATTCTACATTAATGGATAATACTTACCAGAGGTCCAGGTATGTTTCGATACTGCAATAGGTAATTCTGTATGGTGCGATAACAAATCATCTAAGTGGAAATTTGTTGAGTGGATGTAGGTTGCCGGTATTTGAATGGTGAAGATTTGTAGATTTTCATGATTCCTCAGAGCCTGATCTTTTGCTTGCTCGATGCCTATGTGCAATTATAATATTAAAATAGATAGTTGAACTAAGGATCAAAATCACTTCTTATAAACAAAAAGAAATAGTCAATCATTATTTTTGCCTACCATGGACATCGATACCGCTCATTGTGGAAGTCGGTACATAGATAATAATATGTCCGATGGAGCCATTTAGTAAAATTTCAGGCCACCATGGATATAGCTCTGCCATTTTCACGAATATTTCCGATATCGGTAACGTCTGAAATGAAGTAATGTGCATGGTGTCAAGAAATAATAAAAACTACTTAAGATTAAGTAATCCATTCATAGTACCTTTTGTACAGTAGGTTCCGCCATTATTGGCTCAATCTTTTTACATTTGCCAAATTTAGATGCGGTCTTCGATTCATCGAGAAGAAAACCGTATTTTTTTCTTTCTTTGTCGGAAGAACTATGTATGCTTTCCTGCAAACTCGGGAAGTTCTTTTTTGGATTCCCAATCGGGTCCGAAGATTCTTCCGTAAATGGTTGCTGATCGTCAGAAGGCGAGGAACACATTGGGTCCAATTTAAAGTAAGTCGGCCGATAACGCAACCACTGACATAACAAAGGATCTAAAGAGCTTCTGATTTCAGCAACGCGAAATTTAACAATAGGAGGATAGACATCCTGCCCAGATTCGTTGGGAAATTGAACAATGGCCGTGAATAGTTTCGCCTCGGTTTCTCTGAAAGACAAAAATACCTAAAATACATTGGCGAACCACTCCGATTAACTAAAGTCAATTACAGCCAATGTAATGTAGGGATGTTATTAAAATAACGTGAACATACTCTGAATTATTACATTCCGGACCAGAAAGAATAAAGACTTGCTGAGAATCGGTAAGGGCAAACATCTTAACGGAATGCACGTGTGCTTTAATGGAAACTGTCACTATTGACATATGACACAACGAATGTATATTTTCTATACATAATTCTAGATAAACCTGATCTGAAACGAAAAAAAATATTGCATTAAGAGGATATTAAGATGAAGCTTGATAATCAAAACACTGAGTCAGCGAACCTTTTTCTTGACACGCATCGGTGAACAGGGAAGAACACATCAGAGGATTGTTTGTGATCTCTTCTTGAAAAATCGACGCTACTATAGAAGCAGTAGTCATTAGTTTTGCTTTGGTACCCGTAATCGTGACATCACGGATGTTTAATGAACACGTTGTATGAATCAAATCCAAGTTCTTCCAACATCGAGGATAAATCAATAACTTGAACGTACATTCTGCATAACAGGGCATTAATACGGATGTATGACAATTATCCCTTAAAAAAAGTTGACCGCTGATACCCTCTACCTGTAAAAAATTATAAACAAAATTATTTCTACATTGCATTCACTAATAAGAATAAACAACCTGGTCATTATTACATACCTTAAGAGAAACAGATTTATAACAATCTTCGATGATACTTTCAGTACGATCTGCGTTTTTTAGTGCACATGCCACTGTCCGTAATGGATACAATGGCTGAATTATTTTTACACTGATTTTGTCCCATTTTACTTCAACAAAAGGGTTATCGGTCGGAGTCGAAACTGAAGGCACTCCCTAAAATATAGATAATCCTCTTTGGTATACAATAATGTATTCACTCAATGAGATATGTACAAAAATTTTTAATATATTTACTTGACTGTCGACGAATTTACGTCGATCTGTCGAACAAGACAGGCAATGGTCTGCCAGTTGCAAATGTATTGTATTTCCTATGGCAATAATTTCTGTTGTGGATGTTTTCTCCCTTGCGGTATCGTATTCTTCCGTTGTAATCAATGGTAAATCATCAAGGGATGGTTCTAAATTGGAAGGTATAAATCAATTATTCTATACATTTGATGTATTTCATATTATATTACTAAGTTATTTTACTGGTAAAAACGTACCCGATTTCAAAGTAGTATAAGGACTGTAGTCATATTTAGCAGCAGCTTCTTTAATGGTGTTCAGTCGATGAAGTAACCCGGAGCACGCCCTTACTGTTACATCTCCGATAACACATTTTGCTATTGTTCTTTCAGGGAAATTACTGAATGGATAATTAAAATAAGATAAATTAAATTTGCCTCTTGAGAAGGTTTTGCATTAATATCAGCGTCTCTATTCATTAACGATAGCAAGATCCGTACTTAATAAATTATTTTAATACCAGAATAATAGAATAAAATAGGATCGTTGAAATATAAAAATGACAAATGAATATTCTAAACTACTACCTCTGTTCAAAAGTGGACCCAAACTCAGCTAATATCTCAGGAGTAACATCATCTGGTACCTCCAAATAATGGATTGAATTCATTGCAAAGGCTGGATACCTTTGCAGTAACTTTTCAACTGAAACAGAACAATCTTTCATTTCTTTTACATAAAAGAGCTTTGGGTATAATCTTCAATAGTACTGAAACAAACCTTCAACTTCATTTGTATAGTGATGAATAGTATATTTCTGTGTTTCATCTTCAATTTCTGAAATATTCTTATCAAACAAAGAACCTTTCAAATGATCCCCGTCCCTATTTCCAGCAAAAATATATGATGACTGAAACGAAAATGGAAATATTATGTATTTACATTAATCACACTTTTCAAATGAATTTTGTACTAATCACTCAATATGAGTTTAATGTCATCAATCATCAAAATCATCACCTTCGATTTATCCACAACTTCTGGATATCCACAGCTACACGTGTCCGATGGGTCCAGCCCTATAGAGCTTAATCCAACTTGAAGATTAGACATAGTTATACCTTGTCGTAAGACATCAACTACAGCCCCAAGTATGTGCAATGACAAAAAAGGTTTATATACTGTTTTTCGTCCCTTGTAAAAGACTTGCTCTTTAACACTTTCGACTCTCTGCAACAAAGAATAGACATAAATGACAAGCTAAGAAAAAAGTTTATTAAACGAATAAAACAAGTAAATACCTTGAATGTCAATATTGCATAATCTACATAAAAACCAAGGCGTATTGAATGAACTAAGCAGGACATTTGTTGTTCGTTTGACCATTCGTTGTCCCAATTAACTGGTAAAACCGATGTCATTACATCCCATGCCCATCCACCCCAACCTGGTACTTCCCGTGAAGGTCCACCTGCTTGATCATTTTCATCTAAAATATTTTCACATAATTTAGAGCGATTTATAGTTAATTAATATCTTAGAATAGTGAAGTGAAGTGAATATAAAATAAGAAGAAGCAAACAGAAGCTATTCAGTTAAACCTCCAACACTTTCCACCGTTTCTTCTGAGGATGACATCTTGTCTCGGCTAGATGGTAATTGCTGTGTTTGTAGAGCCACCACTAATGTAAATAGCCTTATTAACATGGGTATTTGTAGAGTAGTCACACTGAATGTCATTTTTTGGCAATGGATGTCCAATCGCGTTGATGAAGCCATTTCAGATGTACTATTGTGATAGTTGACAGTTAATCTCATCACCATTGAACAGCGGTACAAAACAGGCTCCTAGGTGCATTATTTTTTTTTTACATTTATAATCAACTTATGACTTTTCCTTTTTATAATATAAGAAGTTCTAAGCTGTTGTATGTATTCACTACAGAAGACAAAGAAGATTCACAAGTTACTTACTTGATACATTTCTATCTTTCCAGAAGCATCCATTTTATCCAGACATAGTGTAAGATCCGTAATTTTAATTACTTTTCTAAGTATCACCTCACTATCATTGACATCTGAAAATTAATTTGTTTGTGGTAGAATGTCACGAATTAGTATTCCCGTGAGTTTATAATTAAAATTCTCTTACAACTTATGTGGAACTACTAAATACTTACCAATAAAAGCTGGTTGCCAGTTTTCATTAACAGTTTCCATCTCCAATGATCGTACATTGCAACTAAGAACAATATCTTCTTCCACATACTTGAGGATTAAATTATTACAACGAATAGTAATGTTGTTTACAATTTTATTAACAATACTTTTCATGTATCCAGAAAGTGTCTCTTCCCTGACAGAAAATTGTTATTATTAAAACAAATCTCAAAAGAAAGAACAAGAAGTACATAATCTACAAATTATAAATGCTTACACCCCTGGTTCCACTTTCTTCTTCTGCGATGTAGTACCTTTAATACCACCATCATTTCCATCTTTAAGTCGTAATATACATTCTGTATGGAAAACGAAACAGAAAAATGATCAAACAGGTTTATAGTAAAAAATTTGACGTTAACTACATTTTTCCCTATAATGACATTTCAATAACTGTGTAATTCTTTGCTTACCAATAGTATTTATAGTAACAACAATGGGTTCTGAGGTTATTTTTACCCATGGGACATGAATAAGTAATTCATGGATGTGTCCACTAACAAAGCTGAATGGAAGATTAAGTTGTTCTTCTAAAACTTCCAGCCGCAAGTCCAAATTCTGAAAGGAAGCATCTCCACCCCACAGCGACAACTAATACAAAGAGAAAGTGGATTACATAAATGTTCTTAGGTATAATTCTGTGTAGTACTTACCTGTGATTGCTCCGGTTTAAAATTTTTAACATATTTTTCAACATAACTTAATATAACAGGCGTTATATAAGATTCCAATTTGAACATCTTGACTTATAAATGAAGAGGTTACGCATATTTCCTTTTTGACGTTATCATTTGTAATTAAATTTATGCGGTATTCAGCATAGTAATACAATAAAAGTCGATATTTGTTACGAATATTTATACAGTAATTTGGAAATTTTCAGCTTACAATACCTGAAAGCATATAAATATGTACGTACAAAATAATATTCAGAATCAACCTTAGATTAACAAATATGTATAAATGAATAAATAATTTACTGAAGTCCTCCGTATTGCACTCACCAGCAAACTACAAAACATGCAAATCTAATCTATTGAAGTGAATGCAAAAGTAACAAACCAATATTCCCCAAGTAGAGCAATAAATTATAAAATTGATTAAAATATAAATAAAGTTTAAATGACAAAACTAAATGAAGTTGTTAACATCAAAATAAGCATACAGCGAACGTTTAGATTAACATATTTGAGGTCTTACGTTTTGGCAGTTGTTAATCGAAATATGTTTCCTGAAAAAGGAAAGTGCTATAACAGATTAATTATCTGTCGATTACTGGCATATCTTATCACGATTGATCACGATCGTTTCCAGGTTTGGGCGACTTTAGTTAATTCCATGTCATCCTAAACCTAAACTAACTTTACCATAACTTGTTGACGCGGCTCGTAATTGCCTGTAATCGTAACAGATTCGTGTAGATTCGTGTCAAATTGCGTCAAATGTCAAAGAGAGACTATGAATTTACGCTGATATTGAACTCCACTTATTCGCTAAAAAATGGTGCGAAAGTACTGTTCGGTATCAAAGAATACAGTGTATTCTTTGCCGGATAAGTAAAATACCCTAGGGCCGATTTTTTTTTTCCTGCCTCACTCTTCATTGCTCTTCGTCAACCGAACCCAACCGAACCTGACCGAACTTAACCGAAGACTCCATCGTCCCTGTGATGCCAGAATCCCGCACGACTTTCCCCCTCTAAAAATCCGTAGCGGGATTTTTCCCCCTCCACTACCCCGCTCGGCCCCTCACGGCCGCAAGTGTAAGCAAGGGGGTTTGGCAATGAGGGAAGGGGAAGCTGGAGACATCATGGTGGGGACATCGAGAACTTTTACCCCACCCCTCTTCTCACTTTTGGGAACGGTTCAAACTTTAAACCGCTTCAAACGCTTTGTAACTGACAGCGCTACAAATTTGCGTTTATTTGCCGATTTAATAGTTATCGGTTCTTGCACTCGCAGTTTATAAAAGCCAACGTGTCAGATCACGTATAAGGTCCTGCTTTTTAAGACATGGAGACAATATTGGAACAACAACGTCGATACCACGAAGAACGGGAACGGTTAATGGACGCCATGGTGAAGGAAATGCTCCATAAGAAACCAGGGCATCGAGAAAATATCAATTCAGAACATCGTTTAAAAATGTTGTTAGATCAGTACATGGATAGTACTATGCATGTGCAAGACTTATACGAAGACAAGGATGGCCAGCGGAAGGAGGAAGTAAGTTCTAGGTTAATTATATGCAGGGGTTGAGATTGAAACTAGTAATCGAGTTGTATTATTTAATGCATAATAGAAATGTACCTGAGCGTAATTCCATCCTTGTTAATCGTCTACTTATTTTTGTTTTAGGTGCAAGCATTGTCGGGCCCAAATGAATTTTCAGAATTTTATTCTCGTTTGAAATCGATAAAGGAATTCTATCGTCGACATCCCAATGAAATCAGTGTTCCAATGTCAGTAGAATTTGAGGAGTTGGCCAAAATGAGGGAAAATCCAACCGACGAACTAGCAAATCTTGTTGAATTTACAGATGAAGAAGGCTATGGAAAATATCTTGATTTGCACGAATGCTACGAGAAGTACATTAATCTCAAAGGCATTGAGAAAGTCGATTATATTACTTATTTATCGACGTTTGACCATTTATTTGACATTCCGAGGGAGAGGAAAAATGCGGAGTATCGGCGATATGTAGAATGTCTACTTGAATACTTAGTAGATTACCTGGGCAGAGTCCGTCCTTTGCATGACCTTAATGCTGAAACTGATGAAGCGAATAAGGAGTTTGAAACTCATTGGGAAAATAATACCTTCCCAGGATGGCCCAAAGAGACCGGAAGTGCCATGACACATGTCGGAGCTCATTTAGAATTATCTGCCTTTTCATCTTGGGAAGAACTTGCTTCTCTTGGATTGGATAGGTTGAAATCGGCATTAATGGCACTAGGATTGAAATGTGGAGGCACTTTAGAAGAAAGGGCCCAGCGATTATTTAGTACAAAGGGGGAAGCTTCACTTGATCCAAATTTGTTGGCCAAGAATAAGCACAGAAAGCCAGGAAAAGGTAGAGATGCCGAAAAACAGAAAGATATTGCAAGATTGGAAGGACAAGTGTACAGGTTAGCAGAGTTAGTATCTAGTCAGCGTGTTGCTACGAGGGAGAATGTTCAACGAAAGCAAGCCAGAACAGAAGGTGAACGGGGTGATTCAGATGCAGAGGCCAGTGCTAGCGAATCGGAGGAAGAAGACGACAACGAAGTCCCTTATAATCCTAAGAATCTTCCACTTGGTTGGGATGGTAAACCTATTCCATATTGGTTGTACAAGTTACATGGTCTTAACATTAGCTACAACTGCGAGATTTGTGGTAACTTCACATATAAAGGACCCAAGGCTTTCCAAAGACACTTTGCAGAGTGGAGGCATGCACACGGTATGCGGTGCCTAGGTATTCCAAACACTGCACATTTTGCAAACGTCACGCAAATAGAAGATGCCCTTGCTTTATGGGAGAAACTGAAGGCTCAGAAACAAGCAGAACGTTGGCAACCAGAACAAGAGGAAGAGTTTGAAGATTCCCTTGGAAATGTTGTAAATCGCAAGACATACGAAGATCTGAAACGTCAAGGTCTTTTGTAATGTATTATTTGTAACTCTATTTTAAGGTGTACATAGTATTCTTAATAATCTCTGAATTGACCCTGTATTCTATCAGTGATTATCATATCCATCCTATTCCTGGTAGGATTTGATCAACAGAAAACATTTTTTTTATTCATCCCAGATTAGAACCAATATCATATTTTCTTGTGAAAAATTAAATTTCACGAGCATCGCGTTCTTAGGGCCTTCATAATTACGTGCTAAGATTTCAAATAATTCCGTACACCCAGTTTGGAAAAAAGTTTTATAAATATTTTTACGTTTTATGCATATAGAATGATCCTTTCATATTACCTTAATTCAAGTGGTGGCAGAGATGAGTTGCATCCGCTTTGACTTTACTCTTCACTAATCTTATTTATTTTACGAGAAAGTGAAATTTTATCTTAATTAAATTCTACTTCACAGCTAGTTCGCGGATCGGTGTCATCCCATAAGGATGGTACCGATCCCCCAGGTCCCGCCACGAGGAGGCCGCTGCGATTGGGACCCGCCTAAGCATAGGCACCTAGTTCCGTTGAGTTCCCGGCGTCCCAGGAACTCACAGAACCAGGATTTCATAACCCATACAGCACACCACTCGCATACCATACGCATCCGTCCATACAACACACCACTCGCATACCATACTCATCCGTCCATACAACGCTCGCCGCAGAGTACAGGGTAAGTCGCCGAGTACATTTCCAGTTAGCATTGAATTACGGATATAATTTGCCGGAAGGGCATACTACTTCTAACGCGAACAATCCAGCAGCTTCCACCGTCACCGACGACTAACCCGGCTCGGCTGTCGGCCCGCGAATACGAGTTTCAGTCGACGGGCTTGTCCCGGCTTACAGCAGGCAGAGCCCCCGCGGGATGCCGCCAGAGCGAAACAACGTATCGCGCAACCGACAACCTGAGCCAGGTAGCCTTGCACGCCGTAGCTTAGCTACGACGTACTAGGTGCCGACGGAAGCTGCCGGATACACTAAAGGTACGGCAATGCCGTACCTGCAAAAATCTACTTCGGTTAGCACGCAAATCCGAAATTACTAGCTGCATGGAAAGGTACCCGACAACGTCCTGTCCGCAATTTACAATCACGCACGCACGCAATGAGTGCTTCCACTTTTAACTACGTTAAGCTACTGTCATACAAAAAAAAAAACACTAAGTGGAACCACTCGCGCAGCTATTTGCGAACCGGTGGTTTCGAACAATAGTTGGAAACCACCGATCCCCCAGGCTCACCACGTGGAGGTTGCTGCGCACCGAAGCCCTTTACGAGCGTAATAAATTAAGTTAAATATATTAAGAAAGGGAACGGAAGGGAGGGGGGATGTCTCCCATAAGGCCCGGTTTCACAACCCAAGTTAACCGAAAATTGATTTTTAACCGTTAGGTTAAACCGTAGGTTAAAACTGGGGTTAAACTTCAGTTAAAATTCGGTTAAACTTCAGTTAAATTTCGGTTAAACTTCAATTAAACTTCAGTTAAACTTTAGTTAAACTTCAGTTAAACTTCAATTAACTTGAGGGTGGAACCGGACCTTAATAGTGCTCCACATACATACAAGTGTGTGTATGTGTGTGAGGGCAACGGCAGAAGCAGGTAACCCGATGTTTACCCTTCGGAAGACCAGAGGGTAATGATGCTCCGAGCGCGCGCTCGGCCTTATATAGGGTCCCCGACCCCGGCATGCGCATGTGCAGTTCCTTATCACACCTTTGTATATTCCAATTTTGGAATTTCTTTATAATAACGGAATTTCATGGCTACGGAACCCTTTTTTAGGATCTTTATACTCACGTTATAATATTTCAAACGATTAGGTATGTACACCTAGTTTTGTGAAAAATTTCCTTATCAACCGACGCTCGGTTGCCTCTTTTGGATGTGGCGCCTCCTAGCAAGTGAAGGCTGTATTAAATTTTGAGAAAACTTCTGTAGCATATTGTTCGTCATCCTGGTTTTCGTGTCTATGGACCGGCCATTAGAAACAATTAGAAATGTTTACTCTCTGTTGAGGAACACGTGTTCACTCGTGTTTAGTTACCCTGAACAGTTCTTACAGAGTAATAATTTTTTACTTATTATGAAGACGTTTTAAGTATTATAAGATAGAATTGTAAAGATGAATATCATACCTTGCACGACGTGGGTGAGGAGAGGAGTGGCGGCGGCGGTTCCCGATAAGGTTATGTTTTTAAACATTAATACGATTTGTTTGTTAAATTCAGTAGAATGTTTTGCAAGATAGTATTGTTTAATTTTATAGGTGCAATTAACGCCACAAGAATTAGAGAAAATTATCAAAGAAACACGGTCTGAAATAGAGTGAGTTCTTACAATACTTCATCGATATATAATAAATCAGTTTTATTGCGAATAAAATTGTTACTGTTCTACGTGGTATTCACTATGGCACTTTTTGACGTTTATTCATTGAATCACTATTTAAGTTAATCAGGGCTCATTTCATTTATAGTAAACAAGAAAGTGACTCAGAGAATGAAAGTAATGCAGAAAAGCAGCAAACCAGTCAGAAAAAGATGAAAGAAAGGAAAATTGATTCAGAAAGCGGTGGTGCCATCGATGAATACGATTTTGATAATTACGATAACGAAGGTTCCCATTTTATGATTTTATTCTTAACGGCATTACTATTATAGCTTTTATTTTGTAATATACGTTTGTAACAAATGATAATACTTATTCTTTGTCATGATAGGCACTTTATGTTTTAGATGGGAATGTGCATTGTAACATTGGGACTTTAGCTCAATTTAATGAGAATGGAGTCGATCCACTAGTTACAGTACCCGACGATCAAGAGGATTCAGAACACGAAGATGATATCATTAAACCTGATGACAATCTTGTTTTAGTGGGGCATGTAGAAAATGATGCTAGCATTTTAGAAATTTTTGGTAATTATTCATATATCATTAAGGTAGATTACTATAGTGTTGCGGTGACCTTAAAACTGTCAAGGAAACGTCAATATTATGACTCACGTATGAAATCTGGTAACTGTTTTTGTAATTACAGTGTACAATGAATCGGAAGGTTCCTTCTATTGCCATCATGACCTTCTGTTGCCGTCTTTTCCGCTTTGCATTGAATGGTTGAATTTTGAACCTGGTGATACGAAACCAGGTAAATAGGAAATATCAAAATGCAATGTTTTGTAAGATATCTAATTACTTTTATTATATCTCTCATTATCTTAGGAAATTTATGCGCAATTGGGAGCATGAGTCCAATCATAGACGTTTGGGATTTAGATTTAATTGATTGTCTGGAACCAGCTTTTAAGCTTGGCCGAAAAGCCAATAAAAAGAAAAAGATTAAACATATTGGTCATAAAGATGCTGTTCTGGATATAGCATGGAATACCAACTACCCGTTAGTATTAAAGGAAATAACACTCATGATTTATTAATGTTCTTTGTATTGAATTTACTTTTATTTTTCTTTCAAAATGTAGTCACGTTTTGGCCAGTGGCTCTGCAGACGAAACAACTTTACTTTGGGATTTAGAAAATGGTACTCCAGTTACAAAATTCAGTGTTTTTCACGAGAAAGTACAATCTCTTAAGTGGCATCCCCAAGAAAGTCAGCAATTGTTGACAGGGTGCGGTGATAAGTATGTTTAATTTGTTAAATACATTATGGACTTTTATCTCTACGAAAGTAATACATTATATTGAAACTATTTTCTAGAGCGGTAAGATTGTTCGACTGCAGAACTGACGACAGTTTTAGAACTTGGCAGACACCAGGTGAAGTTGAAAGGGTTTTATGGAATCATTTTGATCTTAACAATTATTTTGTAAGTATCTAGTGTACGTATATGTGAAAAGTGTAAAAGAATGCGCCTAGCTTAAATCATTACAACATATTTTCTTGAAAAATAGGTTAGTACAGATAACGGATACATTCAGTGTATTGATATTAGAGAAGATAAACCAGTATGGCAAATGGAGGCACATGAAAAGGAAATTACAGGTGGGATTATATAATTATTAAATTTAATATTACATTGATTTTAAAAAGATTCTATTTCATTGTTTTGTTCCATGTACAGGTTTATCTCTCAGTGCAACTTGTCCCGGTTTTTTGATCAGTTCCTCAAACGATGGAGTTATAAAAGTGTGGGATTCAGTAAATCCAGCAGACACGAAGCTTGTGTGGGAGAAGAAGGCTAATTTAGGATCTTTGTTATGTACAGCTGCAAATCCAGACATCCCGTTTGTATTTGTAGTTGGTGGGGATAATAGGTCGCATAATTTAAAAATATTCGACTTTCGCGAAATATCTGAAGGTGAGTGATCGGATGAAGATGCAGACCAATTTGAATTTTCACAATGTGTGTAAATTGTTTCTTTTTTCCCATAGTCTATGAAGTGTTCAAAGACAGGACATTAATACAACTCCCCAAGCTTGATACATCAAGTGTTCATAAGAGGGAGGAAATGATGGATGTTACCGAAGATTTAGGATTCATAGATTTAAATCCAGACTTATCGAGTGAAACTCAGAGGAAAAAGAAGAAGAAAGCGAAACATAAGACTTTGAAGAATTACTGATGAAAGGTATAATGTAACAACTCTGTACAACAATAAAGTTCTTTTTTTACAAAGCTTAACACTCAGTAGTTTTGTTTCATTGTGGTGGTAATAAGGTTCAACGACAAGAAATTACTTATATATTTTATTTTACAACAATGGACAGTTGCACTGTTTTTTATTGTACATCGTTCAATCTCAATACCATAAATGCCCTTTATATATATGAAATATGTACAAATTATGTTAATAGCAATAATTTATGAATTTCCAGTCATTTGTATAATTACGATGCCATCTATTATATGTTATTATGTCATGCATGAACATAATGCTATTTTCACGGAATTTTATATTGAACATAAAGTAAGAAAATATAAAAACAAGAAGATACGTGCAATGTGATACGAGAGGAAGCTCTTCCATGAAAACTAATTATTCAACAGTTTGGTGAAAGATGGCATTTGTGTTTATAAATAAATGGGCATTCAGTATAGTCGCTATGGAAATATTTTCTGATATTATAATCGATTTAAATCTTGTCGATAGATCTTTCTAGAACACAAAATTAAATTCAGACGTGTTCTAACATTTCTTAATTACAAATGCATTGTTTTTCTAAACTAAGAAACTTAATTTAATATTTTTTTTTTTAATATCTAAATCCTACTTCGGTACATTAAGAATTTCATAAACACAGGTATAAAACGATATATTCCCGTATAATTAAATCATAAAACAAAAAAAATTGAATAAAAATATGAACACACGTAATGATACATTACATTTCGAAGTCAATTCACGTTGATCAACGAGACCTTTCGTGATACATATGTTGATAAATTTTAGTTATATACAGTCGATAGACTAATTTATGTAACAATAAATTACCACAGCTTCGACTACATAAGTCTACAAAGTTAGCATGTAACGGTACAATGAGATATTTTATTACCAACATTAAAAATGAGCAGTATTATAAGCAGTTAAAAATTGACCAAGTAACATTTAATCATACATTTAAAAGGGTGTCATATTTTACATGTATGAACGTTCAAAATGAAAATATTGTTGGTAGGTAAATGAAACACATTGAACTAAGTAGATATCGAAGTTGAGTTGTGCCTATTTAATACCAAGTAAGATCAGTCGACAAGATTAAGCTCATGAAGACATTCATGTGGTTATTCTTTATCACTACGCCACTGCTCTTAAACTTGCAACATATTGACATATTTTTTGTCACAATTTTAATATCTAATTTGACCATCTTTACAAACGGCTGCTGATGATTCAATGTAATACAGTCGGGAATAAAATGACTCAAGAAACAATTTCGTAACAAAAGTTGTTGCTTGATTTTCATATTAAGAGAACTTGGGATAATGACATCATTAGAGCGTGCTCTCTGGCAGTGATGCAAATTGTAACAAATATTTCTACGCAATTTATTCTAGTAATGGACACATTTTCATTTGGAAATCGTAACTTATAATTATTTCGTAGCTGTTAATGCAGCCAAAATGTTATCGAGTAGAATACATGATCAGATATCAAAGGCATGTCTACCATTTGATTTAATTGTGCTGGGTCAATAAATAAAATAATTGTTATCAGTTCAATAACATCGTCATAATGTTTCCATTAGTAGTATAAATTGACTGACCGTTTATCGCAATCTGTAATGTAGAGACAAACTGATCAATTGTTTCTAAAGGACATACATTGTGGATAATAGATGATCGATATATGCTATGCAATATATTAATAAGAATCCTTCACACAATTGCATTGCTTAGCAACGAGCTATGCATCAGTTCCTATATCCAGACTTCTCGAGTCCTGATTAGAATCGTGCTGGCTTCCATTTTCAGATGAAGCACTGCTGGATAAACCAGACTGATCAGAACTCTTCTTTATCTTGGGCTTATACTCTGTGATAACGACAGTAACATTATTAACCGTAACTTCGTTGGTCTGTGCCGTACTGCGGTCAATATTTTTGAGACGAGGAGGATGTCTACTCTTGCGCCTTGGCTTATCCAACTTGCGCTCCTTTTCTTTACCAGTACTCGTTGTACTGCCCCCACTTCCTCCTTCTTTTTTCCCTGGCTTCAGAAGTGGCACATACTGTTGCTGAGCAACCTACATTTATTATTAAGATGTATTTTCTTGTATTTTAATTGCATATATTTTTTGTATACAATAATAAAACACATCGTCGTTACCTGTTGTGCCACCAACTGAGGGTTGATGCGGGGTTTCCGCGTGGAAGTTCCTTTGCGGACGTCACACATGAGGCACTTGAATGCTTCTGCTGTATTTCTATATGTGCAGACACTGCAGTCCCAATAATTTTCTTCCAAAACCTTCGCCTGACGTTTTCCGCTTCCCGAATGGTTCATTGTTCATCGAAGTCAGTCGTACGGTGCTGTACCTTCTCAAAAGAGACTTTGCCTCCCCGTGTGCCTCTTCGGCTTCATTAAAGGTGATTTCATGAGCAGTCGGTAAATCCTAACAATGACAGAGCTCCAAAAGAGCCAACGTAACTACTAAGCCTAAAAGATAAAGGTTAATCTAAGTCGATGTCGAATGCATCAACTTAGTAAGATGCATTGTGCTCTGGTAAGTTTTTTGGTATTGCACCGACCAGCCACATCCCTTAGCCATAACAGTCTAGTGTCGAACTTCATTGTTGTCTCTATTTGTCAAACCTGAAATAAAATATATAAATAAAAATGTACATGATATGTTCACGTAATGTTTCCAAAATATTCAAATATATTGTTTTAATTATCTCGTTTTAATAGGATAATTAATAAGACTAACGTGATATCTACCGCCACCATTCTTGCCATTTTGTGATAAAATACAGATTAATGTAGAATGGTATGAGGCATAGGAACATTTTTAACTGATTTATGAGCGCAGGTGGTCGTAAAAGGATTAAAGAATATCAATATAGTAGGTGACATTAAATGGACCGTGAAATTGATTAAATCCACTCTTCCACTCTTCAAATAAGGGTACTCGAAGCAGGAATTAAGCACATGCTCGTAGAATTTTATAACTCATAATTGGGCCAGATTCTTACCAAGCCAAAGTGAAAAATATCGTAATGCAACCTTGTCACATCTGCAATGACAATTTTCCAGTTATCCTACAGAGATTGGCGTTTTCAAAAAATTTTCATTTCGTTTCACGAGGAAGCTGCCTTCCCTTGGCCCTGCTTAAATGCTTGCGAAACATGTTTCGGAAGAAAACAGATGAAAGTAACTGTTTAGATGCACCAGCACCATTATTGCGCGTGCAACGCGCATTCGTTGACAGTACTATCGATGCACTACGTGAGCATACCGATGCACGTATGCATGCCCACATGCATTTCAATGCTCGAGTGAAACTCAAATTAATCTAATAATGGACCGGTCCTTTATATCTAGAAAAACCAACCACTTTCCCATTTTTTACAGATGCCCTCAAGTTATCATCGTGCGGCAATCGGGCTAGCACTAATATATAAACGACTTCCACATAATGAAGTATTGACAACAATCCAAGCGCCGTTTTCTTCGTTTTCCAATCGTTCGGACAGCGAAATATTGGAACTGAATCAAATCCAAAATGGCGCCGGTTTCTTAATGCCGCGACCGTCAGAACTTTAACAATTCGATTGCGTACTTGGGAACTCACATTCAGTTAAGGTTTTTGTATGAAAACGATACATTTTACAGGAGGTATATTAATGCGCATCATATTTATGAAACACTAGAGTTTTGTTAAGCTATCTTTAATTTTCGCGCAGCTCGGAAAGCGGAATGTCGGAATTGGACCGTAGCCAAAATGGCGGATCGTGGCAACGTTGCTGTTGCCAGTTCTGGGCCAAGTCACTCATGAGCCGCGGGGTTTAAATGATATAAACAAAACCGATCTTTGTTTCGTAAATAATACGTTTACAAGATTAACAAAAGCAATCGTGTGGGCGTACGAGCTTGCGAAAATGGAGCACGGTTGAAAGATCGGTGCGAAAATGGTAGCCCCGTTAATTTTAGAACGTCTTAATTAAATTGATTGGAGTAGGAAGTGTTGTTGATTACCTGAATTGCTCATAATTCATTTGCGGTTCTTCTTCTCTACTTCATCGATATGTCGATAGATCAAGTATTTACAATGACTGCAAAGGTGTAGAGGTGACGAAATATGTCTTATTCGTTTCGTTCTATCGCTTCGCATTCCATTTTCCTTCATATGTTACACGCGAGAAAAGGATTGTATTTGAATGTAATTTAAAACTCGATTCTGTGTATTCAGCGGTCGATAGATATCAAATGCGGCGGTCGCGAGTGTGATAACAGACATGGTTAACCTCTAATAACCTCCAAATCGAATTTTCCCTTTTTTTTTCGTACTCAATGTAATTTGTAACGAACTCATTTTTGCTACCGTGCCACGGTTGAATACCGACATTAAGATGGTAAGTGTGTTCATTTTATTATGATTCAATTAGATATTGCTTAGATTAAGTTAAGAATGAATTCAGGGTATCGCTTTACTTGGGGCTAATGTCAGATGCAGGGAAAGTGTATGTCCCTGTATCATTTAATGTATTTTAATTCATGTGGCAATAAGTGTTGAGTTATATTAGTAAATGGCAAGGGCAATAATTAATGGCATTATTCAACAGGATGTGCCGACAGGCACAGATGAAGTTGACAAGTCATGGGATCATGCTTGGTCTACGGATGAGATAAGAAGTAAACGGAGAGAGTGGAGTCTTGCTGGAGATGCCGGACTTCTGAAGCATCTGCAACAATTTTCTCAGGTGTTCATTTATATTATCTGTATTGATGCGTTGAATTTATTTTTATCTTAATCTATAATTTATTTAGTACTGATTGAACAAATATTTTTTATGAAATTATGTATGCCTAAAATTATTTATTGCGTTATAATAAATAGAGCTTATTGCACTTTGCAGAACCTAATATTTAAAGCTAACAAGACTCAGGAAACATTAAATTCTCTGACCACCCAGTTAGATGAAACAGCTTTATTTATAGATAATGTCACTAACACATCGCTAGCCTTGGCAAATACTCAGTTCATAGAGAGTCGGGTTAGCGAGGATGATGTTGAAATGGAGAAACCGAAAGCAGGCGAACATCAGGTGAGTTATTTTTAACATTCATAAAATCCATGGACAGTACTGCAAGAGCGGGACTGGACTCAGTAATTGGATTCTGCGTAGAAAGCGAAGAACGAGCAGACCACTGCAGATTTGATAGCTACTGTGAATGAGAGTTTGCTTCAAGGTTTAGAAGTGTTGGATAAAAAGTTTGAGCGATTGGAGATCGTTCCTAGTGACAGCGAAGATGAAGGCGATGATGTGATTCCAAGGTTTATAATTGCATACAAATTTTCTTCTTTGTTGTATACTCTGTTTTGATTTTTCTCATAAACGTCAAATATCTTCTTTTTGTAGCATTATATTAAGGCCCAAAAATCCTTATGAAGATCGTCCATTGCCATATGTGATTGGATCTGAGAAATGGAAAGCCTCTAATAAAGTTGGCTTAGAAAGCAGCAGCAGTGAATCCGAGCAAGCAGAAGAAGAGGAAGAATCAGAAAGTAATTACGATGATGAAGAAGAAGAATCCGTTATGAATTCAAGCAATCTTCATAAGTCCTTGATAGCCAAATTATCTTCTGCATCGAGTGAATCGAATGATTTTAATGTTGATAGTAATAGTGTAAAACATTTAAGTCAAGGACAGCTTCAACCTGAAGTTAACGATAAACATGATTCAGATTCAGAGACAAGTGCAATTACCAATGGTCCCCCGAAGGTAAGGCAGACAATTATTTTAATCCATTTGTTTAAATTATCTCATAAGAAAATATTAAAAGAGAAATTCTTTCAGATTTTGGGATCGAAGAATGAGGCACCTTCATTTGCCGATGAATTGGCTAAAAGGCTGGGAAAAGTCATGCCTACTCAAGATTTGCAAAACATAAAAGAAGCTGCCGAGTCATCTATTAATCGTTCAAAAGGTATTATGAACTTATTATTCCGATCAACATTATATTTTTTGTTCTTTCTTGGCAATTTTACCTATAATTCAAATGATTGCAGATGAGCTTTTTACGCCAGAAGATGAGGAAGATATATTTAGTACTAAGTCGAAGAATCTATTTAGTGGTGGTAAAGGTTTGTTCGACGATGAACTCTCAAATTCTCTTTGGAAGAATGCACCTTTAAATACTCCAAAGACAAATATTATTCCTCCTAGTATCGATGTACCACCTCCGATGAGTTCTGTCTGTACGTAAGATCCATTTACATGAGTTACTTAAATTTCCTCATTTTACAAAGAGTGAATACTTCAATATAATTATATACGTTTTTATAGCATCGAAACCAAAATCTGAAATTGACGATTTATTTGGCGATGCTGATTCTGAAGATTCCGATGATATATTTTCATCGAAACATTCAACGAAGATACAAAAGCAGATTCCTACCAGGGACCATGCAAGTGCCACAAACTCTGGAAAAAAGTGGCTTGGCATCGCAGCAATGGATGGATCTAGTCTCACGACTAGTACACCGGAGACTGAGAATGTTAAAGATTCGTTCGGTGCTGAAGCGGACGAGGATGATCTCTTCAACGAGGCTAAATGTGAGAATAAGCGAACTGCTGAGATAACACCAACGGAATCAAATAAGACCCAAAGAAAGGTAATCTGGCCTGTAATTTAAACTACAAGTTACTTGATATTCTGTATAACAAAGAGAAATAAAAAAACTAACCCAAGCTTTTAGTAAATAAAGATATTTGATAAGCATTAAATTCCATTCTTTTATTGTTAAATCTTATGTGTTACAAATCTGTCTTCTTTTAGAAACCAGTCGCAGGGGTCTCAATATTCGGCGACACGAACATTGCTTCCGATTTCGAAAAGAAGCTGCAAAGTATGATGCCTCGCCGACAGTCCTCGGATTCGTCTGGTGAAGTGACGCCAAGTAATGTCAGTCAAAGTGGCAATGCGACGAATTCCGGCGATAATATGCTTAATGCGAGGATAAATGAGAATCTATCCGAAATAAGTTCCATTGCGGTTGGAGGACACGTACACAGATTGGCAGAGCACGTTGAATCCAGCGATAGCAGCGGCATATCAAGTCAACCATCGAGTATCAACATTACTTTCGGTTCAGGCTTTGGGTACGTTGCTCTTATTCTGTTTTTTATCGGCTAGTATTGGAAGTACACTCTAGTACTATTAGCTCTAACATAAAACGATACAAATTTACGCAGTTTATGTGCAGTTCCGAGGTCATTTATGACAATGTTGCTCGCAGTAGTGGTCGAACAGCCAGTAACGGGTTTTAAATGATGAGTCAGATATGAACTTCAAAATATTTGTGCGACAAGGATGGTCACACAGTTAAGAGAAAAGCGATGTTCTCTCGAGACTATATGTCAGCGATTTTGACGAAGCCTTTCGCCGATCTTTCCCTCTGTTTTACCTTGACTCACACGCGCACGATTATACGGACATCATCCTTGGCAGCTTGTCATTGAAACGATGATCCAAGCATTAGTCACTAACTCGTACAGAACGTCGTATTAGAAGCTTGATTCTCGTTTTTAGTTTCGTCTTTCATAAGAGATAAAGCTTGGTCGGTATAGAGCAGCTCGAGCTTCTTGTACTCTCATGCAATATCGTTCAGATTGCGCTTATCAGTGATTCAGTGAGTGTTTAACGGTAAGCATATGTGCATGCACGTGCATACTTGGAAACGAAAAGGGCAGGGTCAAACAATTAATTCGGTCTCTTCTTTTTTTCATATTTTTCCGCTGCTTTATTAAATATTTAATAACGAGTACACGCTTTTTTCCATTATTAGTTGCCACATATGGGCCGTGGACAACAATCTGGATAAGGTTTGCTCAAATCCGTTTCAGTGTAGCCGAGCAGATTCTCGCAGGTTGCTAGTGCGCATCTAAAATAAAAAATGCAGTGACATTATTAGATGCGGCACAGATTTAGTGATGGAAATTTTCAGATGACACTTGATTGAAGAAAGAAAAAAAAAATTAAAATAATTAGATTACTCACGGAACTGCACTTAGGTGACCACCCTCGTGGCAGGTGTATCTTATGCATTTGTCAATGTGCACACCTGGTGGTACCATTTTGCCTCCCACATTGCACGCAGCTGTAACAGACGTGATAAACAATTATATTAAGTAATTGGTACATAACGTTATCCTGCGGATATTAGTGCTAATTCGTGGAAGAATAATTTACTGTATATATTATTATTAAATTAATTCGCTTCACCTTCCGCGTTGGTGAACAAGCAGACGAGCAGGGCAAGTGCACAGAGAATAGCTAGACTTCTCATTTTGGACTCTCTGTGCTTAGAAACTTTACTTCCTCTTAAGACTGATCTTTTCCTTGATGAGCATTCCTTTTATACGCCATGTCCCCTCTTTCTGTTAATTGATACGACGTTCCAAGAGTGTAGCATCATTATAAAAAATTTTACATTTCCTCTTGTCGGAAGGTTTATTGACGAGGTCTGTACGTGAGAAACCTGTTATTCGATGTGTCAAAATAGGCGAAACAATCGAGCCTATGTGTTCTCATTTATGAGATTATCCATGTTTATTATCCATATTGTGGAGACAGGGCGAATTTATTTGTTGCTTTATCGATTCTACTTGTTCCTATTGTGAAATCACTTTTCGATGGTAAACATCATTCATTATCATCAAAGATAAACATTATCATAGGCGGTATATAATTGTGAAGAAAGCGATAAGGAGCGAGCAGTTTACGTCCATCGTCGTGTATTAATTTTTCTTTTTTCTTTCTGATATTTAACTGGACGAAGAAAGTTACACAATGTATGGCTAAAGTCCTCTGGTGTTAAAAGGTGATCGTGTCTGTTGACTTCGACCTGACGCTCACGTGTTTGTCCTCATAAATTTGGCTACGCATTGCGTAACGTAGAATCGAACGTCAGCGCGCATATAAAATAGCCAGGACTGAAAGCCTCGGCATTTATTCGAAATAAAATAAGTTTATGGTTAATTACAACTTTTGAAGAAAATTAACATTTTCCTCATGCGTGGGAAAATCACGGCGACTGCCTTATAGTGTTTAAATGGTGCAGGAGGTTATCGAATCTAAGTTGCCTTTTCGAAGAAAGGTCAGAGTTGTGACGGGCGCGGTTCTTAGTCTAAAGATCAACTCTATTAACTCTAAATATTCCAACATTTACATTATTACTAATATCTTAATTTCCTTGCACGATTTTTCTTGCCGACGACCCTGTCATTTTTTTAATTGGACGTCAGTTCAGTGACAGTTTCCGCGTCAACGTCATATCAGCCAGGGTTGATAAAAATCATGGTTTGTTTGGAAAAATGAAAGAAAAAAAATCACTAATATTTTTAAATCACGATTTTTTTTTCTTCTTAATTTCTGCAAATTTTTCAATATTCGCACAATGGTTCACGAGTCTGCACCTAATCAGAAGCTGGTTGTCTGATGCTGCGTTTCCGTCTGATGCACTCTTGTCACTTGATGCAGGAACTGGGGTTGCCTTTTAAATGGACTGACATAAAGACTGCCGTTTCGGTGGCAGTTCCAACTCCGTTGCGGTAGAAAGCACGCGAATACCCTGATAACAATCACTGGAAATTTACGTAGATTTTTTACACACCTCGTAACTGAAGTTTCACCCGGAATAACGTAAAGTGGAGGGGGATTATAAATTAGAAAATGCATAAATGCCGACGATATTGTGTGTTCACCGTATTAGTGAATCTTTACTTGAATTAAATGCAGTATATTGTTACAATTTTCTTTAACTTAGATGATGAATGCGATATTACGGAGACAATGTAATTTTTCGGTAATTTATTGTGGCATCGAAATGACTGAATTCAGTTTGTAAATTTACATGGGCATTATATTGGTATTGTTGAAGCGATGGCAAAGATGGTATATTGATATATTGTTACAATTTTCTTTAACTTAGATGATGAATGCGATATTACGGAGAGAATGTAATTTTTTTGTATTTTATTGTCGCATCGAAATGACTGAATTCAGTTTGTAAATTTACATCGGCATTTTATTGGTATTGTTGAAGCGATGGCAAAGATGGTTTCTCTGTGAGCAGTCTAACACTTACTGAGCGTAATAGAAAATTGGGTGCGCCTTTCACTTAGAAAATTCGCCGTTCGTGCGCCGACCGATCGCAGGAAAGGAAAGTCCGTACCAGTGTCATTGCGCTAGTCGTGTCCGACAATCAGTCGCTAATTGCTAAGTGTTGACTCGTTGGGATAAGTTCAATCGCTGCTGAGCACATTCCATCGAAGATCTCGCATAGGTTTCGTCCTCAGTTTCGAGAGTATAGTGAAAAAGTTGCTCCATAAACATGGTTTTGCTACGCGTCGATAGATTCGTACGTAGTAATAACATAGTACATAGTTAATAATTACATTTCGCAAATTACCGCTTCTCTCGACTGTCTGTAACTCAGTATTACACACTTAAAATCTCGAAATCTCGAATGTTTACTGTTGAAAATATCTGTCTGAAATTTAGTATACACGTGGCCGAGGATTTTCAAGATACGATATTTTGTGTTATATTCAAAATTCTGAATATATTTATGCGAATTATTATGTAGAAATGGTGTTCCGCGGAATAGTCGTATATATTTCTGTTTCGTTGTTTCTGGTTTTAGTATACATTTGCATTCGGAAGCGAAAATGTCGAAAGCTTTTTAACGTTTTTTTTTATTTTCTCTGTTTCCTTTTCGATATTTTCATCCGTATATTTGTACGCTCTCCAACCAAGTCATCGAACTACTTGTATGAATATCATTAATGTGAGTCAGTTGACACGTTTCATAATTGTCTCTAATTGTTTACAGGGCGGATTTCCATCCTGTGGTGACATCTACCCGACTTAAGTCCGAGGAGATATTCCGTGAAAGAGTTGTCAGCGACAGTCTTTTCGAGGGCCCCTCTCGGCGACGTGGAAGCAACAATTCTGCCGGTAATTCTAACCGACCTAGGGAAGAGAGGATCGAGGAAGTGTCCGATAGGCAGAGCGACGTCTTTGAAAACGACTTATTCGGGCCGCCACCGCTTCCAAAAAGTGGCGACAAGTCGAAGTCAAAGGTAGTGTCCCTTTTCGACAACTCCGACTCTGGCGACGAGTTGTTCTCCAACACAAGCTCGGGATCGCGATCCCAGAAAAGCGCTGATTTTCTGGTGGCCACGCCGCATTCCTTGGAGAAGTCGAAGCCACCTCAGAGGAAGGGCCTCTTCGACGACGAGTTCGACATCTTCGGGTCGAAAGACTCCCCCGACGTGGACATATTCGGCAGGAAATCCAGAGAATCCATCCCCAGGGACGAAAAGCCACCCCCGTTAAAAACACTCGGCACGTCTGCAACGTCGGATAATAAAATGTCGGCAGAAGTTGCCGACTCTAGAGACCCGAAGGTCGGCGTCGATAAAAGTAGTGCCTCGAGGTCGCTGAACACGAGAGTCACCCAGAAGAGCAGCATCTTCGATCAGAGCGACGAAGAGGATGACAACGACCTATTCGGCTCGAATTTCGGTAGCAAGCCTGCGAAGAGTGAAACCACCACGAAGCAGAATTTGTTTAGTTCCGACGAAGACGACCTCTTTGGTACCCCTCCGGCCCTGAAAGAAAAATCGACGGAACCTCAAAACGCGTCTGAGCCGCCAAAGGAAGCTGTGAAAAAATCGAATGACGGTAAAAAGGTAAATGACACCGAGGAGGTGTTTACAGGCGAGTCGGCAGCTCCTTCGAGTTCTCGAGACCGGCTCTTCGACGATATTCCTGATGACGACGACGATGATCTCTTTGCGGAGAAAAAGCAGACGCGGAAGGTTTCCCAGAAGGAAGATGTTGGTACCAAGATGGGGATTGCTGAGAAATCCGGCGATTTTGCAGAATCAGTTGCTGAAGTTCAAGGGAAGGATGATGAAAAATTGAGCTCAGACTCGGAGATGAAGTCGGACCACCCGGTCGATTCAGTTGATAAGGTCTCAAGAGAGCCTGATGCACGTGGCTCTCGGATTGCTGACTCGGAAGAGGTGGACTTTAAAAGAGACGACTTTTTTAACAGTACCAATGTACGAAAAGATCCCCCTAAGTCGTTAAACATTAGGCCTTCGGTATCGGTGGCTAGCGAAGGAACTGCCCCCGTTCCCCGGAGATCCGTGTCTGTTAAAATAAAGAACCTTATGGGGAAGATGAGCGATCTGAAGATCTTGTCGCCAACCGATACACCTCCTAGCTGGAAGAAAGGAGAAGAAACCTCGGACGAGAGCAACGAAACCACTGATAGGGATAGCGAGGACGGCGGCTGCGTTAGTTTACCTAGCGATAGATCACCGCCAGAAAGCTCAGGTAATGCCTGACTCTTCTCACAGTAACTAAAAAGATGTTCTCCAACTTAAGGTGAAGTGAAACCCGTCATATTAACCCGAACCAAAACCAAAATGACATCGATAATATATTTCGATCAATATACAATTAAAGGCCTATTATTCACCTTAACGGATTTACATTAAGAAATATTTGATACGTCCAATTTATTATTTCTTTATCTTTCAGAAGACTGTGCGTCGCAGAAGCAGTCGTCCGAAGTCGCAGTTCCTGGTTCTCGGGATACAGAAGTCGCCGTCAGTTTTGATGGGCCAATTCAAATAGAAACGTTATCAGCAACTGTGTCGAAGGTTAAAATTTACATCGTCCCATTACATCGTTACATATACGTGTAAATATGATGAATAATTTTAAAACGTAATTCTTCTTTTTGCACAGAGTCGAGCGCGAATTCAAGCGAAAAGACGACCGCAGAGCAGACACGCTCGTCAATCGGCACTTCGACACAGTGGAATCGACTTTGATACTGTGGATACCACAACGGGTAACATCTTAGAAGTCGATCGTAGCGAGTTGATCACATCGGTGCATACCAGCACTGTTGAAAGAACTACAACGGAGCGACTATTCGTACCAGGAAGCATCGAAGGTTCTAATCGCACAGCGACTGATTCGAATTCATCATATCATGGAGACGACAAATCGGAGCTCAGCATCAGCAAGGAGAGCTCAATGAGCATTAACAAGAACACGTTGCTTTCTCCGTCGACAGATGAGGAGGATTTATTTGACGTCCCGCCCGACTTGCCCGAGGATCCGCAGAAGGAGGACCTTTTCGGCAGAGCGCCATTGTTGTCTCCGATAGAGAACATCGGCATTATCAAGAAAAGGAGCAACGTAGAAATCTTCAGAGACACCTCGATCCGTTCCGGCGAATCAAAACAGAGCTTTGTTAACGTAGAGACAAGGCAGACCTACAAGATCAGTGCCGAGGAGATATCCACGAAGGAAGATGTTACCAGCGATGGGTCGACGCTGATCGAGGACGAGAATGTTAAGGAGAAGACAAAGGATAGGAGTTACGTTAGAGAGACTCGAGATTCGATTATCATACAGGAGAGTCATGCCGAGACTCGCGAAGAAACGCAGACTGAGAGTGAACCAATTGATCCTTTGCGCGATGACAATCACGATCCCCTGAAGGACCCAAGCCAGTTGTTTGCATTTGTTACGAAAACTCCGTCACCTGAGAAAGGCAAGACCTTGTTGTTTCACGAGGATGACAGTCTGTTTTCCACTGTGCCGAAGATATCCAGCACGGAATCCAAAATTGGCACGTTAGATCTCTTCGCCGATGATGGCGATGGTGATCTATTTTCGACACCGGTAGCCAAGCAGGCGAAACCCATAAGCAAGGAGAAGAAATTAAGTCTGTTCGGCGATGACGATGATGACGATGACGACACGGATAATTTGTTTCGCTCGTTCTCGAAGAAAGTCGTCGATGCCGAGGAAGATACCAAAGTGAAAAGTAGTCCTGCGCAAGAGTCTGCAAAGAAAGATAAAGGTTTCGACGTGACTGTTGAGGTGAAAAAATCGAAAGAGGTTGTCGCTGAGGATACTTCAGGCAATTTTAATAAGGATAAGGATAAGGATTTATTTTCGACGGTCAACAAGACCAAAAAGATGCCGAAGGAAGACATTTTTGGCGGAGAGTCTAGCGAGGAAGACGACCTCTTCGCCGTTAAAAAAACTATTAAGAAGCCTGTGCAGGCGTCATCGTTGTTTCCCGATGACGAGGATGACGACGGTGATATATTCATGAAAGGAAATGTATCGACCGGTTTAGCATCGACGTCGGAAACACGGGCAGTAATTAAGAAGTCAGTTACTAAAGATCTGAAGAAAACTGCTGGGAAGATAGCTGAAGATCCACTGAGTTCGTTACAAGATGATTAATTTCGGAACGTAGAATGCGACTTTTATGGTTTACAGGTTTCTCGTGTATATGTTAGCGAACCGATTTAAACACGTGACTATGTATTTTGTAGAGGTATCCGTGTCCGATGATGTTTCCGCCCTTTTTTATTTCAAGTTATCGACATTTCTACATCCTGGTAACACAATCGTCGTCCGATCACTACAGATGCATAATTCAGTAACGTGTGCACGTGTTCATTGTATTTTATAACCTGGAGAACGAAGGTGAAATAATGTTTTTTTTTTATTGGGCATAGTCCCTTTTGTATGTACACTTTTAGTTTAAGGTGTATTAATATATCGTCGTTAATGATCGCGAAATGTGCATGCGTGTTTGTAAAGCACGTTGTTTGTATATATACCTCGAAGCAATAACTGTCGTCACCGTAGCGTTATTAGCATTTAATTGTGCTTTAATATAAAAAGTGCATTAAGGAATGGCTGGTATACATTGAAATTATTATCGCAGTATTAATGATAAAGATTTTAACGTTACATTGTTATCGGGTCGCTTTAAAAAATCTCGTACTATTTATACTATTCGTCTTATATTTACCACGTAACGATTGATAACACTTCATTAGAGATATATTGTATATGATTTGCCGCAAGAGAGCGTAAGAGATATATTTCTTTTTTTTTTGTTGTTTTTGTATTTATCAATTACTATTATTTTTTGCGTATCTCCTCCGTGAGTAGGAGTAACTTATAGAGCAATATTTCGGTGATCGCTTAAGAATAAGATCCAGAGAATAAATAATACAAGATTGAAAAGGTGTTCTTCAACTTTCTCAAACCGAAGGTCAGCTTTAGATACGGAGAATGAAATATTACTAAGTAGTTTAGATTACCTAATAAAAAGTGTAAAAGTAGCACTTATGATTATTTGGCATTACTGTGGTCGTAAAGTGTCGGGAAAATAATGCTGACCACAGATGTGCGTCACCCACGTAAAAACGTCACCTGAGGTTGAGAACTGGGTTGACCTCCGAATTCATTAACGTTGTTGTCGAATACTATTATTGAGGCATTGAGTGCCCCCATTTTTCGGTAATTGTACGCGTCAGTAATCCCCTAAATGAATCTTTCCTTTTTAGGAAAGTGTTCTACCAAGTTGCATCGTGCACAACTATATCACGGTCACAATGAAGTTGCACCGTTGCAGGGGATTTTTTTTTTTAACGGGATCATTGTCTCAACAGTTCTGTTAGATCTTTCAACTTTACATTTAGTATTGGCAAGTAGTCCTAGCGAATAATGCGAGGGAAGTGAGTATGCCAGATTGGAAATTCGTGGATGGAAATCTGAGAGAAATTCTTTGTTTTCACTTTCTAAAATTCCACGCATTGTCAGGCGTTTGAATAAATCCCAGAATAATTTGCTTAGCGTTTCTTTTTGTATTGTAGGCGACTTGAAGTTGTAAACTGCAAACTCACGAGGAGAATATTCATTACACCTGTGACTGCTTACTCAGAGGAATTGGAAGTGTTCTGGAATATCTGATAGTGGTTCGTTCGCGCCTTGGAAATTCAAGTTTCAGTACTCGAGGAAAGTTGTACAAGACATTTAAACAACGGACTTCTCTCGAAAGGATCTCTCGAAAGTGAGTACAGAATATTAAAGCAATGCTCAATTCGTACAATTATTCCTTTCCGATAAGAATTCTCGACTATCCTCGACAAAATGTTGGCTGATAGTTCCCAACTATTCAAAAGTAAGCAGCAAAAAACTGATTTTTATCGGCTTTCTTTCATCCTAGAATCTGAAGTTATTTTTAAGGATGAACCGTGCCATCGGAACTTAAATCCTTCCCAGTTTCTAAAACCACTTTAAAGTCAGAAAGAAAGATCGAGAATTTCCAGCCATCACAAGTCCGCCATCTTGAAATGTTTTAAACCTATCTCATCTTCAATTCTCCGTTAAAAATCAAATAAAACAGCCTCGTGGATAAATATTTCCTGCACCTATTCATTATCCTTTAAACTCACTGCGATTAAAACACGATTGACAATGAATTATTCCCCCAAGACCTTAACAGCCATCGTGAACATGGCAGTAAAAATTGGCGAACTAAATCTCCGAACCTAGGCCGCCATATTAATTTCCCTGCACTTGGTTAGCCAGTCTTTACAATTATGCCCACGTTAACTGTTACTTTAGGTCCCCACGAAAGTCTTTATTCCCTTTTCGTTTTTTCAAGCGATAAATATGAAATAACTAAAATCTAGGAATCCCCTCCCTGCCAAGTGCCTAAGTCATCGGCACTCACGCCGGTTTTACAAACTCTGTTGGTAGGCCTATCGATAGTCATTATTTGTCCGTCTCAGCGTCAGGAAGAACGGTCTTCTCCTCGTTAGGAAGTCACCGAGGTTCGTTAACTTATTCTACATCGATCTATCGAAATTAAATCATACTTTATTCGGTTCGAGTCACCCGATGGGGAGAGTCTTTTCGCGCGTTTTCCTCATCGCGGTTTGACCTTCAGTGATAACGCGAGTTGCGCTAGGATAACTATATTTCATATATCTTCAATTTTTTATTCCGCACTTTATCAACTGGAGTACCCGTAAACGTGACATGAAAGGATCATTCAATACGTATAAAACGTAAAAATATTTACAAAACTCTCCAAACTGGGTGCATCGAACCATTTGAAACTTCTTCACGTGATTACAGAGGCCCTAAGGAAGCATGCGGTGCTCGTGGAATATCATTGTTAAAAAGATAATGTTCCGTTATCCCGGATCAGAACTAATATCGCGTTTTCTTGTGATAAATGAAATTTCACGAGCATCGCGTTCTTCGTTAGGGCCTCCATAATCACGTGCTGACGTTTCAAATCATTCGGCTGCACCCAATTTGAAGAAAAGTTTTATAAATATCTTTACCTTTTATCTACATAGAATGGCCGTTTAATATCCACCTTAATAATCACGTAAACGTCCCGTTAACGGAGATTCGTTTAATCGGATACGACGAAACGTGGTCGTAAGAAATTTTCACCGTACTCCTAATCTCACGAACTCCTCGGGTTATAAACTGCAAGCCGTGCAGTTTGCCGAATCGCACGCGTACCTCGGTTTCTGGGGTTAATATTCACATAATATCTACCTGGCAGACAGTTGCTTCGAAAACGTGGACGGTCGGGACATTTCCGCCGGTAAACTGCGAATAAACGAACTTACAAATGCAGGGGAGGTCTCTCGTTACGGATCATGTCTGACGAATAAGGTATATCTTGCATATACATATTCATTATGGAGGAATAAATCTCACGCGAAAAGGGAGTAATTGGGAGTAATGATATTTAAAAAATACTTGTATTAAAATGATACGAAATGTTTTCTGTATCTATGATAAAAAATATTACAAAAACACATGGAGCTAATATTATATAAATATTATAGAGATAATATTCTAAAGTAAACGCTTGGCAAATATTTCAAATGTCTGTTAAATATTTACAAAATGTACGATATTCGTTAAACATACAGAAAATATAGGAGAAATATTTTGTGCTACTAGGGAATGACTGGGAATTACCTCTTATTTGTAATATTAATTTTCTTATGTGGACGATGCTTGGCTTCTACTGATGCTGGTACCTCCGTATCGGCCTTCTTCTAAAATCGTCTAACAATCACGACAGGTCCATTGCATAATGGCGGTACGAGGAAGTCAATCATACCTTCAAGATATGTTCGATGAACCGATGTTGGATCCTGATGACAATGTGAGCGAGATCGCGGAATTCTTCGCGGGATGCAACGTCCTTGTAACGGGAGGGTCTGGATTTTTGGGGAAACTGCTGATTGAAAAATTATTACGGTGAGTACGAGGAGTCTTAAGATAAATCGGCGAATTTTTCAGTTTCCTGTACACCGTATAATTTAAACGCATGATTTTCTTCTTTCTAAATGATGATCGATTTAATGATTTTCCGAATGTCGTCAAATATGAACTAGGGATTTCTTTTCATATAATGAATATTGTTAAATGTGAACATATGATTTTAATTGTTTTTCTTAATAGAGTTAAGTAGGAATGCGTCATCTTTTGTTCTGCTCGACATTGTTAAACAGGGACGCATGGTTTTTTATTTTACTGAATATTGTTAACCACTTACGATGGAAAAATGTGCCACCCATGTCAAGGTGTTTCTTTTTTATTTTAAAGCCGTTAACGACGTTTAGCACACGTCTCACGGCGAGTTACGGTGAAGCGTTCTCGCACGCGAATTAGCGAATTAGTTGCTAACGCAAGTGGTTAAATATGAGCGCATAATTATTTATTTTGCTGAATATCGGTAACTAGGAACGCATAATTTTTTGGTTGTCACTATCGCGAGCGTCTATGTCGTGTCTCCATGTTTTACAGATAATAACTCACTTTTCATAGTAAAGTTTAAACACCGATTTCGAGATTTTGTACTCAAATCTCCGTATTCTAGTTTTTGAAACGTTTAAAATGTATTCAAGGGCACCCGCTGGCATGTCAAGCCTTGATGACCCTCTTCGAATATCTTGAATTAAGTTAATTACGGATCTAATGGGAAATTCAGTACAAATGCACATCTATTTAACCTTTCATTATTGCACGCAGCGGTTTCGGAAACCGCCATTAATATGCATCGTGAAAGAATAATGTTTTATAGTAGTCGCGAAGGGACAATTCCGAAGAAGAATACGATTAAGGGAGACATACATAGAGGAACAGGGGTTTTAGTATGCAAATTATAAACCGAAGAAATGCCGATTCACAGACTCGCTGCGTTTTATTTACAGGTCATGTACTGGCATCAAGAATTTGTACATGCTCATGAGAACGAAGAAAGGAAAGTCTCCGGAAGTGCGATTTAAGGAACAGTTCGAAGATGTCGTGAGTCACTTCTTGATTATCCATAATCTACTCGTGAATAATNGACGAGCCGCCGATTTATAATGTGGTGTCGTCTTGTCAAGCTCCCATCACGTGGGGCGAATATATGAAAAAAAACGAGATTTACGGAATGGAGGTCCCCAGTGAAATGGTCCTCTGGTATTACTGTTTCACATTGAATAAGAGTCTGTGGATACATAACATCTACGTTTTCTTTCTTCATCTAATACCGGCTCTCATAGTCGACAGTTTAGCATATGTCACCGGCCGAAAGCCAATGTAAGACTAATGCAAGTCTCGTTTTCCAAGTAGATAACTTTGTGATATGTCACGTGCTACAGCTCGTCGAATTATTTGCAGATTATGGAATGCGTACAAGAAGATTCACAAATTCAGCGGGGTCATCTCGTATTTTTCCACCCAGCAGTGGACATTTCACAACAAGAGAGTTCAAAAGTTATGGGAAAGGCTTCGTCCTGCCGACCGGAAAAAGTTTTTCTTTTCCATTGGGGAACTGGACTGGGAAGAGTACATGCGTTATCATATCCGTGGTCTTAGATTGCATATTTTAAAAGACACCCCGGATACTGTAGACAAGGGGCGAATTAAGTACAGAAAGTAAGTGCTTGATGTTTAGGCTCAGTATTTTTTTTTTATTGGGTGTACTTTGCATGCATTAATACGCGTGAAATCTTGAATACGAAAAAATGTAGTAAAAGATTGTACTGTCAATTTAATTTTTCAGGTTGAAAATCGCCCATTACACGATATCGATCGTCGCAATTCTTTTATTGGCCTGGGCCCTTATAGCGATTGTGCGCTGCTTCATAGGCTGGTAACAACAAATGAAGATGCATTTGCTTTGTTTTTTTTTTTTTAATTGGAAAATCAGTGTCGCGTCGATCGTTGCGAATGTGTCATTATGCAAACCTACATTCGAGATCATTTACGATCCTTTACGGTCCTTTACGGTCCTTTACGGATCGTTATGGTGGACAGCAGGAAATTAACTTCTAATATACTTAGATAATTTACATGTATTTATTTAAGATCAGTGCATATTTAAACCATCAACGGATGAATTTTTCAATAAATCTAGTGAGTCAGAAGTTGCTCGTTTTCGACTTTTAATCGCCCGATGTACCTTACCTACGAATGGGATAACAGATTGCAGATTCCATGCAGAATCAGCATGATTACACTTTCATTATCTATCTGCATGGTGCACTATGTGGCTAGAAGCACGACGATGCTAAATCTTCTTAACTAGTCTACTAAGATTAAATTCTCATTCGATCGTAGTATCATTCTAGGTGAACTTAACATACTTCATGCTTTATTATGAAACATAGACGAATAATAAGGGGCAGGAGACTAAATTACAAGATGATGACATTGGACCCGTGCACCATGTGCAGTTTTTTACCGATGAAATTTAATAGTCATGTTTAGTTTATTCAGTTTATCTGGTGATTTGTACTTGCGCTTCATTTTTGGCGCTAGGGATTCTACAATATACAGGGTGTTTCAGACCCTGCAAACAAAAAATACATGATGATAATCTCTATTCCGTTCTGAACAAGAATATCCAACGCAAACTTGAATTCGAATTGTAGTTTCAAAGCTATAGTAGTTTAAAATTTACCAATCACGAAGCGTCCCATTACTGGAAGCACTGTTGTCATTTAATTAACTTCCATTTCATATATGTTATTAATATCTTTCTTTAAAATTGACTGCTTTGAGGAAATTACATCCAGACATTTATTATGCATCAATTCGCATGACACAGCTCGAATAAGTCCAACACCGATTTTCTTCGATTTAAGGAAACTAAACAGTCATGTAAGCGGAATCAATTTACGGACTAGAAGGCAAGATATTGCGCAAAAGGCATTTATGCAGCCAAGAATGCGTTACTTTAAAATGGTATTAGTGTTTTAATGTTTATTAAAACAGTTTATTATTGATGTAGCGACACTTGCCTGTGCAAACTTTTGTCATATTGGATGTAAAGCGGCTGGGAAAACTGAGGTATAATGCAATTCAGAACAATCGTTATAAGCAGCATAATTTATCGACTCAAACTTAGAAAACCAAGCGGAGATAAGGAATATTTTCATTAATGCTTCGAAAGTCCGACAGTCGTGTGTATACGTTTATATTTGAAACAGGTATTTTATTGTTTCGTGCATTGATAGTGATATAATATTGGTGAGTAATTTCTTGCGGGTTTAATATTTTCGATTTATACAAATTTTGAAGTTTTAGCTTCGGAATAAAGGTTAAAATTTTCTGTTAATTGAGTCTCTGATAAAAAAAGGTAGTTCACTCAGAGAAATATGCTTTGCGATGAAAAAATCCTATGATCAAATACGTTTGAAGAAGTGTCAAATTGAGTAAACGAAATTCGTTTAAATCAACGATATAATTTTTCTCCTCGACAAAATAATTATTTCTTACAATTATATACGACTCATGCAACAATATATGTTTGTCTCAGTCAACCAATCTTTTTTTCTCAGTGTGGTGTAACGTTTTAATCTAAGTAAGGAAAGATAAATGCATTTGGCTAACTTGTACACCGAAGATTTGTTTTGAGGAAATGTCACTTGTTTTTGTAAAAAAAGTCTTAATCTCTTTACTGTTAATAATAAAGTTGGCAAATATATCTGAAACACTCCTATAGGGAACGATGGGGTAAAATAGTAAATTCGTTGCAAAATGTTAAGAATACTCATTGTTAGGCAATATGAAAAATATAATTACATAATTTTGTTTTATCATTTCGCCTCATGTCATTTCCCATTTTTCTCCACTATAGGGGCAAAATGGAATATTCACAAAGGGTTCCTAAAATTCTTTTTTCTTCGACGTTTATTGCATAATCGTTATTTCTTTTAAATTTGTATAACTAAAAGTATAACAAACAATTCGTTACGAAGATATTGAGGATAATCATTATAATTGACTTTTTATGATCTTTTCTTCTTAAGTATCCTATTTTCCCTAACTGTCCCCTATTGAATGAATGAATGAATGAATGCTTTATTGTCTCTGAAGAAAGTACATTCTTGTGACAAGGGGGGCTAAGTTTGTAGAGAAATGGTTCCTTTATCGTAATGGGTATAATAGTTAAAACATATGCTATTCGCAGAGGCAAAAGGACCTTAGTTTACAGGGTGCGGTTATATAGTACAACATTGCTTTCACGGTATCCCCGTTGTTTTTCGAAAAAAGAGCACTTTCGCGGTCCTTGTTCGCTGATCCGGTTCGAACTTATATCAATTATTTCCTATGTAAATTCCGCAGACATAAAAAGTGGAGAGTCTCAGCTACGCCCATACCCTGATCATTTTAAACGGCATTGAGTAACGAAAATATTCCGCTGGGTTTGTGCTATCATTTATTTCTATTTTAAAATTCATCGATGACGGTCTGTTATATTTCGCTCGTAGGTTTCCTTTTTCGTTCGCGTGAGGTTCCTGTAACGCTTCTTCGCATTTATATAGTTTGCTTTATCTGCGGCTTGGAAGTTTGAATCTTTGCATTTTTTTCAGTGCATGTCCTAGTTCCGTCTTTGCTCTTCTACAATCATTATCAAACCACCTGTCCTTTGCGATTTTTCTCAGATTCCCGTGGTTCCAGTGAGTCATCCAGCTTGTCGTTGTTTTCCATTCTGAGGGCACGCATTTCTCCCATAAGATGGTTCATTTGGTTTGATAGGACTTTTACCTGGTTCGGTGAGTCTCTTTCCTTTGTCGGTGACCCTGGGGTAAGGCCGCTTCTTTTGAAGGGGCTTTCGGCATCTAACGCGGGGGTCCCACTTTCGGCATCTAATGGGGGGTCCCACTTTCGGCATACTGCCGGTCACTGTGGGTACAAGTCGCTCCGTTGTCGCCTCAGTCATTTTCGGTTGTGACTTCGCAATACGTGGTTGTTTGAATTGGAACAGATTTGGACAGTTTTTTTTTTTAATTTTGTATCAAATTCTAACCTGTAGTTTGGATACGCGGTTCAATTGTAGGAATTGTAGAATGCTCTACAAATCTGGTGCCCGCCGGTGGTTTATTTATGCCCTGAAGTTTCCTGCTGCCGTTACCTTGTTAATGAACACGGTCTGATCTGCTTTAGGGTTTTATTACTCAGCAAAGAGAAGCACTATACGTTGAGTATCTCACGGCACGTGTCACCTCCTAGTCGGCTAAACTAGTTATCCCAACTGTCCCCTAATTCTAATGTTAATTGCGCTTAAATAGGGGTTCGTTGGCTTCTTCTAAAATTCTCGAATAAACACGGCAAATCCATTTCATAATGACGGTACGAGGAAGTCAATTATACCTACAAGACATGTTTGATGAACCCGCTGATCCTGCTGATGAGGTGAGCGAGATCGCGGAATTCTTCGCGGGATGCAACGTCCTTGTCACGGGAGGATCCGGATTTTTGGGGGAACTGTTGATAGAAAAATTATTACGGTGAGTACGAGGAGTCTTAATTTAAACGGATGATTTTTTTAGTTTCTTTAATACCGTATAATTTAAACGCATGATTGTCCTTTTTATTTTGCGGAATATCGTTGAATACCAACACATAATTATCCATTTTGCTGAAAATCGTTAAATGGGAACACAATCTTTTTGTCTTTAATATCGCGAGCGTCTAACGAGCGAGCTGAATTTGTTAATGATCGAAAATAGTGCCATAAATGAATGATCGTAGCGCACTTTTTATATTAAAGCTTATATACCGTTTATGGGATTTTATACTTAAATCTTCGTTTTCTAGTTTTTGAAACATTTAAAATGCATTCAAGGACACCCGCTTACATGTCAAGCCTTGATGACCATTTAGGAATATTTTGAATTAAATTAATTCCGGATGTAATAGAAAATTCAATTCAAATGCACATCTATTTAACTTTTGATCATTGTACGCAGCGGTATTGGAGACCGCCTTTAACACATTCGGGAACGGCAAATTTTTTCCGTTTCAAATATTGCGTACCGGCGAAAATAATGAAATTCGGTAACTGGTTGCCGCAAACTTGTATCATGTATCGTTATAAACGTGATTAATGTCAGCGGTCGTGAATGTGTTAATATGCATCGTGAAAGAATACATGTTTTATAGTATTCGCGAAGGGACAATTCCGAGGGAGAATACGATTAAGGGAGACATACACAGAGGAACAGGGGTTTTGGTATGCAAATTACAAACCGAAGAAATGCCGATTTACAGACTCGTTGTTTTATTTACAGATCATGTACTGGCATCAAGAATTTGTACATGCTCCTGAGATCGAAGAAAGGAAAGTCTCCGGAAGTGCGGTTTAAGGAACTGTTCGATAATGTCGTGAGTCACTTCTTGATTATCCATAATCTACTCGTGAATAATTTTTTATAAGAATGTGACTTTGATTTCAGCTGTTCGACAGGCTGAAGAAGGAGCAGCCCAACTTTGTACAAAAAGTGATCATAGTGGAGGGTGACGTCGGAGAAGAATCTTTGGGGCTGTCCGAGGAAAACAGGGAACTTCTACTAAATTCCAACATCATATTTCACGGGGCAGCCACTGTTCGTTTCGACGAGAAGATTCGTTTAGCCACGAACATCAATGTCAGGGGAACTAAGCAGCTCCTGTTGCTCGCCAGAGAGATGCAGAATCTCAAGGCATGTATCTGGCCATATTTGTTGTCTCGTGTTACATGGTGTCCCTTGCTCAACAAGAGATACCTGTGCCATGCAGTACTTACATCCATGCAATACTTCCGCCTTAATACGAAATCTTTGAATTTTTATCGATCGCAAATCAACAAATTGGTTTTCAAGCGGCTCATCCTGCCGTGATGTTGCAGGCATTTGTTCACATATCGACGGCGTTTTCCCAATGCGTCGTGAAATTCATCGACGAGATCTACTATAAACCACCGATAGAAGGGGATAAGCTCTTGACTCTGCTCGACGTCCTGGATGATGACGTACTCGATCATATGACGCCTGCGTATGTTTAATATTTATATTCATGACATATCGTCCAATTTTGAGTACTTTAAACGGCATAAATTTACGAATCAACCGAGTATCCGCTTACAAAGATACCGCAGGAATATAATTAATAAAATTCGCTAATGAAATCGACAGCCTCCTTGGCAAGTGGCCCAACACGTATGCCTTTACAAAAGCCGTGGCAGAAGATACCGTGCGACGTTACGGCAAGGGGTTGCCCGTCTGTATAGTCAGACCGTCGATAATAATTTCAACATCCAAAGAGCCGATTTCTGGATGGATCAACAATATCAACGGAGCAACGGCAGTCAGCGTGGGTGCAGGAGTCGGCTTACTTAGAACTATCCACTGTGACAAGGACAAAGTGGCCGACATCATCCCCGGAGACTACGTCATTAACAATATCATCGCCGCGGCATGGGGCGCCGGAAGGGCTGAGTAACAGAAAATAACAATTAGAACGGAAATCATTTCACGTCACAATGTTAACACTTGGACGTATTATTTCTAGGGACATCAACCTGAACATTGATACCCTCTCCGAGTTAAATGAAGAAAAGACAGACGAACCGCCGATTTATAATGTGGTGTCGTCTTGTCAAGCTCCCATCACGTGGGACGAATATATGAACAAAAACAAGTTTTACTGTAAGCGTATTCCCAGTATGAAGTACCTATGGTATTTCGGTTTCACGTTTCATAAGAATCTGTGGATGCACAAAATCTACATCCTCTTTCTTCATCTAATACCGGCTCTCATAGTCGACAGTTTAGCATACGTCAGTGGCCGAAAGCCAATGTAAGGTTTATGCAAGTCTTGTTTTCCAAGTGGATGACGTTGTAAAACGACACGTGCTATAGCTCATTAAATTTTTTGCAGATTGTGGAATACGTACAAAAAAATTCACAAACTTATCGCAGTCGTCTCGTATTTTACCACCCAGCAGTGGACATTTCGCAACAGAAGAGTTCAAAAGTTATGGGAACGGCTTCGTCCTGCCGACCGGAAAAAGTTTTTCTTTTCCATTGAAGAAATCAATTGGGATGAGTACTGGTGTCCTTACGTCCGTGGTATTAGATTGCATATTTTGAAAGACCCCCTGGATACTTTGGACATGGCCCGAATTAAGTACAGAAAGTAAGTACTTGATATTTATGTTCTGTATTTTTTTATTGGCTATAATTTGCATGCTTTAAACGCGTGAAATGTTGAATACGGAAAAGTGTGATAAAAGATTGTACTGTCGATTTAATTTTTCAGGTTGACAATCGCCCACTACACGATATCGACAGTCGCAGTTCTTTTATTGGCCTGGGCCCTTATAGCGATTGTGCGCTGTGTCACAGGCTGGTAACAACAAATGAAGATGCATTTCTTTTTTTTTTGATTGAGATATCAGTTCACGTCGATCGTTGCGTATGTGTCATTATGCATACACCTAAATTCGAGATCATTAAACCCTTTACGGATCGTTATCGGTGATAACAGGAAATTAATATCTGTGTGTTGCGTCATGTGTTATGTCAATGTTAATGTTAACCTTTAAAATATTATATTTTCATTGTCTACCTGCATTAATTTGCATTATATGGCTAACGGTAAACGATGCGAAGTATATGATAAAATTCTTACCCGATCGTAGTACCACTCAAGGTGAACTTAACACACTACAAGCCTCGTTATCTAACATAGACGAGTAAAAAGTGGCATAGGATTATGTTGCAAGATGCTGACATTGGACCCGCGCACCATGCCCAGTTTTCTGCACCTGAAATTTAATAGGCATGTTCAGTTTATTTACTATCTATCATGTTATAAGTGGATATAGTGATTTGTACATGCATTTCATTTCTGGTGCCAATGATTCTGCGATATACAAAGACGTATAATAATGTGGACAACCCTTTTTCTGCCGCCTGATGGAGGGTGAATGCGTAAGTTGAACTTTTTTAATGAAATTATCCCTGTTCATAAAGAAGCGGTAACGGCAGAATTGTATTGTCCACGTAAAAACGACTGTAACAGTACTTTAGTGGAATAGTGTACCATTACTGATCCTTAGAGTTATTTTAAATTTCAGTTGTTTCACATATATTAACTTCTATTTCTTATGTGTTATTAAGACTTTCACTCCGAAAGGCGTCCAACATTTGGTCCACTATTGCCTGTACGTGGAGACGAATTTCGCCCATACGTCAAACGGGCTTGTCAGTCAAAAGATTAATTTCTTTTTTTAAGCCCAATATGGCTGACGTGACTTTGCTGAACCCTTAAAATTTGCTGCTTTTATGTGATCACATTCAGACATTTATGATGACATTGGGTTGTTCGGAAAATTCGTGCCGATTTTCAATAGGTGGCATTAGGACTTGAAAATCAGCACGCATTTTTTGAACAACCCAATACATCGATTCGTATTGTTACAGCACGAATAATTTCAACAACGCTGATTCCTTGGATTTTTGGAAATTGGACGATGACGCAAACGGAAGCAATTTATGGAAGAAGAGGGAAAATATCGGGCGAAAAGCCTTGTGCTGATAATTAACAGTCAAGACATTTCTTATGCATGTACGTCCTACTCCGGTGATGTAGGCACGTTGGCACTGTTTTAAAATGGTATCAATGTTTTCATGTTTTCTAAAACAGCTTGTCATCGATACAATTGCATTCTGTTGTGCAAACCTTTTTCATACTGGGTATTATGAAGTCACGAAGACTGAGGTCTAATGTAACATTGGATAATTGTCATAAATAACATGAATCCATTCAAACTTAAAAACCATCCAAAAGTAACGAATACTTTTCATTAACGACACGTACTTTACGACACAATGCACATAAAGATATAATTAAAAGAAATTAATAATTGTATATGTAATAAATATTGAAATTGTAAGTAGAAAGCGTTAAGTCAGTCAGACTGCCCCACGTAAGCATTTTATGTATTACGTGGATGTACTTCGGGTTGCTCATGCTTCAGGCGCTGCGAACGATTCCATCGTGAATATTAATACGTCTATTAAATTTTATTCGCAAATATTCAAACGCCTTCGGCAACGATAATTATCCAGGACAACCTTTTAATATATATTTCTAGTTAATACACTTACATGAAAAATCTTGCAAATGAACTGTGATGTTTATGACTCTTGATAATTTTAAGAACTCACTTCGTGCGCTTCCATGGACGATTGGGGGGATACTTCCAAAATCGTGTGAAATATACAAATGAATGCATCCGATAATTTATGCTTATGTGGTGACCTTGTGACATCCTACGCCGGTGGTAATACATGTACGGCACTTCGCATTATTGAATTCTCAGAGCCAAGTGTAGGAATTTACGGTTTGCAGTTGCGTTTTGTCTGCCCATCGGCTATGGTGTCTTCCTCCGGTCGTATAATGGTCTTGTAACATTCAAACAATTTATTCGATAAAGTTGATAAGAATTCCGACTATAATGAGTGGAAAAGTTAAAAGTTGTCTAAATTTTAGATATCGTTCGAAAAAACAGCGTCATTGCATTGAAGCAAAATATATTAACTAAATTTTGTCAAGTTAACGCACATGGGTTCTTTTAGTTCCATCATTATTTTATGATTTTGTGAATATTAATATTTTTCCCAATAAATTATCTAGATGGATTCGCCGAAAAAAGATCAGCCCAAATTGGACGACTTGTCTGACGAATCGGACGTAGAAATAGACGACAAAAGTGAAATTTGCCATTTTTTCCGGGGCTGCAATGTTCTCGTTACCGGTGGCTCAGGATTCTTAGGCTTGCTGCTGATAGAAAAATTGCTGCGGTAAGTACGCTCTGAAATACGAAAAAGTAAAGTATTTATTTGACAGCGCCGAGCATATTAAAATGTTGCATTACTTTTCGCCGTTCCAGTTCATGTTCCGACATCAACAAATTGTACCTGCTTATACGACCGAAGAAAGGAAAGTCTCCAGAGGAGCGATTAAAAGAGATTTTCGACAGAGTTGTAAGTAACTATATCCGACTGCATAAAATGTGAAACTTAATTAAATTTACAGGGCATTCCGTGGAGAAGTGAAGTGCGTACACGTTCGTGTATAATAATACAAATATTCACACATTTAAACGCCGGTTGCAATTACAGATATACGAGAGGCTGAAAGTCGAACAGCCGAATTTTATGGAGAAAGTTGTCTTAATAGAAGGTGACATGGGGCAAAAATTATTAGGATTGTCCGAGGAAAGTCGAAAACGCCTTTTGGAGATAAATATCGTTTTTCACCTAGCTGCCACTGTGCGTTTCGACGAAAAATTACGGACTGCCGTCAACATCAACGTCAGAGGAACGAAAGAAATAGTATTGTTGGCTAAACAGATGAGGAATCTTAAGGTACGAAATCACCGAAGCCGTTTTCCTTAATTATCCGCCATTTTACATTACGATTATTCCCATTATTAGGTGTTCATGTACGTGTCAACTGCATTTTCACATTACGTCCGAAGTTCTATCGATGAAGTGTGTTACCCGCCTCCCATAGATGTGGACCGTTTGTTGACTATAGTGGAAAATATGGACGACGCCATGTTGGAAGCGGTGCAGCCGATGTAAGTAAATTCTGTAAAGAGACCTTGACTTTCTGCACTGTGTCATTGTTTCAAACTTTACAAAGTGAAAATCGATACCATCAAGTCCTGACATTTCACTTAAAAGAAAGAAAAAAAATTTAATGTCCACACACAAACTGAAAAAAAAGAAATTGAAATTTCTCCCTGAGAAAAGGAATTTCATTAACCCGAAGAAATACTTTGATAATTCAATGAATAATTATTAGACTCAAATAAACTGGAATAAATGAAATGCAACATTTCTGCGGAATTATGACAATTTATTTGAGACAAATGTTTCTTTGGGTCAATGAATTTTGGTTTTTCTCACTGCATGGGTGTCGGGGCCTTCCTTACATCCTCCATATTAACATAGTAATGTTTGAAAAAATTCGGTATACCAAGTTCGGAAAAAAAAGTTTCATAAACGAGACCATCACTTTTACATCGGCTTTCTGCAGTGGGTCGAAACTTTAATGGAAAAGTTTGAATCTTTACAGGATCCTCGGAAAATGGGAATACACGTACACGTTTTCAAAAGCAGTAGCGGAGGATACTGTCTTGAAATATGGCGCTGGGATGCCAATTTGCATTGTTAGACCTCCCATCGTCCTTTCTACTGCAAAAGATCCGAGTGCCGGATGGATAAATAATGTTTTCAATGTTACCGGAATATTTTTAGGTGCGGGGATTGGTATACTTCGTACGATGCACTGTCACAAAAATAAGATTATGGAAGCAGTACCTGCTGATTATGTTATCAACAATATGATCTGTGCAGCCTGGGACGTGGACAATAAACGGTAACGTAAATGCGCCATGGAAGGAAATAACGGAGGCCAATTATTGTCTCCAGAGTGAAATCGAGTATTTCTCTAATCAGTTTATTAGTCTTACGGAAATTATTTCTTCGCAGAAATGATATGGCTAATAGTCTAAGGGACGTATCGACAAAGCTGGAGGTGTACAACTGCGTGTCGTCAAATGCAAGTCCTATAACGTACGAAGAAACATTCAAGAAATCGTTTACTGCTTTACAGGAAATAAAATCGACAAAAATATTATGGCATTACGGGCATAAATGCGAGGATCGGTACTGGGTATATTATATAAACATGGTTTTATTTCATTTGGTACCGGCTGTCATTGTGGATACCGCAGCCATCCTTACTGGGCGAAAACCGATGTAATTATTATTGCGCACGAAATAATTCAACAGGATGTCGATAAGCATATTACTTTTCCTTCACGTCGCGAATACAAATACTCAGTGCCTATTTCTTTATTGTATTTAGGTTAATGGAGTTACATAAAAAGGTAAACAAAATGGCTAGAATGATGCAGTACATCGCGACTCACGAATGGAAGTTTTATGACAATAATGTCCAGCAACTATGGGATAAATTGAATCGAGTGGACAGAAAAGAATTTAATTTTAACATGAAGGACTTTAATTGGGATGAATTTATGTTGATTCAATGCCGAGGAATTCAACGCTACATCCTTAAAGATACCATCGACGATTCACCCGAAAAACGTGCTCATATGTTCAAGTAAGCGTGTTTACAAATAATCACTTCTTATACAGTAACAATTTATTTTGAATATTTCATGCATAGGTTAAATGTACCATTAATGTAATCACATTTTCTGTTAGGGTGAAAATCCGCCATTACGTGTTGGTCACCGTAATGTGGAGTTTCGTACTATGGCTGTTCGTATCGATTCTGCGGTATTTTGGATTCTGGTGGTGATACGAGTGACCTGGAATTTCCTAGATCTACGTATTGTCGGAGCATTAAAATTGTTTATTCATAAGAGGTCCTCGCATATGATAAATAAACGCCAAATCATTTCTTAAACGATAACAATTTGTTTCCCCCTTCGAGCTGAACATGAATTCACAACGAACGAGTGAATCTTCTTACACCTTTGCACAATGTAAATATACAAAAATGTTGAAAAATACCAAACACTCACCAACGGAGCTCTTTTGTGGTTAAATTGTTGCACTCCAAAGTCTGGAACAATTGGGAATCAATGACCAGTTTTAAACCACGTTTAACTTTTATATAATTATCCAAAGCGAGTGGAAAAAAGTTCATTTAACGAAGACAATGGTAGCGGGCGCTGATTATATATGTGTATATTCTGACAATAAAAGGTGAAAGCGGAATTGACCTCGGGATGTTCATTAATATGACGTCCGAGTAGTGTAACAATTCCTTGTGAAACGTTGAAAACGTCGAAAATGTGTGCAAATGACATTACCGAGGACTATTAACGGTAAACAAATAGTAATGATAATTATCGATTAGTCATTGGGCCATGATGAATAGTACAGGAATATTAACATAAGTCGAGTGGAAATTTCGGAACATTATTGCATACTTTTTATGCGTGCTCTGTACACATAGAGCTGTACTATTATCAACAATGGCCATTTATTTATAAGCTCTCGGCGAGGATGAAGTTGCATATTGAAGCGTTTACAGGAGTCGTCATGACCGATTGAAATATTCCATTATGCACATTAACCTTTGATAGGTGATAGGTGCTGGTTCACCCACGTTCTAAGTTCCTCGAGCTTTTAACTTGAATGGGATGGCAATGCCCATAATTCGCAGTTGCGATTCGCCCGTCATTGGGTTAGGAAGTGGTGCTCCTCAAGAAGTCCAACTTTAAAACTCGTCGCACCAGTGCAGGTAAGGCAAAACAATTAATCGATTAAATATCAACAAGTGATTAGAAAATACTCGCAGCTTCGTTAGAACCGAAATCGAGAATGAAATGACAGCCCTTAATGTCAATAATCATTTACGACGCAGTAGATCCGTCAAAATATTAATCAGGCCTTTTCACCCGATTTCATGATTTATTTTCCATTATCGCAAAAATTAATTCTTCACTTCGACGATTTTTTTTTAGACGGCGGCATTATGGTGGCGAAAGGAAATCCGGTGCAAGTCGCAGATGCAATTCAGGAAGTTGGAACACGAAATCAGGATTTAAAGGACAGCGAGATTGCGCAATTCTTTGCCAATCGGAATGTCTTAGTTACTGGCGGTTCTGGATTTTTGGGAAAACTGTTGGTGGAGAAATTACTAAGGTAAACGTTAGAAAATTACCGAAACAATTCACGTAATAAATGCTTTGTGGTATAACACGGAGTAAGAAACTAATTTCCCACGATATGTTAATATTATTTGATTAGCGTTATCGATATTACTTTTCGTTGCTCCGAGAGTTCGTAAAGTCAGGATAAACTTCAATGTCAAAGTACTGTTACGTAAACGGAGGGAAAAGGAAAAGAAAGTATCTCCTAACAGTAAGGGATTTATTATGAATATGGATAACAGTAGACGTCATTTTATACGAATGATTTACGGAGAAGGTAGCTCGCATAATTTGCATTTTTACCACTTTGTGATCTAACCGAAAAACGTGTAGTACGTCAAAGGTGTACAGTAGTAGACTTAAATTGTCTTCTCTGTAGTTATAGTTAGTTATAGTATCGTTTGTACGTTGACAAAACAGTCACACCCATCAGTGTACAAACGCAACTAGATTGGGATATATGAATAAACAAAACCAATTGACGTATTAGTTCCGTACGTTTGAGCACCGCTTTGAGTCAGTTACGCACTCATTTCAAGTGTGTAATTATTCTCGACGACTCATTACCATGGACTCTAAATTTTACCGGATATCGTTCGTCGGCGATACAATAGCGAATATTGTGTACAGGGTTGTAGTATTAACTCGTGTAACCGAGCTCAAAGACTCCAAGAGGTTCTGATTCAAACCAAATTATCCGTGAGTACTTCCCTATTGTTGCCGGAAGCGAATACATGCAGGAATTCTTTCCTAGCATTACTAATTAGAGCGGTCACTGTGGTACGTTTCGGTACATGACGTCAAAAAGTTAAAATCCAAGACTTCGAATTCTAGTCAACATTTAAGGAATTATTCGCCATCGAAAACCACGTGATGTAGATTTCATAATTATTAACCAAGGCTCTGAAAAAAAAAAAAGAACCGAATTTGTATTTTGCCATTTCCAGATCCTGCCCGAATATAAAAAAGTTGTACATGTTGATTCGAGCCAAGAAGGGAAAATCCCCAGGGGCTCGTTTCAAGGAGCATTTCGAGGATGCCGTAAGCTTTCGCAAGTTTTGTCATAAAATAGAAGAAAAGAAACAGCTGGAAAATAAAAAAGATTGCGTTTATTTGTTCCAGTTATACGACAGGCTGAAGAAGGAGCAGCCGAGATTTGTGGAAAGAGTCGTGATGGTGGAGGGCGACGTTGGTGAGAAATCACTAGGACTGTCCGATGACAATTTGAAAGCTCTCCTCGACATCGACATCGTTTTCCACAGTGCAGCAACCGTGAATTTTCACGACACTATGCGACGATCCGTCAACGTTAACATTAGAGGAACGAAACAGCTCCTTCTCTTTGCGAGAAATATGATAAATCTGAAGGTTTGCGCAACCATAAGATGCTTTGAACGGTTTAAGGATTTACATGGTGATTTATAGACCTCAGGATTATATATAATTAATAACACCATCTCTGATGCATTATTCAGGCGTTCGTTCACGTGTCGACTGCTTTCTCCCAATGCGCAACGATCGACATCGAAGAGAAGTTCTACAAGCCGCCATTAGACTCGGACAAGTTAATGGAGTTAGTCGATATTCTGGATGACGATATGCTGAGCCGCATGGCACCGATGTAAGCTCGATGGTATTCTTAAAATTGAAACTACTATTTTACGAATAATATGAAATATTAAATGAAAACAAGGCGATCGACATCCGATCCTACTAAGTTCTGGAAATCCAGAGTTAAGGATGATTTACGAGTGCAATGGAATTTTCAGACTGATTAAAGGTTGCCCCAACACTTACATATTTACGAAAGCAGTCGGTGAAGATGTGGCACGCCGTTATGGTAATGGCCTTCCAGTTTGCGTAGTAAGACCATCGATTGTCACATCCACTGCCCAAGATCCTGTGCCAGGCTGGACGAACAACTTGAACGGGGCTACGGGAATTGTTTTTGGAGCAGCAATAGGCATACTTCGTACTTTGCATTGCAATAGCACGAATAAAGCGGATATCGTTCCAGCGGACTTCGTCATTAACGGCATTATCGCGGCAGCGTGGGACATCGCGGAGTCTAAGTAATTAAATAGAATTATATAGGTGAATGATAGAAAGAAAAAAGGAAATAAGTATGAAAGAATCGACACTGACATACGTCTTCCCTCGGATAAGGCTTAATATTCATGGAATCATTTTTTGACGTGGGCGTTAAGGGTACTTACAGGTCGTTCTTGTTTGTAGGGACAAGAACGCAAATACGGTCATCACCACAACGGAAACAGCTGACTCGAGGGTTGATGAGCCGTTAATCTACAACTGCGTGTCCTCGCCTCGTAATCCCATTACTTGGGCTGAATTTATGGAAAAAAACGAGGTTAATCTATTTCCAATTCCCAGTATATCGATCATGTGGTACTACTGCTTTACCTTGAACAGTTACTGGTGGATGAACACTATATACACATTTTTCCTACATCTAATCCCGGCTGTTATAGTTGACAGCCTTGCGTATATTACGGGTCGACAGCCAATGTAAGATGTACTCTTCGGTAATGTATTATGGACTAGAAAGAAATTCTAGTACTTGTATAATTGAGCCGTCCGTTTGTTCCCGCAGGCTCCTGACAACCTATAAAAAGATACATAAATTCAGTGACGTCATCTCGCACTTCGCGAATAATGAGTGGCGATTTTCGGACAACAACTTCGCCAACCTCTGGTGGAAACTTTCACCGATCGACCAAGACATATTTTTCTTCAACATTAAGAATCTTAACTGGGATGAATACTTTTTCAATCATGCCAGTGGTATGCGAACGTATCTTTTTAAGGACGTTCCAAGTACCTTAACGTCAGCGCGGGTGAAGCTTACCAGGTAAATCGAAAAGAACATAAATTTTTACCATCCGAAAGTTGACAAAGACGGCACGGACAATAATGGCGAGCTTTTATAGTCTGTCATTTTTTTTAAGTTATTGCGTATTGCAGGTTGAAGATTGCTCATTATACTATTATGGGTTTGATGCTTATTTTGGTAGCTCTGCTGTTTACATACTTGTTAAGCTACTTTATTTCTTGGTATCCAGGTAATTATACAATTATACCATATTTTATGTATCTAAATAATGATAAATGAGCGGATATTAAGAAATTTCTGAGTTATTAATCGTAACGCTTGTCTGACCCTAATTTATTTTCTAGCGCAAACAATTGACCACGAGCTGTGGTAATGCATTTGGAAATTCAGCTTTACGAGTACTTGAAGAGGAATGGGTAACAATAGTTGTATTCGACTACTCTTTGAAAGACTTCGGCTGTGCCAAAATCGTTGTAATACCATAATCGCAATCATTATGATATATTAGCATAATCATAGTTATAATAATATTATAATCCATTAAAATCCATAATATTATAATTTTGTTACCATTAAGTACATTACAAAACCATTTTAGTCATGCCTACGTTAGACTTTTTATATGGCGTTTGCCCATTGCAGAACTATAAATCTATGTAAACGATAGCATTTATTTTTTAGTACATTAATTAACCACGAAATATATGGAGTGGACATTTATTATACCTCGGATTGTTTTGATGCGTGTCAAAGGCTCTGCACCGAGAAATAAATGCATTGAACCAAAGAAAAGTATTTCTTTGACTCAATGACATTTTTTTTTCTCAGTGTTTGAAAGAAAGATAGACGAACTGGTTAAGAATCTATACTAGACCCTGAATGTTAAGGTCTGAAAATGTTTGAAAACTATCGACAACTTTCCCAGTTTTCGGTTTTCTGGGACAAAGCAAACGAAAGGGAACGCGTGCAAAGTCAAACGAACACATGTCCGATATACACAAAGTATTCAAACACCCCACAAAGAGTACAAGAGCAGAAGTTCCTAAGTTGGAACTTCCCAGACTTTATCGAGCCATCTAAGAAGCTGGTTCAATGACACACCGTTCTACCGGATTTACTGTTTGAATCCCTTACCATAAATTTTCTGTCTGAGTTGATCTGGTATTCTCTTAAAACGAACGCCATGCAGAACTTCTCTTACAGCAAAAACGTAGTAAAATTGCTGAAAATGAAATAACGGATAAGACACAGATTTCATCCAAAAATTAAGCTGAGGTCAATTTCAAGGGCCCACATTTATTGAAGCAAGTAAAATTCCTGGTTATGACTGCAAATCCTATTTCCGCGTGTGGAATTTTTCTAGGAATACAATTGAAGAATTTTTCGAATCGCTTAATGATTGCACTATCGCCCAATCCTTTCTCCTCTCCGAGGCCACGATTTGCGCCCATTAATGACAACCGTATCCAGTTATCACGGAGTGTCGAATCATCGAGGGCCTACTAATTCAGTCATTGAAGAGCCGAGTTAGTATGCACCTCGCGGTGCGTGAAACGCGTATGTCGGTGCATGCCGTCCTGTTATTAAGATTACGACACATTTTGTTCATACAAGTACCGCGTCCAGGAGAGTCCGATGCCTTTCGTAAGAGGGATCGGCGCATAAAACTCTCTGGGTGACATTTGCACCCGAACCTGACGTCTGCTTAGCATACAATCTGTGAAGTCGTGCCGACGGCTTCCCGACTATTTTTTACGTTCTTACCGGATTTTCGTCTGGTCGACGTAACCACCCAGAAGTCCATTTCCGAGGCCGGAATGACAATGAATCCTCTAGGGTCACCATGCCACCCAAAGCGACTGCACCCTGGTACACTTTTCTGCACTAGTACGGTCTCGAAAAAAAATCAATAAAGTTAAATCCCAACAACAAAGAGGTCGTACCTAGGATTTTCATTTTCGTCTCGATTGGCGATACAACTTGAATATGAAAATCTGCTATTTTTATGAACATAATTACCGTTTAAACGGCGACAACGCGTCACCTGGGATTTTTATTTTTGTCTCGATTTGCGATACAACTTGAATATGAAAATCTGCTATTTTTATGAACATAATTACCGTTTAAACGGCTACAACGTGTCACCTAGGATTTTTATTTTTATCTCGATTTGCGATACAACCTGAATATGAAAATCTGCTATTTTTATGAACATAATTACCGTTTAAACAGCGACAACGTGTAAGGATCCGGCAGCGGCGTTTAGAGCGGCCTTGTACAAGGTGGTGCGTGAGCTCACGGGTACCGTGTGAACAGAGTCACCTTCGATTTTTCACCCACCTCGGGAAAACACGTACTCTCGTATGCACACATGTACTCCCTTCCAAGCCCCGTTTCCCACTCTCGGGAAAGTTCTTTCCCCGCGAGTTCCTTTTCCTCGTAGCTGTCTCCCGTTTTTGCGACCCAGGCCGACGCACGCGTCCTCCTATCGGCTCTGAAATATGCGGATTATTAATAATTACACCGAGGCCTCGGAAAAACCGCGAAATAAGCACGATCTAAGTGCCCCTTACGTCACGGAACGTTTTTAATTCCTCCTCGAGCCTCGATAAACACGACGCGTCGCAATCGCAGCGCACTTGCGACGGATCGTGTCGTTTTTCCATTTAGAGCGAGAGGTCGATTAATTCCCCCCCGCGAAGATTAATACTTAATAATTCCACGGCTCTTATAACTCGGAGTAGACTTACGTGCCCCATCTGTGAAACTATTAGCGATAACTGCGTATAAAATATCAAATTCTATTTTATCTAGGACGTATAATAAATAATGGAGAAGAATCAAATCTAATGGCACCATAAGCAAGAATACATATTTTCTTTTTACATATAATTTCATAAGAACCACGTTCTTCCTTAGGGCCTCCATGATCACGTGCTGAAGTTCTAAATGTTTTGTGCCTTCAGTCTGAAGAAAAGTTTTATAAATATTATGACATTTTTATATATGGAATAACCCTTTCATACCACCTTAATGGAAGGAATTTCGTATCTCCGTTTGGTTTTCCAAGTATTTTTCCTCAGTGTACCCATTAGGATGGTCTAACGATACCTTCGCATCGCATATCCGGATTCCCTGAGAATTTGACAACGACACGGCTTAAGGCGGTTCATTGAAAAAGTTGGCAAGTCAGGTCCGCGGGGTCCGCGGAGGCTGGCGCGGCGTTCGCGGAGGCGACGCGCGGCAGGCAGGCTCGAGGAGCGCGTACGGCCGGCCGAGTGCGGCAGTGCACGCCCGGCTGCCGACACAAGCGGACGGCGTACGTCGCTCCGAGCTAAGCGAGCGCGAGCACCCTTACCGAGCGCCGCGAGGAGTGACGAGTCGCGTGCGCGCGCGCGAGAGAGAGATAGAGAGAAGGAGCCCGGAACGGAAATTCGGGGCTTCGACTCGGCGACCCATTCGGTCCGTCCGCCTCTCCGGAACCGTCCATCCGTTTCCAGTGGTCGTCCGGTTACCACGGCGACACTAGCTAGGTCGGGACCGGTCGGTGGGACGGAGGAGCCCGCGCAGTCGGCGGTCAGCGGTCGAAGAAGACCGGCGCTCGGAGCCCGCTTAGGTGCGCGCGCAACCAGGGGTGGCGGACCGACGGAAAGTCACCGCGGTCGGTGTAAGGCGGGTGGCGCGCCAATCGGCCCTCCGGCCCAGGAGAAACGGCCCAGCGGAAAGTCGAGGCAACCCCTGAGGGTCGGCCGACCGAGTCGACCCGAGCCACGCGGCCACGTGACCTCTGATCGGGGGCGCGCATGCGCGGCAAGTGGCTGGCACCACGCGGGCCGCCGTGATCGTCGAGTCGCGCGCGAGGGACAGTCGGGAATGGAGTCGCGCTCCGCGACGACTCCGAGGCCGGGCTCGAGTCGCTGACGACGCCAATCGTTACTCGGGGCGCCGCGATTGGTCGGGCTCGCGCGACGAGGAGGAAGAGCCGCGTGTCGGCGCCGCGGCATCCGGCCATGCGGCACGCAGTCGAGGCGCCGGAGTCGGCCAGTGCGACCGCGAGCGCCACCTAACCTCGCTTTTTCCGCCGGGCGAGGATGCGCGACGCGACGCGCCCGTCGTTCTCGAGGAGTGTCGGTGACGAGCGGTCGTCGTCGATCGATCTGCCCACGTAACGAAGGGACAGAGACCCCGGCAAGAGATAACCGAGTACCGGGAGAAAATCCAAGGTGACCCCGAGGACGCCACCGATGTCGAGTGCCGGGTCGACGAGGGAACGCTCCGAAACGTGTTCATCCGCCACGCGAGGAAGTCCTCGCGCTTGACGAGCGAACAGGCGTCGACGAGGTCGAAACGGTTCCCTGGGAGTTGTCTTAGAGGTAAACAAAGAAGTTTCCTGGCCCTCGAGGGTCCCCGAGGTGCGACCTAGATGGAAGGACGTCCCGGGCGTCGCCAGGGTCGACGCGCCGGAGCCGTCCGCGAGGAGCGTTCGGGAGGCGTCGCGACGCGCCACGGAGGTGGTAACGCCTCTCGGTATCCCTCGAAGTCTCGATAAGACCTATCGAGACCTACCGAGACCTATCTCTAGGTGTCACGGTGCTTTTCTAAAGCCTGCGTCTGCCTTCTGCCGGCGATATTTTTTCCCAGAGGTTGCCCAGAGAGAGATAGAGGGAGACGGTGGTAGAGAGAGAGCGACCGTTCCGGGAGGAGCAACGCCGATCGCGAAGGGAGGAGGCGGCCCGGAGAGGGAGCGCGCCAGAGTGAGAGGCGCCGAGCCTAGCGGCGAGGGAGGGAGCGAGACCGAGCGAGAGGCGGCGCGAGCCAGGAAAGTGAATCGCGCCCGAAGGGATCGGACTTGCGGCGAGCGGCCAACCCGCCGCGTATCGTCGCGCCGAGACACCGCGCGGTCCGGTACATGCGTGAGAAAACCCTTCCGCGATTGTGTTCCGAGATGTGAGTAGTGTGCCTCTCTCAGTGCCGCCGGGAACCTGTGCGAACGAGCCACGGTGATCGGAGGAGCGAGGCCCTTCGTCCTGACTTCCGGTATGTACGATTTTTTTAATCCGCCATTCGGGATCTTAGGATCCACGATCGACCGACGGCCGAGCGAGGAGAATCGCGTGACGTTCCAGTTTATCGAATATTCCGGAAATGTGGCTGCACTTTTATCATTACCACGATTTAAGATGTTACGAAAGGATCGTTCCGTGGATGTCGATTTATAAAAATATCTAGGAAATTTATTTACAAACTGGGTGCGCCGAATCGGTGGTCACCTCGGCACGTGATTGTGATTATGGAGACTCTGAGGAAGAACGCGGTGCTCGTGAAACCTCAATTTTGTGTGAGAAATTGTTTTTTTTTTTATTTATCTAGGATCAGAGCCGAGAATACGTATTTTTTTTTAGAAAAATTCAATTTCACCAGCATCGCGGCTTTCTTTGGGGCTTTTATAATTACGTGCTGGAGTTTGAAATGATTAGGTGCACATAGTTTGGAGAAAAGTATGTATGGAATGACACCTTAAGGTGTTGCAAGAGGATCATTTTATATATATCGAACCACACACTGGTGTCATTTTCATTTTTTTCAATCATCGGAAGGAAAAAGTCATTCGTTCTCGCGCTTTCCGCATCCGGAAACGCGCGCACCTCTCGCGGGACCCGTCCCGCGATTGATCCGCCGCAAGGGGGCCGTAAATTTCCGACGCTCGGTACGGGAAATTTAATTACGATGAATTATTAGGGAAACATCCAACGGACGATCCGGAGCCGGAAAGTTGGCCGTCGGGGATGCGGTGGTTTTTCCACGTTTCTTCTTTTTTTTCTCTCCCCCTTTTTTTTTTGTTCCTCCTTTCCCCCGACAAGGGAAAGCCAATTTCGCCCTCGACGACCGCCTTCGGACATTGATCCAATTCCACTAGCTGCACCGAGGATCGATACCCGCGGGGTATACATGTACACCCTATCTGCACCTTTCCGCATTTTCCATCGTTTTTTCCCTTTTTTTTTTCCTCTTCCTTTCCCTTTCATAACTTAGACGAGCTCTCACCCGCTCAATCTGTCGCCGCGTCGGGGCGGAATTTCCGCGCGCGGTTTCATACTGGGTAATAATGGAAAGGGGAGTAATATAGGAAATTAAGGAGAAGCGCCGCCCGAACGCTGAATATTCAAGGTGGACCTTAATTTACGAGCGACGAGGGACGAGGGAGAGCACCCGAAAACCCGCAGGAACGGCCGCTTAATTTGCGGCCGCGGTCCTTCCCCCGATTCGGCCCACCGCGGAAAATATAACGAGGCGTCCCGGCGACGCCGCGTATACGCGCATAATTTTCCCATAAGGGGGGAGGATGCAGTTATTGCACTTGCGGACGGCCCACGGGTTCGTATAATTGTCGGGTTTACGAGGGACAGAGCGACAAAGCCGAGCCGCGCGCGGCTTACTTGGCGGCTATGCGGAAAGACCGCGATACACCGGGACGGAAAAAAGAATTCAGGGAACCGGGGAAATATTTCATTGAATAGTACTTATGAAATATTTTATTACCCCTTTCAGCGGCGTGGACCCATGAGTGCGTCCGATGGTCCAATATTGCTTGTACGTCCTGATGAAATTCGCCCATACGCCGGAAGGGCTTACCCCTGAAAGGGTTAAGTGGTGGTGAATCTCGCATCCGAAGGGTCGATCCTTCATGAAACTTTTCACCTAACTGGGTGCACTAGTTTCAAACTTTACAACGTGCATATATGGAAACGTTACAGGAAATTATGTAAGTGTCTAAATAAATTTGTTAAGAAATTGAAATTTCACCGGTGTCAGGACCTTCCATATGGTTTCTGTGTTTATGTTGAAAAGTTTTTAATGAATCCGGTATTGTCGGCTTGGGGACAATTTTTATCAATGTTCTCACGTTTTGGTACGGAAGGGCATTTTCATATCACCTTAAGGGTCGGGTTGATAATCGAGACTTTTCAAGCCTTTCCTCTACCTTCGACCACCTGTACGCCACGAGGCGGCGATGCGTTTATCCGCGTCAGGTCAGCTGGCTCGCAGGTGAGATTGCGGGGCAGGTGAGGTCCTGGTCGGATGCTGTGTCGCGAGATAATGGCGATAAGACGCCGCGGTCGGCCCGAGGTATCCGGAAATGACTTTCCACGCCGGTTTTCGGTGGGTTCTTTCGGTTTTTAAGAAAGATCACGGAGAAACGCTCGAAGTGGAAGAACTTTACGGCCTGATAATCGCGGGTTATGAAAGGGGGCGAGGGAAGTGAAACTTCTTTCTCTTTCCTTTTCTTTTTTGGCAGGGAACTTTTCGAGATCATTCCAGGCTTAATGAGAGATGCCGGGAAGAAGTGATTAATGGCGTCGGTAAGGGTACATTGTTAATTGACGCGGGGCCCGATTTACTGCGAAAAATGAACGCTTGGCCCATTTACAGATTTACCCGGGAACTTTGGCAGGAATCTCGGATGATGTTTTTCGGTTCATTATTGAATAAAAATTAGATATCACTCGTTACACCGTGTTTCAGATTTTTAGTGTCGGAGAATATCCTCGAGATTATTCCGCGACGGCGATTGCGGTATTTTTCCTTTTGTTCCTCCCATCCGGTCCGGGAATACTTCAAAGCCCTGGTTTTCGCGGCCGCGCATTTCCATACGTCCGGACTTTACAGGGAATTTACATATACGGGATCATACCTCGACTCGCGGGTACTTTATAGTATTTTTCCTCTCTTCCCTCCCCCTCCGTTCTCTTCTCGCTTTAATATCGCCCGTGCAAAGGCGGAAGCCGCGGTACCGTATAACGTCGCGCAAACGGCACGGTCGCGTGTTCGCACATCCGGGGGGCCCCCTCTATTATCCCGAATTAATTTCCCGATTTGCTAGCTGTTGGGATTTGCGCGCACGCGCGGTGGAAGCTCCTCTCACGAATAATCGCCACTGTCTCGATCTGACTTTTCCGAAACTTCCTTGACGTGCCTTTCATGGGCGACAAGTCTCACTAGGGACGCGCACCTTATTGTCGCAAAATTCCTCGGGATGTTATTCTTTTATCCTTATTTTCTTGTTTCACGTAGAAATGCGAATTTGTTTTCCCGTTGCATGCGCGGAGGGGGCACCAACTCAGTGCTCGAGTGTTGCCGAAATCGGACATGCGAGTACGCGAGCGAGAGGAAAACATGTTTTGGGTTTCGATGAGGAGATGGTGTGTGGTGTACCCATTTCTTCTTGTGTTTCGTACCTTAGACACCGAAAAATCTCTCCTGAGCGGGATTCGAGCCCGAGAGACCACGTGGTACGAGTGGTGAGCGTAATCGCTGGGCTATCGAAGGAAGAACTGATATATATATGCTATCACCGCCACAATGTAATTCTTCGCGCAATGTTAAAAATTGCCGGTTCCGTCAAAAGGATCGAACCCTTGAATCCGTTTTTTCTTTTTGTTCTTGGTTTAGAGGGTCATTTCTTTACGACGCGATTCGACGACAGATTAATATCCGGGATGCAAATTACCCACTGTAGGAGGCGCATGGAGGCTACCGTGGTCGTTGATCGCGCCACCATATGACTCGGTCGCCTCCGTCGCATTCCTCGGAGATTTTTCGTAAGGACTTAACGACGTCGTGGCGTATTACGCTGACGGTCCCGGGGGTGAGGGGAGGGCCCCTGCGCGCGAACGTGTGCGCACATCAGACACCTGTTCCACGTCGGGGGGCATAATTCCACACGCGGTTGTCTAGGACGCGCGCAAAACCACGTGCCGATTCCGCGCGGCGTCCCGTTGGACGTGCCGAGCACCTTTGGACGCGTTTTTTGTTTTTTTTTTCGGCCCCCCTCCTCCGCAGCTCCGTTCTTTTCTCCCTCTTCGGGAGAGGTTTCTCAACGCCTTTTAACGGCCCTGGATAGTTAGGCTCTATGCTAATTGTGACGGCGGTCCGAGTGGTCAAGGAAAGTGTAGCTATACGCGTTGTCTCGTTAGAAGAATGTTAAGCACGCCTTTAGGCGGTTTAGGAGCTGCCTTAATTAGACGTTACTGCGCCGACCTAACGACGAATCGCCGCCCGTTGATGCCGCTTACGAGCCGCATCCGTCCGATCCGATGACACCGGGTTTCAAGGATCGATCGATTAACGATCGATGGGTAATCGATCGGGGGTGACGGGTTCTCTTCTCTTCTTTTTTTTTTTTTTTTACGTCTGACCGATGACTCGTTCGTCTTTAATCTCGTGTATATACGTGTTGATGATGGCGCTAACGATCGATTAATGATCGATTTTTAGCCCGTGGGGGGTGATGGGGTTTCCCCCCCTTTTTTTTATATATATTTATTGCGATAGTTCGATCGCCTTAAATTTCACATTTATATTGTGTGAGACTAATGACGATGACGTTACCGAACACTGGCATGTTTCGGTTGAAGAGCGATCTGTAGGCGATCGGAGCTGATCGGGTTTTCCCCTTTTCCACCCTGGTGCAGGGCGACCCCATGACTCGATCGCTTTAAATCCCACATATATTCGTGGCATGATGACGCGTGAGCCAAATGACGACGAAGGCATTGGCATGTACCGGCGCGCTTCTTCGGGCTTTCTATTCTCTTTACGGGTCCCTGTCAGCGCTCACCTACATTAACGAGCATGACCTCCGTGAGGAGGGAGGCTCTTAATGTCTGTCTCCCCTCTTTTTTTTTTCTTCTTCTCTCTTACCTCTTTCTCTCTAGGATTTGACGTTGCTCTCTTCGGGGTCTCTTAACGGTCCCGGAAAGGCCCGGCCGTACGGAACAAGGGGACCGAGGAAGAAGCTGCCGGTTTTTGGCTGCGGTCCTCTCGTGTCTTGTTATTCCTCTTTCGATTCCTTTTTTTTTCCCCCCCTTTTTTACCTCCTTTCCTTTATTCCTTTTCCTCCCGGAGCAAGACCTAGGAGGAGAGGTAACGTCTTCTGGTTTCGGGCAGGCCACTCTCTTTATGCGCATATTTATCCTCTCGAGCGGAGCTCTCGACCCGCGGCCGTCAAACTCCCGTGTACGTGCATGCGAGATTTC